AATATAAATATTCTTTTATATATCTAATTAGTAGATATGATTTTGACTCGTCTATTTCCTTTGGGAGTTATCAATAGGAGGAAGATGTGGTTGGGAGAGGCAAAGCCTAATTAAGATGATGGGATAATTATGAATAGAGAGCATAGCTTGGTTAGAATATAAAAAACAAGCAAGAATGGGGTTGGGAGATGTTGATGGGGCAAGGGCACAGCTAGGGTTAGGGATGTTTCCATCTCTAAGGGATGTGACCTGTCTGTAAGTCACCACCATGCCCTTCAATTACCCCTTTAGAATTAATGATGTTGATGATGTTCTTGTTTACTTGTGTTCTCTGCATGAGAATTCTCAACACTATTAGCTAGCTACTCTCGTTTTTGCACCCACATTTATTACTTTTTACATAGATTGACCTCACCAATTGGATATATGTTTGTCTTCTTGTAATAATTTCCATATCATATGTATAAAAAGAAATTGTCATTCCAAAAAGAGTTATAACTTACAATCTCACAGTTTAACTTTGAAAATGACTCTATATACTTTTAAGCCAATTTTGTAATTACCTAAAAAAATTTTGATATTTAGTACTTTGTATTTCCAAATATTAACTCTCTCTCAATATATATATATTATATTTTCTTCAAAAATAAATTATTTTTGGTTTTTTTCATATCGAGGAAAGGTTTTGTCCTCGTATTTAATTACTAAATTTAAAATATGAATTGATATATTAATATATTATGAATTTGCCATTGGGAATTTCATGAATTATTGATTCATGTGAGTAGATGCATAATTGGAAGTTTCATAGAAGAATCTTAGCATGAAATGGCAATGTGTCTATACATATTTTTATTGATGAAAATGGCATATGACTCAGTCGTGCTTGTTCTCAGCAAAACGGACCCCCAGGACCCGATGGGAAATAATAAGGTACAAGCTGAACATGGCAATGTTCCCATACACTATACTGTATATAATTAATAAAAGAAATAATTAATTTTGCTGTAATTAAGTTTTTGTGGTGATGATGCCAAGTGCCAACATGCCTACCTTTACGGGGAAGATGAGGGAAATTCAATTTGAAAAGGACCTTGGAAAATGATGAGAAAATAATAATGGTTATAGTTTTTTTTTTTTTTTGTTGAAATTGATGGGAGATTAGGATAATAATCATTGCATTCTAAAAAGAAAAAGGCTAGTGATAATTAAATCCATCATCATTTGACATCAATGGTTCTTCAACTAAATAATTTAATTCCATGAGTTTCTTAAACTTTTTATTTTAAATTTCTCATATAATGATATACTATGGATTAATTGTTTATAATCATAAATGTATTATTATTGCTATTATTTTATTAAATTATTATTACATTTCTTTTTGCTACTTAATTAGTTCTACTTCTCAAATCTTAATTATTACAATAATCTATTTGTTCTTATTGATGGTATGAAATAAAAAAGAAGTGAACAATCACAATTTCATATTTTAAACTCTTAATTTTATAAAAAAAATTGTCTAAAGATATACCTCATTTTTATTGATTCAATCGTCTGTTGATGAATAATTCATTATTTTTCTTAATTTTCTTCGTCTAATGTATTTTAAATAATTTTATTGATATATATTTTATCAACTCTCTTTATATAGAAGTAAAGTAGAAATTAATTAGGACACAAATATTATATAACCGGACTAATTAATTAAGGCTAGTTAAACCTCCTAAATTGCTAAATTTTCTTTTTACTATGTACTTTGCATGTGATGGTTTGACCTTTAGGAAAATATATAAACAAAAAAAAAAAAAAAAAAAAAAAAAGATTTAACATATTTTAAACTCTAATTTTATAAAAAAAAATTGTCTAAAGATATACCTCATTTTTATTGATTTCAATCGTACATGTTGTATGATTTAATTTTCGATAATATTTTATTCTTTAATTTTTCCTTCGTTCTAATTGTATTTTAAATAATTTTATTGAATATAATATTTTATACATACTTCTCAATTAATAATAGAAGTAAAGTAAGAAATAATGAATTAGGAACACAATTAGTTATATAACCGGACTAATAAAAATTTAATTGGCTAAAGTTTAAACCCTCGCTAAATACTGCTAAATTCCTTCTTTTTTACTATGTACTCAATTGCCATGTGAATAGGTTTGACCTTTAGAACATAATATAATAAACAAAAAAAAAAAAAAAAAAAAAAAAAAAATTGAGGCAAACCCCTTAATAATTTAGCTATCATCAATTAAGGAGTACCGGCTGTATAAGCACTCCTCTCTATCAATCCATGAGATCAACGGAACAGAACTGTCCACGTGTCGACAAAACCATAGACCAACTATTTGATATGACATATCACATGCCCATAGACTAACACCGCAACAACCTCTCTTTCCCTACTCTCTCTCAACACATATTGATTAGAATTATTGGGGTCACTCTCTTTCGCTAGCTTGCAAAACAGAGAAGAGGACACAACAAAGAAGAAGACAAAAGACTATGATCTAAGCAATAAAAATTTAGTCTATTTCAAAGCAAAGAATCTATAGAAAGAAAAGGAGGCAATAGTCTAATACAAGATAAATTAAATATACAGCACTTTTAAGGATCAATTAGTATCTTCATCGCTCCTAACACCATTCAAAGTGTGGCCTGAAAAAGAATGAAGACGAGGCAGCAAAAATTAACTAGGAGTCGGCGAGCGAAGTACTAGATTTGAATTCAAGGAGACTGAGCTGTGTCTTTGGATGTGCTGGTGGCGGCAAGAGACCTGGAAGTGGAAAGAAACACCAAAAGCTACGTGAAAGCTAAATAGAAGGATTGTGCAGAGACTGGTATATTGAAAGCTTAATCTTCCAAGCTAAAAGATGGTGTTTATGGACTCTGAATTGAAAAATAGTCAAAGAAATGCCTTCACAAGGACAAGAATCACCATGTTCCTCTAACGAATTCCAGCGCATCAAGGACCCTGCCAGGAGATTTTGCGCCACGATCACCAAGTAAGAGTGTTCATTTTAATTGCCATTTATAATTAAGTAGTGTAATAATTATAATAAATACTGTAATATAGACAAAAAAAAAAAAAAAAAAAAAAAAAAAAATTGAGGCAAACCCCTTAATTAATTTGCTACTCAATTAAGGAGTCGGCTGTATACCTCCTCTCTATCATCATGATGATCAACGTGACAGAACTGTCCACGTGTCGACAAACCATAGACCAACTATTTGATATGACATACACATGCAGCTACACGCACAACCTCCCCACCTCCAACATAGTTATATTATTGGGGGTCTCTCTCTTCGCTAGCTTGCAAAACAGAGAAGAGGACACAACAAAGAAGAAGCAAAGAAACAAGCAAAAAATTTAGCTATCAAAAGCAAGAACAAGAAAGAAAAGGAGCAACAATACAAGAAAATAAATACAAAGTCAATTAGACTTCACTTTAACCCAGTTCAAAGTGTGGCCAAGAAATGGCGAGCGCAATTATAGGCGGCGAGCGAGCTGATTTGAACTTCAAGGAGACTGAGCTGTGTCTTGGATTGCCTGGTGGCGGCAAAACGGAAGTGGAGACACCAAAAGCTACTGGAAAAAGAGGATTTGCAGAGACTGTTGATTTGAAGCTTAATCTTCAAGCTAAAGATGGTGTTATGGATCTGAATGAAAATATCAAGAATGCTTCAAAGGACAAGAATCACCTCCCAACTTCCACCATCAAGGACCCTGCCAAGCCACCAGCCAAGTAAGTTCATTTTATTTGCATTTAAATAAGAGGTGTAAATGTTAATTACGTAATACTAATTATTACTGGGTTTTTTATTTCAGAGCTCAAGTTGTGGGTTGGCCCCCAGTTAGATCTTACAGGAAGAACATAATGGCCAATCAGAAGAACAACAGTGATGAAGGTGAAAAGAGTTTGAGTGCAGCATTTGTGAAGGTTTGCATGGATGGTGCACCTTATCTTCGTAAGGTAGACCTTAAGATGTACAAAAGCTACCAAGAGCTATCTGATGCCCTAGCCAAAATGTTCAGTTCCTTCACTATGGGTAAGTAATATCCATTAATTTATATCCATAACACAAGTTATGAAAAGTTTTACATATAAATTTGCTCAAAGACAGAGAATTTAACAGATCTGTTTAAGGTTATGCTTGTTGAACATGCTCAAAAATATATTAGGTCATGTGTGTGTCCTTTCTTTTTATAGAGGATAGTGCTAATTAAACTACGTTCAGAACTGTTTTGAGAAATTAAACTTTTAAAGTGCAATGCCATGGCAGAATAATTACTTCTTTTTTCTTTTTCTCTCCTTTTCTTTTGAGGTTGAAGGACAGACAAAAACTGTTGCTTCTTATATTCTTGCTCGCTGAAGAAAGCAACACATGCAGAAATTAAAATAATGAAATTAATTAACATCAAGAAATAATGCACTCATGAGATCAAATGGAATTTGTTTAGATCTAGGTCAGTGTATATTTATTATAGAACAAAAGAAGGTACTTTTTAGCTAAAATGGTTCTTTCAACTTAATTAAATATGAAGGTAATTATGGAGCCCAAGGAATGATAGACTTTATGAATGAAAGCAAGTTGATGGATCTCCTCAACAGCTCTGAATATGTGCCAACCTATGAAGATAAGGATGGTGACTGGATGCTCGTGGGCGATGTTCCATGGGAGTAAGTTCTTTTTTCATTTCCTCTGTAATTCTATTAAAAATTATAAATAATTATCCAAAAGAAAAGACATGTACAGTCCAAATTAGGTAGCCATGAAACACATGCATGTACAATATATTTATACATATGGCTATTAAGATGGATAATTCCTAAACAATTATATATTTAACTCAAGGAAAAATAAAGATTAATTATGACTAAGTATTTACATGGGTTCTCATGCAGGATGTTTGTTGATTCATGCAAGCGCTTGCGCATTATGAAAGGATCTGAAGCTATTGGTCTTGGTATGCACCTTAATTATACATTTCATATGTCATAATCATTTGTATGATCTTTAGTAAAAACTTTTAGTTATTTTTCTAATTAAATAATATATAGTTTTAGGTGATAAATACTAACAATTATTTGCCTAATTGCAGCACCAAGAGCTATGGAGAAATGCAAGAGTAGAACTTAATTAAATAGCTTGCCTGCTCTCTATATGATTTAGTCTTTTTGCACCCAAGAAGACTAGACAACAAAGGCAGGCACTTGTGCAAGCAATTGGTGTTTTGTTTTGGATTGTGTCTGTATTTTAATTTGATGATGATGGTATATAAATATGAAAGATCTAGACATTTGTAATGGACAAGAAGCAATAAACTTAACCCCCTATTGTCTGGCTTGTTTATTTACTAATGGCTTTGCTTAATGATAATTTCCCCTTATTTTGGTTATTGTTTGTTGTTGTCCTAGTTGTTTAAATGTTTTAATATTCCTTCAATTTTAATGCTATCAAAATCTTTTTTTTTTTTTTTTAATTTTATCAGACAGATTCCTCATCTGATTTATTTGTCTTTTTTTAAATATTATTATTATTATTATTGAAGTTATTAAATTGATGAGGGGGAACAAGGCCATGTGCATGTTGATGGGGCTTTCAATTATGGCCATTAGTTTGTATTCTGTATACATATGTTTTTTAAGTTTGAGATAAGCAAAACTATGTATTTGATTGGTGAATGTAGGATTCTAGCTACTGGGGACTGAATGTGGTGTGGTTGGCATTCTATTTTTTTAATAATAATATAATCCTAATAATAATAATTAGTTATTAACACTTGTACATTGTGCCTAATTGTGTTTCTTATTATATGATGTGATTGTAATTGAATGTTATGGGGATCACTAACATTTCATTTAATTTAGGTCAGATCTATATATATATATATATATGAAAGAAGGGTTTGATCTTTTTCTCTCTGTTCTTGCACCTATATAGTATATATATTTTTTAAGCAATAAAAGTTTTCTTGGATCTGGCATTAATTATGGCAGACTCATATTCTATCTTTAACGGAAACAAATAATTTTGACATGTTTGGTTCTCAAAGTGTGCAGCAAAATTACCGCAAAAGCAACAAAATTGTCTCTTTAACCAAATGCCAATTCTTCCAAAGCTAGCTTTCTAAAAATGGATTTATAGGATGTGCTCTCTACTTTGGTAATCTGAAATATTACGTAACATAATGTAATTAAGAATATTTTAATTATATGACATATGTTTTTTTACGGTTTATCAAATAAAACCTATGTCCTTACTGCATTACTTAAAAAACACTGCTATTTAACAAAATTCCACCAGACCAACCGGTGAGGGACTAGACACAGTCGATCTGACTTCTCCAGATAAAGCTTAGGTTAATCTAGAGACGTCGACAAAAGTTTTCTTAGTTAGCTTGCGGTGTCGTGTAATTTTAAACGACTATAGTCTGTAGGAATTTGTTTGTCAGTTTAAGTGGACGACAATTCGGCGTCAAAAATAACTCATGTTGTCGTTTCTAAAATGGGCATCGGCCCATTTTCCCCAACAAATGGGCTTAGAGATTCTTTTCATTAGTATTATGAATAACCTACTCGTCGTTTGTAATTGTTCATGCAACCCTAGCCCAAGAGTATACTTATCATGTACGGCCCATTTTATCTCAAAAAACTTGAACTCCAGACTTGCAGATCAACCTACTAATACTATGGAGTTATTATTTTCATACTGCTCCGAGCTATTAATTGGACGACAATGGGCATTTAGATATAGAAACAGAAATGACAATAGAGTATTTTTCAAATATTTTCAATATACTTCATATTCTGTAAACTAATGCCAGTTTAGAACAAATAAATTATAATTGTAGAATTCATTTATAAAATGAATTTACCATATTTGGTATGTTCAATTTAAAATAAGAAATTCAATTGAATTCTACAAAATTATGTTTTGAATAAATTCTTAAATGAAAATTCATTTGTTTTTATTTCTTATAATACCACTGATATAATAATTTAATAAAAATAAATAATAAACACCAATTATATTTATTATGTACAATATAATATCTTGTCATTTTTTTATTAAAATCTAAATAATAAATTTCAGATGAATAAGTAACATTAATATTTCATGCTAATTAATTAATTATATAAACAGTAACATTAATCATAATAATTATTTTTAATTGATGAAAAAATTTTGTTGATTTAAGGAATTAATTTGGAAACTAAAAAATATTAAGAATGTTATTATTGTTTTTAGTTGCATTCGAAAACAATTGTCGAAGTTTTTATAATTTTATAGAATAAAAACAAACAGTATTACTAGACTTAAAAAAAACGTCTATTTTGGAACTTTTCAAAAAAAAAAGAAAAAAATAAAAAATATACATCATTATTGGATTTGAAAAAAAAAAAATAAAGTTGTTATAGTTTGGAATTTTCCAAAGAAAATAAATAAAAAGGAAAAAAAAAGTAAAAATAATTATAATAGAGTAATTTTGTCAACAAATATTTTAATAGTCAATTTTAAAAATTTTATTTACAGATTTCATCGATTTTAATAAAATGTAAATTATGCAAACCTAATTTCACATAATTCGATTCTTAAAATTTAAATCATTTTTTTTACATTTCCAAACACAAATATTTTAAATTTCAAAATGAATTCGTGGAATTCGCTTGTTGCAAACAGGCTATACTCAACAATTCACAGGTCACAAAGCAGAAGTAGGATTAGATCAATTAACCCCCCAAGTTGTTGGGGCTTTTCGCTTTGCCTCACTTTCTCAGGAACCAACCACACCTTTCATCAATCATTACTCTCGCCTCCTGATGTTTACTTCCTCATTGCTACATCCAGGATTCCTTTCCTGTATCAACCGTACGAAACCCCTTCTTCCCTTTTTCTTTTAAAAAGAAAACATGAAACCAGCTTAAAAAACCTACTTACCCAGATCGAATCCTATCTCTACAATGGATTTCGTGGAGCTGGAGGCAATCGAGGGCCTGCGATGGTCCTGGAACGCTTGGCCCACGACAAAAAATGAAGTCACATCCCTGGTAATTCCACTTGGCATCATGTGTACACCACTCATGCAATCTTTGGAGCTTCCAATTCTACCTTACGAGCCCCTTACCTGCACACGCTGTGGTGCTGTATTAAATCCTTACGCTCGCGTTGATTACCAATCTCGTATTTGGAGCTGTCCCTTCTGCTACCAGAAAAACACTTTCCCTATTTCTTATTCCGGTATTGGAGAAACCAATCTTCCAGCTGAGCTTTTCCCCACTTACAGTACCGTTGAATACAAACTCGATAAGATCGATGCAAAAATTGCTTCTTCTGCGCATTTGGGTTATAGTTGGGCAAATGGATTGTCTTCTTCTAATGTGTCTTTGTCATCGATGGCGTCATTGGGGACTCCGAGAATGGCCGCCGGTGGTGGGGAGGTGAAAGGGGTGGGACCTGCTTTTATATTTGTGGTTGATGCTTGCACGGCGGAGGAGGAGCTGATGGCTGTTAAAAATGAGTTGTTATTGGTTATTGAGCAGTTGCCAGAAAATGCGCTTGTGGGTTTGGTTGCCTTTGATTCAATGGTTAGGGTTTATGATCTGGGGTTCTCGGAGTGCTCGAGGGTGGTTGTGTTTCATGGTGAACGTGAGGTTTCATCGGAGCAGGTACTTAGCTATATCGTTAAACTCTATTCAATTAGCAATTTTAAACTTTGGATTATTTACCTGTTTGTTTGTTTGTTTATTAATTTGATTATTCTTCTATTCTTCTTGAGGGTATTGTACATGATTTGCAGTGCTTGAAATTATACTTCTTTGATGATGTTGTGAACTTTAATGTTGAAAATATTTGCACTTTGCTCATCAACTGGTTGATTAAGTTTCAAATTTCAATGCTTCTGTTTCATATTATGCACATTATTGCACAGCTGAAAGGCTGACTTGGTTTTGATCTTGTTGTTGTCAACCTTTTGATTCCTTGGTTAATCTACGTCTCTTTACTGGACTTAAGATAAGTAAGGAAATGTCCTGTGTCTTGCATTCATATCACAAGCCACTATGTAACTATAAGATGTTCACAAATATTCCAGGTTCTTATATGCACCAACAGTTTTTTAATGTTTATTAGGCATCCAGAAAAAACAAAATTAATGATGTTTGTCTAATCAGATGTTTTGGGTTGCTTTTGAACCCATAGATCCAACAGTTTTTGGGGATAAATAAAACCAAGATGCAGCAACTTGGAAAGACGCCATTTGTCCAGAATCAGGGATTTTTGCTACCCATATCTGAATGTGAGTTCAACATCACTACAGCAATTGAAGAAATTTGTTCTTTAGCAGTGGTCATGTCTGGTCATCGCCCTCAAAGATGCACTGGTGCAGCAATAACTGTTGCGCTTGGACTGCTTGAAGGATGTTCAGTGCATACTGGCTCCCGCATTATGGTTTTCACTTCTGGACCCGCAACTTTGGGGCCAGGGATGATTGTGGATTCATCTCTCACTAATGCCATCAGAACTCATAGAGACCTCATTAATGGTCGTGCACCATACCATGACAAATCATGCAGCTTCTACAATCGATTGTCACAGAGATTATCTGATGCATCTATTGTTCTTGATTTATTTGCTTGTTCTCTTGATCAAGTAGGGGTGGCGGAGCTAAAAGCCCCAGTTGAGAGGTCAGGTGGATTCATGATGTTAGGAGAGTTATTTGAGTCAGATCAATTCAGGAAATGCTTGAGGCACATTTTTAGTCGGGGTGAAGATGGGAGTTTGAAGATGTATTTTGATGCAACTATTGAGGTGATCACCACAAGAGATGTAAAAATCTGTGGAGCACTTGGACCTTGTGTTTCTCTTCATAAAAAAAATGACTTAGTGAGTGATCGTGAAACTGGGCAGGGTGGCACGTATGCATGGAAATTGGGCACACTAACGAATAAAACATGCATAGCTTTCTTCTTCGAAGTAGGCGATGAACAGAAGGCGCATCCTGGGTCTGCATTTTTTATACAATTTATAACACGATACCGACATGGAAACATGGGAATCCAGAAAAGAGTTACAACAGCTGCAAGAAGATGGGTTGGAAACAAGTCAGCAGAAATCACTGCTGGTTTTGATCAGGAAGCAGCAGCTTCAGTCATGGCAAGACTTGCCATTCACCGAGCAGAGACATGTTATGCTCGAGATGTCATCAGATGGTTAGATGACAACCTTATTCGTTTTGCTTCTAAGTTTGGGGACTATATACAGGAAGATCCATCTACCTTCAGGTTGTCAACAAACTTTTCTCTTTACCCTCAGTTCATGTATTATTTGAGGAGGTCTCAATTTATTGATGTTTTCAATAGTTCTCCTGATGAAACTGCATTTTTCCACTTGATGTTAAACCGTGAAGGGGTGGTAGGTTCCCTTATCATGATACAACCTACACTTTTTCAGTATTCATTTGATGGACCTCCTATTCCAGTCCTCTTAGATGTTCGCTCGATCGCTGCCGATGTTATTTTGCTCTTCGATTCCTACTTCCATGTGGTGATTCATTATGGGTCTAAGATTGCTCAGTGGAGGAAACTTGGCTATCACAAAGATCCAAACCATGAGAATCTAAGAAAGTTGTTGGAAGCTCCCGAAGTTGATGCGGAACAATTGGTGGGGGAACGAATACCAGCACCTAAACTGATAAAATGCGACCAACACAGTAGTCAGGCTAGGTTTCTTCTGGCAAAGTTGAATCCATCTGTTACTCAGAACTCAACATACACAGAAGGATCAGAGATCATTCTCACGGACGATTTGAGTTTGCAAGATTTTATAGATCACTTGCAAACACTGGCAGTGAAAGCTTAACAAAGAGGAGTGTTGTACAGAGTTTCTCCTGTTCGAGTTGTTCTGTGTTTTTCTTTGCATAGAGCTAGAAATATATGTTGTATATTGTTTCCAATAGTTAAGGTTTCGGGTCGTTATACTAGGAAGAGGTACACACATGACATTATAGAAACAAGGTTGTTTGGTTTCTTTTTATTTTTTCCTCTATTTAAATTAAGAGACGGTTTGATATTTCTCGTTTTTTGTTTGGATACTGGAGTTTATGGGTACCTATCAATGATAGAAATTTTTATGGATCAAAATTAGTTTAAAACAAAAAATATATATTAATTTGGGAAGAACTTATATATCATGGAACAGTTTGGTTGTCCATGTTTAACTGATGACACGAAAGTAATATTCTGATGCATTGCACAACTGCTTCTGTCGGCTTTCATGTCCATCGCCTTGAAAACAAAATATTCGTTTTCTTTTCGTTCTTTAAATAATAAGGTCTTCCTATATCGCATCATCTGGTTAATAATAATTACTAAAGAAAAATTAAAAGAAGCAACCTAAAAGTAAAGTAAAACAAGAAGAAAAACCCTCAACCGTCAATTGAATCAAAATTGGAAAAATAATATTAAAATTGGTACGTTGGCGTGGGGGAGTAAGTAAATTGGTGAGACTTGTCATTTTAATCATTAGGAGCACGCGCATAAGATAGATCAGTTACATGTCTTTATCAAAATTATAGTTATACTAATAATTTTTACAAAATACATTAATATATATATATATATTTTAGAGATATACATATTCTACAAACATCTCAAAGATTCCGAGAGTTTGAAATATCATTCCTAATATTTAAAATTTAATAAAATTATCTTTTAAATTATTTTATATTTAATAATTAATTTAAAATAATTATCTTAGCTGTTTATTAATACAATTATTAAAAAAGTCAATATTAATATGAAAAGGAATTGAATATGGGTTCCTAACTGTAACCCTTATATTTAAAATTCATTTGCACATGTCTTAACAATTTGGGCAACAAATAAAAATTATAAATAATCTAACTAGAGTACTGAAAAAAAAAAAATGTTCCATTTGCATTTAATTTAATAATAATGTAAGGGTCATATCAAAGATGTTGCATTGAATTTTTTTTGTCTTTTACTTAATAATCAGATAAAATAAACGGTCGTATTCAAAAGTACATAGAATTTGTTTTGCTTCAACCAGAAAGCACATCCATAGTATAGTTTTTTATATTTATTTTTTTAAAAATCAAGCACATCCATACTCCATTGTTTGAGTTATCACTTTTAAAATTTATTTATCTTAAATCTATCACTTTTCAGTAAATAATTAAATTATAATATTAACAAGAATCTTAATTTTTTGTCACCGAAATGTAAATATTATATTTTGTTTATGATAAATAGATAATTACTGAGTGGGCAAGTTTATTATTTCTAAAGGAGACAGTTAGATAGTGTTATTCAGAATCTAAAGCAACCGTCATGATGAAAGTAAGCAGCTCTTTTTCATTTTTCAAAAAAAAAAAATCTTTTTCACCGACCCTAATTATAAAAATCACGAGAACAGCCAAGGAGTTAGGTATCAGCATAATAACAATTAAATAGAGAAGGAATTTAAAAACATGAGTCATGGGTTTTAATTAATAAAATTTTAACACATTATATGGAAAGGAGAAGGAAAAAAAAAGAAAAAAAAGAAGAAAATGATTAAATATTATAATTTTCTTTCTTTAATTGTTTTCTACCCTTATATTTAGATGGAGAAAGAAAAAAAATGAAAAAATGAAACAAATAATAAATCTTGCATTAAACAATTTTCTCACATCCTATAAAATACGTGACAAGTGAAAAATTTATGAGTCACAAAAGGTTATTAACAATTTAGTAAAATATTTAGAGAATCATCGATGCAATTTTCTCAATTCATTTATATTTTTTTTCCAAACTTGGAGATATTTCTATTCCTTGTTTAGGATAAAAATATAATATATATTTTTCTCGCTCTTTCTAAAATTAGAGAAAGTTATTTTCCTTAATATATATATTTTTTTTATTTCAATAAAATTTTCTTTTCAGTATATTTTTATAGGTTACGCCAGAGAACATGTATACTACTGTGGATAAGATATGAACTTTTATTTTAGGGCACTATTTATTTTTGAAAAATAACTTGTCTATAATATATTTTTCATACTTTCAATATTTCGGGTAATCAAAAAATCAATTAATGGAAAATTTTTTTATAGTCAAAGAAAATTAAGTTATTTATCATGAGAATATAGAAAAATTTTAGATATTTGACAAATTTATTATAATTTTATAAATATACATCTTTAATTTATCGATCACAACTGTCACTGCTGATCACCGTTGGCCACCGTTATTAATTACTGACTCCTACCGCAATTATTATTTTTTTATATTTTCTCTAGTATTTAATAATAAATTTTAAAAATATGAAATTTCTATAATTATAAATCTTCTTAAAGTTAAATCTCTAATGATTCTTAATTAATTACCAATATGTTTTTATAAGTCTACATATAACGTGTCAAACTTACATTGGTTATCACCTAACTCCTACGGTAACCAAACTACATGAAACTCCAGTTCCTTTTTCTTCTATACTCTCCCTTTCAAAAATTTAACCCATAATTATAGACAACTAGCACATTACCATTACCGAATTCTGAAACGAGTTGCTCCTTTTGGTATCAGATTCTCCAATCGCTCTTACGGACTCGGCTAATACTCCCATTGTATCAATACGCAGCTGCTAAATATTCTCATTAATATATTTGCTTTAGGGGTTTTGAGATTAATACCAGTGGAAATGTGATTGGGATTATGGTTATTCGACATGGCGAGGGACAGGTACGTGGTGCCGGCCGACCCTCAGGTGGCTGCAGCTTCGTCTGCAGCCGCCGTCAAGAAAAAAACGCAGCCGGCGAGGAGTTGGATTCTCGTTGACGCTTCTGGTCAAGGCACTATTCTTGATGCCGACAAGCAAGCTATCATGCATCGCGTGCAGATTCACGCGCGCGATCTTCGGATTCTGGACCCATTGTTGTCGTATCCCTCTACGATTCTTGGGCGAGAGAGGGCTATTGTTTTGAACTTGGAGGTTTGTCATATATATTGGATTCCTTTTATACGTTTGTATATATTTCAGTTCTGTTTTGGCGCTTATTTTCTGTTGATGATCGTTTTCTTTTGCTTGACAGCATATCAAGGCAATTATAACTTCCGAGGAGGTTAGTGGGTCTTTCTCTGTTTGTTTATGCAGTGTACATCGCAAATGCAAATTTTAATGCTTGACTGAGTTTAATTGAATCAGTTGATTTTTTGAGTTCAGTTTGATAGTTTTGATAGGGTGGAATGGACTCTTATGGAGTGACAGAGAACTTATTAATATTTGGGTTTTGCAGAATGAGTTTGTGGGTCAATTTATAAACCTGCGGTTTGGTGTTGTGGGACTAAGACATGATCTTGTTACCGTGCACGAAAAAAAATTCAACTGTCAAGTCTTTTAATGACAATATTTTGAACTCTTCTTTTTCCTAGTACTTTAGGTGAAAAGATTTAAGGTTATTAAATTACTGTTATGTATTATCTGATGAAAGTTTGTATGAAAACTGAGCACTAGCCACTAGATGCTCACTTAATGAAATAGCCTTTCTGTTGAATGAAGCTCTATGGGCTCATCATAGCCTTTGATTTGTTCACCTTATGTCCTAACTAGTCCTCTATTAAAGAAATGAGTTGTTTCAATAAAATTTGGTGTTGTTTCATTTTTAATCTTTGTCCTAATCTGATTGTTTTTGTTTTTTCAATATGGTCTTAGGTATTGCTTCGAGATCCATTGGATGAAAATGTTATCCCTGTCGTTGAGGAACTTCAAAGACGTTTACCTCCAGTAAGTCTCATTCCCCAAGGCCAAGGATATGGAAAAGAGTATCCCACTGGGCAAAATGATGTTGAAGCGGGTGAAGAGGATGGTATATTATTTATTTTTTTGAATGTGAAATGAGATTTATTTGGTCAATAAAAAATAAAGATGTGTTTTTTATGAAATGTATATTTTTCACTATCATTTTTTATTCTGTTTTTCTATATAATATAAGAATTTGTTTCATTCTTTTTTGAGTAATTAAACTCGTGCAATTTAGAGTCTCCATTTGAATTCCGGGCATTAGAGGTAGCTTTGGAAGCTATTTGTAGTTTTCTGGCTGCACGGACGACGGAGCTGGAGACAGCTGCTTATCCTGCTTTAGATGAGCTTACCTCCAAAGTGAGTAATTCTTCCACGTAATTACTGGTCCTGTTAATTATTTCTTTTTCTTTTTTTTTTTTTTTTTAAATTTTTGGTGTTCCCGGGGAGTGGCGGCATCTGATACCTGATCTTAAAATTATGGAGGTTGTCTTACCTTTTTGCACTTTTGTTTCCAGAAAACTGGAAGAGAGAATTGTTGACAGTTTGAGACAATTTTTCTTAAAGCCTTTTATGATTGAGCTTATCATTTGTGTGTTCTGTTTTTGCTATATTTCACTTTCATTTTGCATTCAACCTTTCGAGATTAATAAGTTTTTCTTTCAGGTGCTTCCTCTTTTGTAAAACATTTTCTGTCTCCCAATAATATTTAACCCATTGAATAGCTCATTTAAAAAAAATATGCAGATTAGTAGCCGTAACTTGGATAGAGTTCGCAAATTGAAGAGTGCAATGACGAGGTTGACTGCTCGTGTGCAAAAGGTATGCATATAGCAGCTTGTGTTTGCAAAAGATTGCAACATGGATACCTCTATTTGTCCTTTAATCATACATCGTTACCGCTTAGGAATTGATATTGGATTCTGTTCTCCCTTGTGACAAACGCTTCTGCTTGTTTCATACAGTTTCAGATGAAGGATTCTTGCCTCTTTTAGTGAATTATCCTACACAAAGAATTCCCGTCTCAAAAGATCTTGATATTTACAAAACCCAATACTTTCTTGGATTTTTTTTGTTTGTGTTTTTTCTTTTATCTGCAATCTATTGCAAAGTGGCAATTTCTATGGATGTTTATTCAATTTGTTTGTTCACAAGTACGAAGCGCATGTCTGTAATAGATGTAACACGTTTTGGGACAATATTAATCAAAAGTCAGCTGGGGAGGTATTGAAATAGGAAAATGTTTATAAATGATAAAAATTGATCTTGTTGCAGCAGGAGATTATTTTTCATGGGATTTAGAACAGACTTATTCATTAGTGATAATGAAAGATGCTTATAGCAATCACCCTAAAACTTCTGCAAATTAGGTAGGAAGTAATATATGCTCCTCTATTGTAGGTGAGAGATGAACTGGAGCAATTGCTAGATGACGATGATGATATGGCTGATCTTTATTTGTCAAGAAAGTTGGCTGGTGCATCGCCAGTTAGTGGATCAGGTGCTGCCAATTGGTTTTCTGCCTCTCCCACCATAGGTTCAAAAATTTCTAGGGCAAGTAGAGCGAGTGTGGCAACAGTACGTGAAGATGATAATGATGTTGAGGAGCTTGAAATGTTACTAGAGGTTGTACCTGTGTTTTACTTCTCATTATCTTGCTTATTATAAGTGGGAAGAAACCAATACCTAAAAGAGGTGGTAAACTATTATTGCAGGCCTATTTTATGCAAATTGATAGCACATTAAACAAATTAACCTCGGTATGCCTTTTTCCCTTTTATGTATACAGCACCTTTAATAGGGAAAGGAATATATATTATGCAATTTTTTTTTATACATTTCTTGATTTGAAAAATGCAGTTACGTGAATATATTGATGATACAGAGGATTACATTAATATTCAGGTAGGTGATGTTCAAGTTGAATAGTTAAAACTTTCTGTTTTTATTTCCTTTTTCATATGAGATTTATGATCCTTCTGCAGCTTGACAATCATCGAAACCAGCTGATTCAGGTGCTTAATTAATCCTTTTCTGAATACTGTTTTCATAACTAGATAACAGTTGCTCTCTCTCTCTCTCTCTCTCTCTCTCTCCCTCCTGGAAAACATGTGAATTGATTTCTTGTACATTTGTTTTCCTCTCTTACCTTTTTCTGCAGTTAGAACTGTTTCTAAGTTCTGGAACTGTCTGTTTATCCTTCTATTCTTTGGTCGCTGCAATCTATGGTATGAATATCCCGTATACGTGGAATCATGGCTATGGATACATGTTTAAATGGGTATGCAATGACTTCACATTAGTGAATACAGATATCAATTTCAGACGGATTCCATGTATGCTGAATCATGTTGTTTTTGATATTTCTAGGTGGTTATTGTAGCAGGAGCAATTTCTGCAGTTTTATTCATATTAATTATGTCTTATGCTCGCTACAAAGGTCTGGTTGGATCTTGAATTGAAAAGCCTATTTGTTCCCCTTAGGGAAATAACATTGGATTCTTCATCCGAAGGTATTATGGCCCTTACGTTTACATTTTTCACACATTTAATATTTTGAGACTGTCTTTTGATACGTTGAGAATCACGTCTCTCCCAAATTTCAGGGCAGAGGCTGGATCTATTCAAATGACTTGGTCTGAAAGAAGTTTGTCCAAGTCATCAAAAGCTTGAGTAATTGATTGGTTCAGGTGAAGACAAGTGGTAATTGTAAAACAATACAGAATGAGATACATTTACTTGGCAGTTTTCCTTGATATTGATCCATAATTTTTCCATTTCTACTGATGGACATCAGTATTTGGCATGAACATTGGTGTTATATTTGTACATTATAGCCATTACTATACATTTCAAAGCAAACATGGTTGTCAACTGAAAAATAATATATACAAGTAATTTATTGATTGAGATTATTTTTTATCAGTCATTTTTTTAAGATAAAATGCTATTGGGGTTGATAACTAATTACAGAGTATTGATTGATAACTAATTACAGAAATTCCGTGGATTAGTGAACTTGTACTACAAAATGGAAGCAAAACAGCTTATGTACATTTCTACTTATATTGTGAACTCAGATGTGGACTTCGTTAAGTGTCAGTATCGCAATGCACGACACATTTGCTTCTTTTATCCACCAATTATTTGTTTTTGTGTTTCTCTTGTTGGTTCTATTTCCGTTTTCAAAGATGCAATCTTTTGGCCTGCAGGAGAAGTTCCTGTCTATACGAAACCTGTCAGTGTATGCTATATTTGCGTTGGCCCATCTTTGTCGTTGGTGCATATCTAACTTTCCGAGTTCTAGCATCCTCGTTTTGGATGCATGTTTAGAAGTTCAAAATAAATACTCGGAGAATGAGTTCTACTTTAAAGTAGAATGTGATGTCCTGATAGTTTTTTCACGTTTTATAAGAAATATAAAAAATGAGACATCTCGAAGTTAGTCATTTTTATTATAAAAAAATTATCACTGATTAGAAAAATGTTTTATTTTTCTATTTAATTTAAATAAATTAATTGTGAGTAGATTTTTTTAAAAAAAAAATTTAAGGTGACTCAATTATTTTCTTTATTTATTTACAAAATAATAAATTATCAAATTTAATAGAAATAATATATTAATTAATTTTATAAAAGTTGCCATTGCATTATACATTTGTGTCTTTAATGCATTGTTTGAAAAATGAGAGAAAAGCGTACCAAAACATCCGGATCCGGCAATAGATCTGAGTGCAAATTTCCTACCCTAATAGTCACAAAAGAAAAAGGAGGAAAAAATTATTTTAAAAATAATACTATAATTTTCTTAATCCATTTATATTTGTTTTCAATTACTGTATCGAGACGCGGATCATATTTCCCCGAGGAACACATCGGCGCCGATACTATTTGATCTAACGATTGTCAATCATTCTCAGTGTGGGACCGTAATCCATTTGGCAACTACGTAACAGTCTATTTGACTTTTCAATTTCCAGGATTTCATCACAATATTAACGTGTCATCTACGTGGGTGACGCTAACATAGCCTGTTAAATTACGGGCCTTATGGCAACCGTGGGCGACGCTAACATAGCCTGTTACAGTAACCGGGGTACGCCGCAACGACACCTGCAACCGAAAGCCAACGCCAAGTAAACAAAAAAAACAAGAAACGTTAAAGTCAGAGACGTTAACCCATCCTGCACACATTATTCCTCGTTCTCCAAACGAAATTGTGTAGTCGTTCTTTGTCGCAAAACACAAACACAAAACACCGCTATATCTATTTATATATAATTTTTGTTTTGGCTTCATTGTTGTGTGATTGTTTTGAAATAGGAATATCTGAAGCCTCGAAAGTTAGATCATATCAAGAGGCATTACCATTGTCTGAATCGAACAAGACCCTCGCGAATACTGTTTTGTTTTGTTTTTTTTTTTTTTTTTCCCTTTTTCTTTCTTTGTTTGGCTTCATTGTTGTGTGATTGTTTGAAATAGGAATACGAATGCTCCTGGCGAAGTTTTAGAATCATACTGAGAGAGCATAGCATGGATAACCGAATATAGGTCTGAAATCGAACAAGACGCTCAGCGAATACTTGTTTGTTTATTTTGTTTTTTTTTTTTTTTTTTTTTTCCCTTTTTCTTTCTTTAAATTTCCTTCTCCTTTTTCTCGCATGCCAAACAGAAAATTGGGCACTTCTGTTTGTGGCTAACGGCAAAATAGATCTGGTGTACTGTTGCGTATTGGTTTACATGCAGCATGTGGGATACGTAAATGAATAAAAAGAAAGATTTGTGAAGATATGTTGAGCCAGGAGGTGAAGGTCCAAAGAGAGAAGCTTGTTTCATGCATCACATGTACTCTCTGCAATAAGCTGTTCAGAGACGCCACTACTATCTCTGAATGTCTCCATACTTGTAAGACGGAACTCTCTTTATATAAAAATGTTTTATATGTGATATTCAACTTATTATTTTGTTATGTGATTTAATTTGTGTTTTTACTTTATTTCTTGATCTGGTTGATTGTTATTTTACATAATCTTTATTTGCACTTTATAGCTATTGGTTTAAATTCTGTAATCAAAGTTGCTATTTTTTCAGATTAGTTTTAGCTGCATATCATATTATTATTGTGTCAAAGAAGAAAAGAAAATCTAATCTTCCTATTCAATTTGAAAATAGTTTGCAGAAAATGTATATATGAGAAGATAGCTGAGGAAGAGTTGGATACCTGTCCAGTGTGTAATATCAACTTAGGGTGTGCTCCATTGGAGAAGCTCAGGTATTTGATTATTTTCTATTCTCTTTAGTTAATTCATTCTCCAATTGCAATTAATCTATATATTAAATAGACTAATTCTCTGGTTTTGCATAGTTTAGAGCCAAATCTTGCCAATCAATTGAAGTGTTGTGATTGTGTATGAATTGCAAGCTTATGTAATTTTTGTTATATGCAAGTTTTTTTTTTTTTTTTTTTTTTTTTTTTTTTTTGATATTATAAGAACTATAAAGTGTATTGTGTTTGTCATCGGATATCGAGATAATTATCGGACAATAGAATTATTTTCGAGTTGTGCCTAGGCATTTAAGAGAGGGGTGTTTTTGGCTCAACAATAGTAAACGTTGAGTAACTTAGGTTTAAAGTAGTTGATCTATAGAGTATAAACCTTAATTAAACTGCTTTGCTATGGTAACTTCTAGCAAGGTAGATAACGTTTGAAGATTTAAAGGCTAAACTCTTTCACCAAAAGAGAAAGGCATTTTTTTTTTTTTTTTTTTTTTTTTTTGGTATAGAAACTAGCAGATGTTGTGTGTTCCATCTGTTGATATGCTACTTAATATCGCAATTAGAAATTAATTTTCGAGTTTGTCCTAGCGCATTAATTAGTCCTGATTGGCAAACAAAGAACGTTGAGAAACTAGGCATGAATTTAGTTGATGCCTATAGAGTATACACCTTATCTTAACTTGCTTTGCTATGTTACTCTACAGGGTAGATCACTGTTTGGAAGATTTAAAGGCTAAACTCTTTCCATCCAAAAGAGAAAAGGCTAAGGCACCTGCAGTAGTTCCATTACAAGGCAGAATAAAGGAGAGATCTCTCTCTTCATTGGTAGTTAGCACACCAAAAGTATCAGAAAAATCTTTTCTTCCTGGAAAAAGATTAAAATCTATTGCGAGGAAGAATCCAGGATTGCGTGAATCTTATCTCTTCGATCATAAACCTGTCAAGAAAGTAGACGACTCCCATGATATGAGTTTAAGTTCACGAGAGACACTATGGAAAATTGCACAAACTAAAAGGCAGGTAATGGATGCCAATTTTTCCCGATATAATCAGTCCCTTAAAAATTTTGTGCTTTTGCTTTGATAATTGATGTGTAACCACATTGTGAAGGTGCATAATTCTACTTCCGAGCCATCCAAAAAGAAGAAGAAAAACGAAGATAAAAAAGAGAGTACTGAACCATGTGAAGGCAAAGCTGATTTTTACAAGCCCTTAAATTGCTTGGTTGAAGCTGCAAACAAATCCAAGCTGAATAAGTGTGATCCATTGGAAACTTTTGTTAAAATGCAGCTACCTGGTCCTGCACAGAAGGAAGTTCAAGCACTTAAAGTTGATGTTAAGGAAAATGGTTACAACTCAAAAGCCAATGGTGATGAAAATAACGATTCATCATATCCATCAACATCAATAAATTCAGTTAAAACTAAAAAGTTGCAAGGCATACAAGCAGCTGTCTCTGAGGGCTCGATCATTCCAGCGCTAGCTGTTGTTAGTGCTAGTAGTAAATTTGATGGAAGATTTAATCCAATTTGGTTCTCATTAGTTGCTTCTGATGATCAGTGAGATTGGTTTTCATTTGCCTTTATTGGAGATATGAATGAGTGAAGTTATGTTTAAATTTACTGACATTTCAACTAATGATTACAGGGAAGGAGATGTACCCTTGCCTCAGATATCTTCATGCTACTTGAGGGTTAAGTGAGTCCCTCTGTGCTTCGTTGATTGATTTTACTTTTAGTTTAATAGAAATTCCATTTCTTTTTTGCTGTTATAATTCATCTATTAAAAGCAGAGTTCCCTTCAGTTTTCTACAAAATTTCAATCATGTGTTTGAAACAACTTGATTTTAATGGTTTCATCTGGGAATTGCATATGCCTAGCCTAACCTTTTGTTGACCATTTACTTAAAACAAGAGCATCTTGAGAGGCAATTATTTAAATTTGTCACAGGGATGGGAGTTTACCCGTTTCATATATTAAGAAGTATCTGGTGCAAAAGCTGGGACTTGCTAGTGAGGCTGAGGTAGTTTCAGTTAAAGTTATATATGCAACTAAACTAAAGCTCGCGAATAATGGAGAGAGATTTACTATTGAAATTTCCTACAGGTAGAGATATCATTACACGGGCAGCCGGTGATTTCAACATTGCAGCTGCATAATTTGGTGGAGTGGTGGTTGCAGATGACACCTACATCTATTATACAGACAACTGTTGGAAGCTCAGCCAAAGATTTTGTAATGGTGCTATCATATGGCCGAAAAGTTCAACCTCCATGAAATATTCTGCTCCATCAACGAAACTGCAGTGAGAAACTGCAGTGATCTCAATCTGAATAACCCGAGACAGTAGTTCTTTTTGGCCAGATGTAATGGTCCAGAATTTTGAATTTTCATCTTGTATACGGAAGTTAAATTCGTTGCTTTGACAGTCTTGGATATTTTGTTCTTTTCTTTTCCCTTGTAAACGTATAGAAATGGTAGATATTAGAAATGGTAGATATTGTAGACAATATAGAAACAACAAGAATACTTCCTTTCATTTCACAGATAAATTTTGGGATTCTGGTAAAGGCAGGACAATTGTAGCCTGTGGGGTTCTTGCTGGCCGAACAAGCTGGCTAAGATGAATACCGAAAATATTTTTGCTGATGCATATTTATTGAAATTGTTAAGGCAGACAATGGTTTCCTAACATTTGTTTAATTTTTTAATTAAATAATGGAAGCAAATATTTACCGTCCTTAATTAATTTGCCAAAAGAAAATGAAATGAGTCAATCTCACTCTATAAGATTCCTCATTATATTATAACAATAATTAGAAATAGTCACAATCTTCAAATTTTCTAGCAGGCACTAATAAAGTTGGTCTACTGAAGTTTAACGACCCAAATTCCACTTGGGCGTTTCAAGACTTCAACTTTCTGTTGTACAGTTAGTGTCTCATAGACAGTTTACACAGATAGAGAGGTAAACGTATTAGATTTGAACAAAATTACTGCCTCATTATCTGCAGCTGCTGCCAGAAGGATTTCTCTGCTCAGCATATCAAGGCAGAATACATTTGCAAGCCATGGCAACTAAAAAAGAATAGGAGAAAACATTTTATGGCTCAATAACTTGTCCAAAATCTAGTAAAGCACAAATCATATCACAATTACGATTACTTGAGGACTCTTTATCATCACGTGTTTTCCCAGAGAAAAATATGACATAGCTACAGTGACATCCTAAATTGACTGCATACCAAGATAAACAAAGTGTAAAAGAATATTAACCACATTATCACCAAACAAGAAGTTCTGAAACAAGGAATAAATAGTGCTTAATGCAAACACATAGCTCACTTCTGACTCTTTGGACAGGAATATTAAATCATTATTTCCAGCATTTCATACCTTCTGTATGAACTCCACTAAGTACAGCATTTCAATCAAAAGAACGAACAGGTTGCCCATTATAAGTGAACATCTTCTAGAATTGATAATCAAAAGAATCAAAACCCCAATTGGTAGACAAATTCTTGATAGTAAGATCTTGACAATTAAAATATTTAGCAACAAAAGAAGCTAAACTTTGATGAACGCTATAAACATCTTACTAAACTATAACACTTGGCACCAGTAATTCACATTCTTTATCAAGAAAGAAGTTCAATGCAAGAATCACCTTCACATCAATATCCATAGCAATTATAAATTTTGTCAAAAGCAAGAATTTTTTTTTTTTTTTTTTTTTCATTTCTTCATAAAACAGAACTGCCTAACTAAAAAGAAATTATCAAGTACATCTACAGCTCCAGTCCCCCTCTTGGGCTGTCATCATCAGAAAGCAAGTTCACATACGGTGACGTTTCAATGTCATCCGCTACAAGATCATCCGTGCTCCTGAGAACCGCGTGCAAAACCACCAAAACAACGCCGATTACAACAGCAACCAATAAATTAAGCCAAACGCCACTCCAGATCAAAACCAAAATCGTCGCCACAAAAAGCAAAACTAAAACCACCAAATCATTCACCTGGTAACCGAAAATAATGAGCGGCTCATTGCGAGAGAAGTAGAGAAATACCCAAGCAATAAACGTGATTAAGAAAGCGATTAAGGAGAGGGGATGATAAAAGAGACTCAAGAAGAGGACAATCAAGATGATTAGTGAGTAATTAGAGCGAAAATGAGTGAGATTTTGAGTTATGCGAGTAGTAGCGTCGGGGATAGAAGATGGAAGATTGAGTGAGGTGAGGTCTAGGAAAACGGACCATGGGCGAAGGCCGGCGTTTAGAGATTGGGCAGTTTGCTTGAAACCAGAAAGAAATTGGGGAGCAGTTGTCATTGTTACAAAATAAAGATCGAAACTTTCGGATTCAGAGGATTTTCATTTCGTTTCAAACAAGAAATTTTTATGGAGGAACCGTGTCAATAAGGGCGAGTTAATGAGAGTCAAGTTGACTCGGGTATTTTTCAGATTTAATTAATCATAGTCTTCGACTTTATAAACGGATTTTGGGCTTGTATTCGTTAAGAAGACTTTTCATCGGTATTCGGCCCAAACTGTTGGGCATGACTAAAAGCGTTAGTGAAAAAACTTACTAATTTGGAGATTTGGAGGACGACTATCGCGTAATAAAACTGTGACAGAGTAGGATAACGACAAACTGTCATCACTAATTTAGTATAGCAATTCCTTAAACTGGTTTAGGGATTTCCTCAACTGAATCGGAATTTCACTCTCCTCACAACCAAACGGTTATCAGATATTATTGCCCCCCGGCATGAGTTACATTCGGAGATGGACAGAAGGTATTTTCAGTTTGTAGTTTATGACTGTTAAATCTTCGAAAAACCTCTGCAAATGCAAAATATTTCCCAAATTCTTTAGTTAGAACTGTTTATTGAAATCAACTACCAGAAGCATTCCTTACAGTTCACAGATTCTATCCGCCATATCTTTGAGTTGCTTTAATGGCTCTGGCACCTACTCGCCAATTACACTTCGATTCCTTTCAAAGTTCCTTCTCCACATTCTATGGTACTCCTCTCCGATTCCTCAGGTGCAATTCCTCAATTCCTCTAAAAGCTCAGACTTTTTATGCAAATAACGAGAACCCACCTAGGAAATCCATACCTGTTTCTCAACAGAAACTCGTTAACTTAAGTTTATCGACTAGCAGTTGGTTCTCTAAATGGAAAAAACCCAATAAAGAGAACCGCCCAAAACCCCCTCAGCCAGTGCTAAATTATCGAATTAGTAACAATAATGATAGTGGCGGTAGTACAATGGAAAGAATTGTAGAGAAATTGAAGGAACATGGGTACATAGATGGTGATGCTAATGGCAAGAAACAGAAAACACCAGAGAGAGCAGAGAAAGGGAGCGTAGAGGATATATTCTATGCGGAAGAAGGAATTTTGCCAAATTCAAGAGGTGGGTTCTCGAAGGAATCTCCTTTAGGAGTAGAAGATGTGTTTAAAAGTAATGAGGATGTGAGGTTTCCATGGGAGAAGCCTAAAAAGGAGCAGAATGATAATGGGAAGCAGTGGACGGCGCAGAGCAAGAGTAGGACGGCTTTGGCAGAGTTGACATTGCCGTTGTCAGAGTTGAAGAGGTTGAGGAACTTGACTTATCAAATAAAGAGCAGGGTCAGGGTTAAGGGTGCAGGGGTTACTCAGGAAGTGGTGGATACCATTCATGAGAAGTGGAAGACATCAGAGATTGTGAGAGTGAAAGTTGAGGGAGCACCTGCCCTTAATATGAGGAGGATGCACGAGATATTGGAGGTTTGTGCTTCCTCTGAATTTGGTTTTGACTTTTATTTTTGAATGTGATTTACTTTCTATAGTGCTGAGTATTGGCTGTTAGTGAATTTATTTGTCTTAGTTTTTCTTGATTGGTGATTGAATATCAATTGAAAGCAGAGGAATAGCTAAATCAATATTAATGACATGTCAATGATTTTGACAAATAACACTTTTCTTGGAGATGGGTAAAACAGCAGGCAAAGTGGTAAACTATATATTGAAAAGAAATACTGTATAATGATTTAGTATGGTTTCATTCCATCACATCAAAAAGAAATATTGTATGATAGCTTTAGAACCATTATCATGATCGGTTTAGTTACTGATTTAATGGCTTTGGTATATGTGTTCTTTTGTATACATTATTGCCTCTACTGCACTGCTTGGCATGCAGGGATGTGTTATGAATCTGCCTTTCATGTCCAAGAGAGGGGGAAGAAGGCAGCATTAATTATATGAAAATCATATGTAGGAAGATTATCTAATAGTATCTGATTGAATATTTATTTTCATCTTTTGATTGATATTTTAATACTATTATAACTCTTTTATACCTATTTCATTTTGTTATATGTACAACTTCTTTTCAGAGAAAAACTGGTGGTTTGGTGATTTGGAGGTCTGGAACTTCTGTATCTTTATATAGAGGTGTGAGTTATGAGGTTCCATCAGTGAAACTTAGCAAACGGAGTTTGAAGAGGAATGAGATGTTGACTGATTCCTTATCAGCCACCACTGCTAAAATAATTAGATTCCCTTCTAAAACTTCTAATAATGAATTGGATGTGCATCAATCAAACTCGCATGCTACTGCTAAAGACAAGGAGGAGAAAGAAACGGAAAGGCCAGAACAGGTAGAATATGAAGACGAAGTAAACAAACTGTTGGAGGGTTTGGGTCCCAGGTGCACGGATTGGGGTGGCATGGATCCATTACCTGTAGATGCTGATAGGCTTCCTGGTTTCGTTCCTGGTTACAAACCTCCATTCAGGATACTTCCTTATGGAGTGAGACGTACTCTTGGACGAAAAGATGCAATGAACTTACAGAGGCTTGCAAGAGTTATTCCTCCACATTTTGTATTAGGTTTGTCACTTTCCAATCGGTAATACTTCATTTAATTTTACAGTTCTTTTAAACTGTTTGTGCAATTTTGATTTCCAGGTAGAAGCAGGCAGCTCCAAGGCTTGGCTGCAGCTATGATCAAATTATGGGAAAAGAGTTCGATTGCAAAGATTGCTCTTAAACATGGTGTACAGCTGACTACTAGTGAAAGAATGGCTGAAGACATTAAGGTAATAAAACATCCAGCAAAAGCCTGGATTGAATCTATAATATCCAAACATAGATGTTATCAGATTTTTAGATCACATTCCAATATCAGATTTATGGTTTATTTATATAAAAAAATAGTCGAAAGACTTCCGTTTCTAATGAAATAAGTGTTCTTGCACTGTGTACTTCATGCATATACACTTGCAAGTCATTTATGTCTTTCTTCTTGTTCTTAGTGAAAAAAATACTTCATCTCAGGGATCTATGCTGAGAATGACTTTTCACTGAAGTTCTTTTCTCCAATCTGTTGAGTAGTATGCTTGTGGAAAGTTGTAAATTAATGGATGAGCTACTAGGAAACTGGCCGACCGTTGCTTTAGTTTTTTAATGGTGGGTCTTTCTTTAATACCCCAACAACTGCAATTGTTTGAAAAAGTTATCTGCTCCTTCTTTCTAGAAAGTCCAAAACAAGCATCAACTTGTGGAAAGTTTCCTATCAGAAACCATGGCTCCCTTCATGTTCCACTTCCACATAACCGTCTATTGCAGGTGCTTTCTTGAGTATGAGAAATAAAGACGGTCATTAATTTCCTCATAGTGATTTTTTTATCACTGTATGTATTTGGTTCTGCAATCTGAGAAGCAAGATGATGCAACCAGTCATCTTAGATCCCGTATAGACTGTCATGCAATGGTAGATAAAGCATCCATCAAGTAGTACTGCACAACTGATGAAATCACTTGCTTCTGCCTGATGCTTTAATTTTGATTTGCCATTGGGCAATGCCAGAAGAATAACAATTGATCCTTTTTTTGGCTGCAGAAATTGACTGGGGGTACGCTGCTTTCTAGAAACAAGGACTTCTTAGTATTCTATAGGGGAAAGGATTTTTTGTCACCAGATGTCGCTGAAGCATTGGTAGAAAGAGAGAGATTGGCAAAATCCTTACAAGATGAAGAGGAGCAGGCACGGTTAAGAGCAGCAGCCTTGGTTGTACAAAGTGCTGAAACAATGGAACAATCAGGAACTGCAGGCACTCTTGAGGAAACTCTGGATGCAAATGCAAGATGGGGAAAGAATTTGGACAATAAACACAGTGAAAAAATTATGAGAGAAGCTGAAATAGCCAGGCGTGCCAAGCTTGTCAGAAAGCTTGAGAGCAAGCTTGCTTTTGTATGTTCCTTCAAACTCGGGTCTGATGCAATATATTTTACTTGTTAAAGTGCTATATTGAACTGTGAAATATGAGTTTGTACTATTAGTGACCTCATCGGTACTTTTTTTAATAGGCTGAACGAAGGCTAATCAGAGCTGAACGAACCTTATCTAAGGTGGAAGAATCTTTAAAACCAGCAGAAAGACAGGTTGATCCAGAAAGCATAACTGAAGAGGAGAGATTTATGTTCCGCAAGCTTGGTTTGAGGATGAAAGCTTTCTTACTTCTTGGTAAATCGAGCTTCCTGTGTGATAAACTTGGATTTGCTTGAGAATATTTTACGAGAGTGGATTGTCTTGCTTCAGGTAGACGTGGAGTTTTTGACGGTACAGTGGAGAACATGCACTTGCACTGGAAGTATCGTGAGTTGGTTAAGATCATTTTGAAAGCCAAAAATTTTGAACAGGTCAAAAAAATTGCATTAGCACTTGAAGCTGAAAGTGGGGGTATCTTGGTTTCGGTAGACAAAGTCTCCAAAGGTTATGCTATCATTGTATATCGAGGAAAGGATTACCAGCGACCATCCACATTGAGGCCAGGAAATCTCTTGACGAAAAGGAAAGCTTTGGCTCGTTCAATAGAGATGCAAAGGCGCGAGGTATTGTTGCAAATCTGTATATTTTTGTCAAATAAGTTTAAATTCATTCAATTTTAAATTTCAAAGTGCATGTGAAACCAATGATTTGCACTCCAGCTGTCACAGTACTCTGAGAACGTGTGCGTGTCCTCATTTTTGTTGACTTCTAACTTAACATTGGTTCTTTGGGCTAACGTTTTGTTGCTTCCTTTCGACAATACCTTGAGACCCTGACCAATAGTGACTTTTCGTTTGCTGTATGGACTTTGTGCCTCTATTGCACTCCATCTTATACATATTTACCAATCATGAATACATAATCTTAAAAACCTTGAACTAGATATTTACAGAAAACAATTCCAATGGCTGACTTATTATATTGTCAAACAGGCTCTCCTGAATCATATTTCAGCTCTGGAGAAGAAAGTGAACAAAATAAGAAGTGAAATTGTAAGCTTCACTTACAATATAGCTATTTCTACTGTTCACCATGTTCAATCTGATGTTATATGTTTGTTTCATGTTGACATTTTTAGGAACAAATGGAGAGTAAAGGAGACGAGGAAATGTACGACAGATTAGATGCTGCATATCCTACAGATGATGATGACACTGAGGTCTGTTTATAATTTTCTTCTTTATATTTTTTTATATGCTAAATGGGGATTCAAGCACCTCTCTTTTTTCTTTTTTATCTTTCTTTTATAGGAGGGAGGAGATGAAGCATATATTGAGGCACACAACATTGATAATGATTCTAATTATGATGATGATGATGATGATGAAACTGACAACATAGTTCATAATGTCCATCCGGAAACAAGCTTTCCTTATTATGTCCAGAATCAAGAATCTGAAACAGAAACTGAGGTCTCTATATACTTAATATTCCATATCTGCTGTCTTTATTTGTTTTATGCACTGTTCTAACACCATTTCTCATTTATCCATTTCCATAGAGTTATGATCAGTTTCCTGAGACATTCAAGGGCAAAACTGATGGTGAAGAAGATGACGGTGAAAGTGAAAATGTTGTTCAAAATAGTCATACAAGTTTTCAGTACGATGTCCAGAATCAAGTATCTAAGAATCAATTTGAGGTATGTGATGGGAATGCATCAGCAGTAGTCTATGACGTTTTGGTATCTGTTAAATCCACTGGCCTGACACCCTTTTATTTATCCACTTCAATAGAATGACAGACATGAAGCAGTTCTCGAGTCTCTTGAAGGTGAAACAGATGACTTTGAAGTTCAGAATCCCCTTTCAAATTTTCCCATTGAAGTGTCCGAGGAAGAAGTTGAGTTTCACAGAGAACATGCATAAGCACCAAGGAACATGGTGTGCACAAGCACGGAGCGAAGGGACAAAAATACTGGTTTATGTTGATTGACCTAATTACAAGGCACGAGGTATAACTGCAGAACAATTTAAACGAGAATGTTGCCATTGCCTAACAGCAATTAAGATCTCCAACCACCTTCAAATCTGTTATGATCCTAGTTGCAAGGTACAGACATCTCCGAGAGCATGCATATATACCTATATTCACACAGGCTTTTGTAGTAAATTGGTGCATTTGGCTCTTGTTGGCTATTTACCATTTTTTTCATATGGCTGTGAAGTATAATTAATGTGGAACAAGTTCAAAGCTTGACCAGCTTTTCTGATATAAGAAAGAAAGACGAAAATTGTATATGTCAATGTCATTCTTAGCAAGCCTTTCTGGCTTCTGCAGTAAATGATCTTGTATGCCACTGTTCAAAATTCTATAATACATGTTATGGAATATTTTTCCAAGCTTACTCATTGAAGGAATGTAAAATCCTAACCGTTCCAATAGAATGATTATAATGAAAATGCAATACTTCAACTCCAATAAAATATAAACTAGCGCAGTAACTCTTTATTTTTCTTTTTTTTTTTTTTTTTTTTTTGAAGTGTCGAAGAAGAAGTTGAGTTTTAACAGAGAAAAGTGAGCGTATATGACACGAGGAACATGTGTTACACAAGCACGTGAAGTACGAATGGAACTCAAAGTATAAACTTGGTATTAATGGTGTGATATGACCTATTACAAGGCACATAGGTTATAACTGCCAGAACAATTTAAACGAGAATTGTATGCATATTTACCTAAATGATCTAATAGAGTGATAATAAAAGCGATTAAGATCTCAACCACCTAGGTTCAAATTCTGTTAATGATCACGTGAAATGGATCAAGGTACAGCATCTCCGAGAAAGCATGCATAATATTACTATATCACACAGGAGTAGTTAATTGGGGTGCATTGAGGGTCTTGATTGCTAATTACTCGGGGAGAGTTTTTCATAATGTGTGAAGTATATCATATAATTGAGAACAAGTCAAAGCTACCAACTTTCTATATAAAAAAGAAAAGTAAATTGTATATTCATCATTATCTTAGCAAAGCTTACTGTCTGAGTAAATGATCTTGTATGTCCATGTTCAAAAAATTCTATAATCATGTTATGGAATACATTTACAAGCTTAACATTGAAGGGAAGTAAAAATCTAACGTTTCAATAGAGATATATATGAAAATTAATTTTTTTTTTTTTTTTTTTTTTTTTTTTGGCGTGTAAGCTGACAGGTAGCCGCCTTTTCATAACTAACGACAACAGCAAAGTGGGCCATTTTTTTATATTCTTAACTTTTGTCAAAAAAAAAAAAGGTGAAAAAAAAAGTGAGACCTGGTAGTCGTAGACCGCATAATGTTATAGAAAATTAGAAAACCAACAGCTCCTCCACTTCCATATTTCCAAATCCAATGACCAGAAAGTAGGCCCCATTTCAATTAGCTTTGAAGCGACCAAAACGAATATAGTTTGACCACATGCCAAACGTGTCTCATTGACTTCATAACAAATGGAGAAATCCTGTTATTTATAGCCGTAGAAACCACAATTTGAAATTCCCACAACAAAAAAAAGATGGATCAATTTTCTGAAGAGGATTTTCTAGGTGATGTCTTTTGGTCTGAGATTGAAACACTGAATCAAAGTTCTTTCTTGCCATATACAAGCACACCCATAAACCAAATCTGGGTAAATTATAATTCTAGCAATAATGGATCAAATTCTACTAACTTGAACAAGAGAATGATAGAATTCATGAAGAAAAGTAGTTGTCCAATAAGGATTGAAACTCAAGAATCTGAGAGCGAGAGATTTCATCGCCGGAAAATGTGCGAAAGATATAGAAGAGAAAAGGAAAAAAAAGAGTACTCGGCCCTTCACTCCATGTTGCCCCTTGGCACCAAGGTTAAATATTTCCCTGTTATGAGCTCAAATCTCATTTCGAAGCAAGTTATATAATCCATATTTCTTAGTTATTGATGAAGGAAGCGATGTAAAGTTCTTTTGTTTTATTTTTTTTCTATTGCAGAATCATAAGAATTCGATTATGCAGATGGCGGCAAAGAGAATTCAAGAGCTGAGTGGTTATAAGGAAGCGTTGCAGAGGAGAAACCATGAGCTTGAAGTGAAATTGGCTGCCATAGGCATTGGAAATGTGAGAAGTACTAAAATAAAGTTCAAAGTAGCTAACCCAGTATCTGGAGCGGATTACATTATGGAGGTGCTTAAGTGCTTGAATAGCTTGGGATCAAAAATCAGAACCATTCAATCAACATTTTCTCATCAGGAACTTGTAGCTGTAATGGATATCGAAACTGAAGTAATACCCGTCTTCTTTCCTATTCCAATTAACCATATTTTCATTGGGTTCAAATTCGTAATTTTACTGTTATAAAATGACTTCAGTACTGTTAAAGTTTTTTATTTTTAAAATAAACTAATTTAAAAAAAAATTTCATGCTGGTTAAAGTAATAGAAATAATAAGCATGTGCGCAGTCACTTAAGACATGCTAATTTGCCACGTTTTATTTATGGGTTACGCTAATTAGATTCGTTAACATTTGGAAGATTTCAGATGCTGACGTAAGAAAAGAAGTGCAGAGAACACTAGAGGATGCTGAAAGGAAATTCCACTTTCATTTCCCAGAAGGTTGCTGAAGCTAATCAAACAAAAAATTGGGGTTGCTCCAATTACTATTTTCTTTAGTGATTCTTTATTAATAATCCAATGTTTAAGTCTTCTCAAAAAAAAAAAAAGAAAAAAAAAAATCCAATGTTTAGCGATTTAATACACAACCCTATGTTTTAAATTGACTAGAGACTTAAACTATTATAACACTACTAGTGTTACAGTTAAGGATTAAGCAATCATAAAGGACTCATTTTTATCTTATTATATTATTTATTTTAGCTCAAGTGGAAAGGCAAAGTCTATCTAAGGTAGTATTTTGTTCAACTTTGGATTTCTCTATGTTAAAAATCAAATATTTATAACATAATCAAAGGAATGTTGAATAGAAAACACAGTTAATGACTTTTGTGAGATTATGGTCTTTTGGATCGCCCACCTTCAAATCTGCAAAGTTGGTTGTATATGTAAATTTTCATAATAGGAGGTATATAGAAAAATTTTCAGATTGAACAAATTGTATTTGTGTCAATGTTTCAAGCACAGATCTAGTTAGGTGATTATGTTGACAATAGTCAATCCTCTACTTTGTAATCTTTGTTGTCTAAAATCCAACCTACTGATTAACGAATTGGTCGATTAATAAGCTAATGGATTGATTAATCAATTTTATCGGCTCCAAATTAGCAAAATATATATTTTAAAAATTTCGCGAATAACTTTTAGTATAAAAATAAATAAATAAATAAGAAATTAAAAAAAATCAATTTTTCGGAATTCGTAGTCAAGGGGCACAAACGCGTCTTGTTGCTTGGTTTTTATTGTATCTTAATTTATCTTTTTCCCTTTCTGTATTTAGAGTGAGAACAGATTGACAGAATTCTTAATAAGAGGTATCAAACTATTCAAATTACACAGCATCCTAGATTCGTTAATATTTTAAAAAGCTGGTTAGGCTTTCTTTTCATTTGATAGACGAAAAAAAGTCATTAAAAATCATTCATCTTTAGATAAAAAAGGGATCATAAATACTTTCACCGGTAAACCAAACTGATCTTCCAAAATAACCAAAACATAAAAATAAAAACTTCGGGTACTAATGAAGAAATGCAAAATGAAGCATCCAAAATTGAAAAATCCAAGAGCATACTTTATATTATCATAAAATATCCAGAATAATTCAAAACCAAAGCAAAATCCCTAGAACAATTGTTTAAAGACCTAGACATATAAAGCAACAATTTAAATAGACAAAATATTGATCAACATAGCCGTCCTCATGTAATAGGAAATAACTAGAGTATCCAAGCTGCAGCAAAACATTTCACTTAAGAGGAATGAACCTAGACGAGTGGGTGGCACCAATACCAGGTCTACCATGTTTCACAGGCTTGTATGAGATTGAGAACTCAGCAAGATAATGCCCGATCATCTCAGGCTTGATTTCAACTTGGTTAAAGGTCTTCCCATTGTACACACCAATAATGCTTCCAATCATTTCGGGAACAATAATCATATTGCGGAGGTGGGTTCGAACTGGTTCTGGTTTCTCACCAGGTGGTGCTTCCCTTTTCTACAACAAGACAAAAAAGGAGAAAAAAATGTTTAAGTGATGATACACACTAAAAAAAACGAAACGCAATCGACAGATGACATCATTGGTTGAGCAATTAACCCTATAATAAATTAATGAGTTTGAGAAGCATCTTGGTAATACAACACCAGCCCGCAACAAAAAGAAGGCAACTTCAAAAATCCATAGATTAGTCCAAATTTCTGAATCAAGGACCATTTTCCTACCACTGATCCTATATAAAGCGTTAAATATACCAGCAAATTCCCACACAGTAGACAATGACTTTGGGGTGAAAACAAAAAGCATAGACTAAAAAATTGTAAGTGGCAGGTACTAATTCAATCAAGATCGGAAGATAAGGACGGATAACCCAAAAAGATAAATATTACAAATGCTAACGGTAATCAATTTACTTCCAGATTTTCAAGTAACAACCAACGGATCAAGAGAAAATTAAATCAATAATCCTATGACTACCACTTGATTCACAAAATTCCAACCCAGGGATTGACAATTTGTAGAGCAGCAACTTTATACAATCCTATGACTATTTCTTATCAACGCATTCATTTGAGCAATAATTGAAAAGATATCAGAAAATAAGGAAAGATCAACCAGTTATTCAATTGATCAATCCAGATAAATGTCAAAGTAATTTATCTCCTCAAACTAAGCACTCACGTTCAATTAAAACACACAAGCAACATAGTAAAAATTAGAAATCAAATCCCTAGATTCAAGCAAAATCACAAGTTATCACTTAAACCATTAAGACAGAATGATTAGTTACGAATTCTTACCGCCTTGCGCAGCTTCTTGATAAGAGCCATTGGCTTCCTCTTCAGACCTCTCTGAAACCTATAATAAACATTTTCAAATACATTGATAACGGGAAAAAAATAACCAAATGTACATACAAGAAAATAAGTATATTACAAAATTATTTACCTTCTGCGAGCACGGGCAGGAAAGAGTTTGACAAGCTCATCAGTGGTCATGTCAAGGAGAGCATCCAAATCCACTCCCCTAAAGCTGAACTTCTTGAACGTTCTCTTCTTTGGCTGTCCTGCAGCCACCTCTGTCTCCACATCCGCCTATACACACATTTACCACAGGCAATTTGTTATACGCACGTTATAGATACATCGATCGAGAGAGAGAGAGAGAGAGAGAGAGAGAGAGTACCATGGTTGCTGGTAGTTGATTGGAATCAGAAAACCCTAACCGGAGAAATAAGCTCGAACAGGATTAGGCCGCTAGGGTTTTTGAGTAGGGGAACTTGTGAGAGGAGCAGAGTTGCGCTTATATATCCTTTACAAATCAGTGCGTAACCCTAAAATGAGGTTTTTTTGCATAAAAGGGTCTTCAGAGTTTGCTAATTACGTCTGGTCCTCTGGACCTCTTGGGCCTTTCTTGATGTATTTTTAGGGACTAGGCCAACCTGATTAAGAGTTGGGCTTCGTCTGTTTTCCGATACTTACGGAGATACAATTACATAATGATACATAATAAATTATCATAACTTTTATTTTTATGATGAAAAATAAATAACATTTTCAAAAATTAGACTATTAGAGAAAATAAAATAATATATTAACTGAAAAAAATTTAAAAATTTAAAATTTTATTTATATTATTTTTAATCTCTTTTTTTTTTTTAGAACCGTTTTTAATCTCTTTTTAGTTGATCATAATGGATGCCATAATTTAATACAAAAGTTGCATTTCTTTTTTCTTTTTAAAAATCATCCGAACCCTAAACCAACTAAATCCAATTCAAATTTGGTCATAGTTACCTCTCTTTACATGCGTGTTTAGTAAAGATAGAATCTAAGAGCTATTTCCATATACTCAGCTTGCGTTGCCAATTGAACTATATTTTTAAGTAAAGTTACTGTTCATTTTAATATATGAACATTATATCATTAGATTTCTCCAGCTAGTTTTAAGTTTCTATTCAAATTAACTGAGTTTTAAGGATTTGAACTCGTACATCAATTTTTTTCTAGTTTTTTAACCCTAGCTTTATTTTAGAATTGCCTATATTTGTTAGTGTAGCCCTCCACCTCCTACTATCTCTTTCATTTTACGTTCTTTTGCTTTTAATATTTTTTATTTTAATAAATTTAAATTTATTTTTCCTATAATATATCTGTCTTTTATATTTTGTTATGTTTATTGTCTCTAAATTTAGATTTTTTTTTTTGTCCATTCTTTGTGAGGGTTGGTCGAAGACGTAGATGTTTGATTGCTAGGTGATAGATCTTCTATGTAGAGTCCAGTATGACTTATCCTGCAATTGGTTATTGTACTGCAGTATAGTGGCAAGAACCAATGTATATTTTGTTTATAGTGTTGCAGATATTATGAATAAAAGCAGATCCGAGTTAAAAGAAGAATCCGGTGAGTTATTATTTTGACATTCTATTAATTTTCTAGTTGCTTGCACAGAAGATTTATATCTTTATTCATATCCCAAAGCAAAAATATATTTATAATTTTTTAGTTTTGACTTATTTATATGCAATAGATATGATTTTAATTATATTCGTCAATAATAGATATATAACTAATAAAGTTTGTCACTCAATCTAATATATTTATTTTTATTATATGATATTATTTATTTATGATTATATTAAAATTAAAATAACTAAGGTTCATGAAAGTTACTGTAAATTTCATGGATAAGGAATATATAAGTACGGTAACTGCATATTTTTGTAGAATCAGAATTTCGTTCTCAGTATTAGCTTCGAAGGTTCATGCTCACTGTCCAGTCAACATATTCCCAGCAATTAATTAAATTCTAACAATCCGCGTCGTCGCAGACCTTCCATGTCACCAAGTCACTTCACTTCAAGCAGCGTTCATTTCAATTATTCAACCGTAGATAATATTCCAATCTCGTGTACGGCGATATGCTTCTCTCACCTGAGAGTCGCGGAATCCGGATAAAACTCTTCACCATCATAGCTCTCCTTCATTAGGCGACCTTTATACCCCTTCGTTTGATTTTTTTTTTTTTTTTTGGGCTTCCAAAAACTCGAAACTCACCATTTTCCCTCTCTCCCCCTCTCCGCTTTCAAAATTTTCAAAATTTTAAAAAACCCTAAAATTTTGCACATCCTCATTCTCTAATTGTCTGTAACCATGCCACCTGCCGCCGTCGAAGCTCCGGTCAAGGCTAAAGCCAAAGCTTCAAAGGAGCCAAAATCGAAGAAAGCTGCCCCTGCTCCCAAGAAATCCAGGGCCTACCCTCCTTACAGCGAGGTAATGCAGTCTAATAGTAGCTAAATACATTTCTATGCGTTTGTGCGTGATTCCATTTTTTAAATTTTAAATTCGTGTATAGATGATAAACGAGGCGATAATGGCGTTGAAGGAGAGGACCGGATCAAGCCAGATCGCGATCGCCAAATTCATTGAAGAGAAGCAAAAGCCCAACCTACCTGCCAATTTCAAGAAGTTATTGCTTGTTCAATTGAAGAAGCTTGTGGCCAATGGCAAGCTTGTCAAGGTCAAGAACTCCTTTAAGCTCCCTCCCAAAACTGCTTCTGTCTCTGACGCCAAAGCACCAGCAGCCAAGCTAAAGGCCAAGACTGAGGCTCATGTTAAGCCGAAAGGCAAGGATGTGACTGGACCAGAGTCAAAGAAAGTGGTGAAATTAACAGGCGTGAAGTCGTCGGCTAAGAAAGAGGCAAAATCTTCTGCTGTGAAAGCACCAGGGAAGAAGAAGACAGCTGTTACGGCCAAGAAGAAGATGCCGATGAAGGTAGCGAAGAAGCCAAAAAGTATAAAGTCACCGGTCAAGAAAGCAACAACTAAGAGGACGAAGTAGACAGGTTCAGATTTGTCAGTGTTTGTTGAGTATTTATCTAGGTATGTTTTGTAAATTTAAGGGTTAAAAAGAGTTTGTTTAGGCAGTTCAGGATAAATTGCTTTTTGATGTTCATTCAATACCAAAAATCAATGCATTGCATTCTGGTTGAATGAAAACATGAAATATCTTTCTATCAGTCTCGTCATTCTGAAAATTAACATTCATGAAGTTAAAATTTGGTCATGCATGAGTTGAAATACATCCTTTTCAAGCCGAGTTGTCCTTTGGTGGTGGATTTTCAATCATTTGAATTGCCCTTTTGAGCTCAGATTGAAGAGCAGATCTTGAAGGTGACAAGACGATGTCGTTCCAAACTGAGCCGGACTTGCATATTGCACTTGGATCGGCATAAAGCTCATATATAGATTCTGCATCAGAGTTTAAACTGCTCACGTCTGTTAAGCATTTGATTTCTTCTGTATCAATCAGCAGCCTGCTCTCTATATCTTTCCATGCTATCAACTGCATTTCACACCTAACCAAAGTAAGTGCCTATTGGATAATGTTTAGCAGTGTACAAAAACTTGAATAGGCCTAGGTTGGCCTTGTAATTTAAGTGCTTGTTCAAGTTCAGAATGACAATCAATCTCTGTACACGAGATGAGACGATCCCAAGCCCATAAATGTCATTTTTTGCTATCTACATCTACAGTGAATCCAATGTTGAAAAAAAATCCAGCTCTCTTATTCACATGATTCAACCTAATATTTTTAACAGCCAATAAAAAAATCCCAATAAAGCTGGTTCCAAAAATGCTAGAGCCTGTCTTGTCTCTTCAATATTATTTGCCAAGATTTTAATTGGAGAAAAAAGAAACAAGAAAACAGAAGAGGTTCATACACGTTATGCATGAAACAAACATGTAAGCAAAATCTTACCCTAGGTGGTCCTCCTACTGCATTGGTGCAATATAGCCTGGCATGATCAACAAGTTCACAGTATCTCCTAAATAAACCAGCAAATCTCTTGTGTGACTTCAACTGTGAACTAACCCTTACAGCTCTTCTAGTCATTATAGCTCTCCTGTTCGAATTCCAAAAAATTAACCAAACTTCAATTAAAGTATCAATAGAGTAAATTCATAGATCGTGAAAGTTCTGAATTATATACCTGATGCCTCTCACAACTGCAAGATAAGCATCACAAACGACTCCAACCATCTCTATTCTATATGGTTTCCTTTGTTTTACTTCTCCATTTTCATTCTGTTGTTGATTTTCACCTTCCTCTCTCTCCCAGTAATTTTCAGTAACAGTTCCATCCGCAGCCACCTTATATCCTACTCCCATTCGATACTTGTATTTATGCACATTACGCGCCATTGCAATCGTCTGTTCAACAAAAGGCGCCCATGAGAGGGTACCATCCATGATCACATCCCGACCCTCATTTAGCGCGGTTACTAGAAGTGATGACGCAGCATCAGTGGACGATTGGTGCACCTAACACATATGAATTTAATGCAAATTTAAAACCTCAGCATTTCAAATTAACAAATTGTATCATTCATCAGGAGATAAGACCATTTACCAGTTCAGCAGTTGGGAGAAGGTCATCATGGTGACCCATAGCGCTTATGGCTCTGTAAATAACATCTGATTCTTTAAATGCATCTGCTTCCACTATTAATGGTGCCGCTCCTGACCAGAATGAGCTGTCAAACACTCGAAAATACTTGATCAATGAATTACTGTACCAACTGAAATTTTTGAAGTGAAATACTAGTACGAAAAATATGTTTATTAATTATGATGCTTGAGTTATTTTATTAGAGGTTTACTCTTTGAGAATATCTTTGATGACTGTGCTCTTGCCAGCCCCCATACCACCGCCCATAAGAAGCAGCATTGGACTCCTCTCGCTAAGGGCCATCGGAACCATTAAATCGGAAGTTTGTGATCCACCCTTGCCAATTGCTCTCATCTCCTCCACCAGGGTTGAGAGGACTCTTGTCACCTTCAAGTCCTTAGTCACCTTTTCAAATCTTTGTTTCCTAAACAATTGTACAAAAAATAAATTCAAGAATCATCACTTACTGATCAAAAGATGGGGATTTTCTTTGTCCGTCAAGATACCAGAGTAGAGAAAAACTGATGGTAGTTTTATGATACTCTGGCACGGAAGTATCAGAGCAGAAGTTCAGAATTCAGACAGCTGTTGAATTTTCAATTGAACGTGAAGGGAGATATTAGTGAATTACGTCCATACTCTCTCTGATATTTTCCCACAACTAGATTTTTTTTTTTCTTTGAGAATACAATAGATTCATTCCGATTTCTGAGACTGGTAAAACCTTGATTTTTTTTTTTTTTTTTCCTGACAAGAGCTTAAAAATGGGTAGAAAAGACAGGAAAAAATAAAATACATTTCAACCGGCATTACACATTTTACCAAAACAAAATTTTATTTTATATACAGAGTTTTTATATGCAAGGATAGTTATGCCAGTAAATTAAATAGAAGCCATAACTAATTCAATTATTATTAATAAAAAAATCTACAATAATACTGCCAGTTAAATCGTTGACCTTCCAAATATTCAACTATTTCAACAAATATTTCCAGAAATTAGACCTCAACTAGACATTTTTCTTTTAAAGCCAACTGGACAAAAGAATGTAAAATTCTTACAATATTTTTCAAGTTGCTATTATAATAATATATCTTTATATGAAAATGGTGAATGGAAGTAATGCACAGCCACTGAAAAGAAAACTTCTGCAATAATGAAAAATAATCCTTACCGTGTAGCTGCCATTACGAAATCTTTGAGTTTTGGCTTATTCTCAGATTCATCATTAATCACCTGCAATTCAAGCAAGAAAACAAGTATGGTAAATACTTTAATTAATCTGTAATCTTTTTAATTAATTCAAAAATGAAAAAATTGTACCTGAGTAATCATATGAGAAAGTTGAGTCCAGTGAAAGGCAAAATAACTAAGGATGCATCTATCAAATTCTTCTATAAGCTTCACATACAAAGACTCAGCCTCAGCTTCATTAGCAAAAAACTCATAGATATTACCTTCGCAGTCTTTACTTTTCCTCAAATAATCATAAGCCAACTTGCATAGCTGTGGGCACTCGTTTGGATCTGCAAATCCAAGTTGCCTAGCTACACCACAACCAAATCAAACAATTAAATTAACAAAAACTGGATTAATCAGAGTAGAAATATCTTTTTTAAATGTAATTACCAACATAGTGAGAGAATCTCTCTAGATTTCCGATACGGCCGGATTCTCTTCTGTCAAGCCGTGGAATTAGCAAGCTTCTTCCTGCGTCTCTTTTAGCTTTTGACTTATTCCGGTGATAGTGAGTAGCAGCGGCAGCGGTGACGAGACTGAACAAGGAAGCAGCGACTATCCGAGCGACCATGGCCTTTCCACCATGACCATCATCTGAAGAAGAAAGTTAGAAAATAATAATAATAATAACAATAAATCATCTTGCTTATTATTATATTATTAATAACCATTTGAAGGAAAGAGAGAGAGCGAGAGAGAGAGAGAGAGAGAGAGAGGCGCACCTTGCCTCATGTTGTTGGACTTTCTTCTAGAGATGGAATTGAAATGCAGCAGGTTTACTTTAGCTGATGAGTGGACTGGTTTTTTTGTAAGAGTAGCGATTTATTTATGAGTGTGAATGGGTCATTAAAAGCATCAGCACTAATGAACAGAAAGAGTCGCTGTATAGTCTTTGTTTAATGTCAGAAGATGCACGATATAAACGAACGGAAATAAAATAATTCTGCTTTGCTAGTTTAGTATTATTATGAAGCTTCCATTGATGAAAAGTTATTTATTTTATATATTATGAAATGAAGTTTGATTTATTGAATTAAGAAATACGACCAAAGACCAATAATGCAGTGATATTTAACATTTATGAATTTAGTTCTTTTTTCAACACCAATCTTGTGAGGACGTAGGGTATATCCATACAAATCTCGCGAGGATGTGATCACTAAATTAATAAAAATAATTTTAATTAAGAAGATTGGGACTTAAAACTTTTCGATCACCATCATTTGACACGTGTCATACTTGTGAGAATGTGATCATTAAATTTATAAAAATAATTTTAATTAATAGGATTCGAAGTTAAGACGTTTCAATCGATATCGACACATATATTTCAAGAATATTTAGTTATTCACTGTAAACAATAACGATACTGCACTTGGAATTTCTTTAGTTTCACTTGCGCACGCATATATTACAAATGTGTATAGTGTTGTAATCTGAATGGAAGACAAATAAAAAGTCAGAGCTTTATTATTATTATTATTTTAATGTGTAGCTTAGACAGAGCGCGGCAAATTAGCTTTCTTTGGTGAAAGCTTTTACTTGACAAATAGAAACATGGGTCTTGAACTGATAGTCTAGCGGCTAACATCTTGGTAGTATACCTCTAGGTGATGGATTGAAAACGTATGAAAAGCATTTTGGATGAAAAAAAAAAACATTTAATTAATAAGAACCGGTAGCAATAGAATAGAAAATTAAGAATGATATTTAAATTAGAAACTAAGAGCTACATCCATTTAATTTTGACCAATGAATGATTAAGTCTGGTCGATTTAGCAGGTCAATGCATGGGTTTGCCATTTCCAATTTTGTTGATAGATCCAAATTGAAAAATGACCATTTATAGTTTATCCGGATGAATCGAATAGTCAAAACTGTATAACTAAAAATATATCACCATGCTTATCAAAATTGACCAATTATTTAGATATAACTAAATCTACAAATCGATTTTTCTATTTTTTATTATAAGAATTTAAATAATTAGAAATCTAAAATTTAAAAATTTCCGTCTGATTTTATTATATGAAGAAAACTATTTTAAACAAAAGACTACTTTTACTGTGGGATCCACAATATAATGGTAATTAGGTAGAATGATGGTCGAAGAATGATGGTGCACGCAGACATGAGGTCCCAGTTATATTAAAAAGGGGAAATGCATCAACACTACTAATTGGTTAGACAGGAAATATTGGAGAATATCTGTCCATTATTTAATTTGTATAGTGGCTTAAGAATCCATCATTGTAATTTTTTTTTTCTTTATCTTTATGTACAAAGTGGATATGAAATGGCAAAATTCCGTCTGGACAGAATGTGATAAATCTAATTTCAAATTAACCTTTTTTAGCCATTTTATTTAGAAAAAATGGTTAATTTTCCTTATATTGTGAGGTCCAATGGTTAATTTTCTTTATCTTTATCTTGTTTGGCCTAAAGCTAAAGGAGTAATTTATTTCAAAACAGAGACACAGAGAGAGCTGGAAGCTCACACAAGAACTAAATCCGATAAATGAAATTATGTACAAAAAAGGCATATCTCACCTTTGGCATTGCTTGTAACTTTACAATTGTGTAGACAGTAACTCAAAACTATTGACAATGAATGCCTATACTCTGAAATAGATTTAAGCCTAAAATCCCAACATTTTCTTCTCTTCGACTTTCAATCTTAACTCTTCTTCAGATGGTAACTTGCCACCACTCCTGGAAATAGCAGACCACCATGCCATGAGCTCGTCCTGCAAGAATTAAATACATCTTTGTTTTTTTTTTTTTTTGTTTTTTCCATCATCAGGGATAAGGTAGTAAGGATCATTGCCTTCTCAACTTACAAAAACATTTTTCCTGGTTGAACTGTCAAGCAATGTTTGGTTCGCTTTTGCTGGTACGGGACTCCAATTATTTTATTTGGTATACAAGGAATTTGGATTTTTTTTTTTTTTTTAATGATTAGAAGTTTTGATTTTGGATAAAATAATACAACTTCAAGTACATTTTTTTAATATTTCCATCAAAATTATATTTCAGCATCTAAAAAATGAACATGAAAAGGGTATACCCATCAAATCCAACAGATTAATAGATAAAAGTTGAGTTTCAAGCTAGTAGCCTAAACAACAAACAATTTCTCAGCTTTTGACACAAATAGGCAGAGGATCAAGTTTGGATTTTTACCTCAAGGAAATCTTGGTTGGAGACATATTGACTTTCAACTAAACATTTGATCCCGCCTACATTGACAGTAATGGATTTTTTTTTCGATTTCTGTGGTGAACTCTGCATCTGTGCTCCTGTGTGCTCAGACCAAAAGAATAAATTGCTAAATGAGCCACTATGAAGCACTTGCATTGATGATTTGCATCTAAAAGGATGTTTTCATTATAGATATGCAAATCATCTACCAAGGCAATACAATTGTAGGGTTAGAGAATACATGATTCTAGCCATACCAGTAATGCAAGCTACATAGTATCCGGTTCCCCCTAGTCCCTCTTCCCACTTCCCCAGCCTCAAACGCAGGAAAAGACCAGCAAGATTTGAAAGTGGCATGCGGGAATTTGTCCATCTGATGCCAGTGCAAGATAGAACAATTAGTCAAATATAGAACAAATCTAGTAAGATTAGCTTAAGCCAAGAAAGAAATTAGTTCAAAAGTTTCTAAAATATAAAAAAGGAATGAGACTTTCAATTCCCAGGGCATCCCAATATTGAGTCACCAATTATTTAGCTGCTAACAAGTAAGACTTCCAAGGTTCAACCGTAAATAAGAAAGCAGAACGAGATGTATAATTCTTGTATGATTGAATTTCCAGAAACATTATCAGTTGACTTCAATTTAATTCTTATGGGCTGTATGCTAGGAGCAGTCCTTAACAAGTAGCAGGGAAAATAATTTTAACAAGTTCAAAATCAATATATGATATGCTTACTTTAGAATATCTGTTCGGGACAGACGAAGCCTTCTTATGGCATCAAAGATTTCTTTTGGTGCATCAGAAATCTGGTCATCACTAAATCCATATAATGGTGTCATTAGCTTTCCTTTCCACCTCTTTTCAACAGAACTTGGAGCAATTTCTTTCTCGAAAAGTTTTACATCCAATTTCGGTTTTCCAAATTTTGCAGCTTCATTCAATTTCCAGAGCAAATTCGTACCTTTCTCCATTCCTGAATCATTCCTATCACAAACTCTAAGTGCACGACCAGCAGCATCTTTTAGCATTATATTGTCTTCATTTCTTACATGAAGCTGCATTTTGCTGAGTCCACAATGGTTGACCAAAGAAGTACCACATTCTGCTTGATTGCTTGGTTTTGAACATGTATTGGGACATGCAACTGCCCAGTGATTGAGCTGAAAGCATCTAATACACAGACAAGGCAATTCTTTTGCCGTATCATATGAATTGATCTTTCTTAGAAGATCTTCAAGATCAGATTCAGGGACCTCTGAACATTCTCGCAAATTGTGACCTTTTATACCACAAAAGAAGCATGTCATAATTGCTTCAGCTGTGCCATCCGGTTCATCTGATGGTGTGATGTGTTTGAGGGCATCCAATCTCCTTGCAAAGACAGAAGCCATTGCATCTGAGTTTTTTGAACTCCCGGAAAGCAAGATCGGGTTCAGTTTATAGATGGACTTGTCATCATGTTGTCCTTTAACTTTATAGAAACCAAATGAGGCCTCAGAAGCAGTACCATAGTTTTGCACACGCTGTGGCTCTTCAGCAGATTGTTCAGTAACCTCAACATTTTCATATTCACTGGAAGAAGCTAGAGGATTCTGTAATTGAGTTTTCCATGTCAGACCATCAGCAGAACAATCAGGAGCATCAACAATACTTTTGTTGGAAAGATCTCGGTTCAAAAAGGGACCAGAAGCTTTTGGAGTAAACCGAGATATCCATAAGCTTTTCAACAGCTCACCTTTGGAACCTAAATTACAGGCCGTATTCCCTTCAGATGGAGGTTCAGAATCAAATTTCTCAACACTGTTTGTCTTCCATTTACCCTGAGATGAATTGGAGCTTGTTCCATCTTTCTCCTTATCAGTTGCCAAATTGTTTGGATTTTTGTTCTCTGCGGTATTATTGCTGCTGTTTTCCTGAATAGCAGCAAAATTCATATATACATCTTTAGAATGTACAACTGGACTCATTTGATTGCCAGATGAAATCCCATTGTAGCTCTTATTTGATGGAAGAAACTGTTTGTAAACATTACCAGTCACCATACGACAAGCTATTGGAGTAGCATTCAAGTTGCATCTCTTATTATCAAGCTCAAGTTCTTCTGATCCTTCTGTTCGATGATCAACACTCAAGGTGACAGCTTGTTGAACATTTGTCTTCTGGCAATAGAGTGACTGAAAAATTGATTGAAAGCCTATAGTCCTGCAACCAGGATCTCCATTTCTTTTGCATGCTATAACATCACGATCAGGATTCTCAAGTCCATGATTAGAATTTGCAAGGGCATGAAAAAGAGAAGGTTCGTCACCTTTGCTTGATTTTGAGAATCCTTTCATCATGTTTGAAATCCAATTCATGAATGAGCTATCTTGTTTAATAGGCGGTGCAGAACTAGGACTTTCTTGAATTTGCCTTTTTACTCTTTTGCTCCCTACAATCAACTGTTGCTCAAAGTTCCATCGCCGTTTTCCTGTTGAATATAGCCCAGCAGTGTTACAGCTTTCAACACTCTCGTGGCTTCCATCCTCCTCATTCAACATCCTTTCACTTGCCCCTCCATCGGATAAGGCCTTCGACTTGCCACTTTCATCTCTTTGGATTCTGCTGTTAGTAGGAGACTGTTTAATTGCAAGAGTTTTGTTAGTAGGAAGAAACTCATCATCCTGATGACTGTTATTTTTGACTCTATTAACAGATTGCAAAGCTACAAACTCAGTTTTCAGACCACAAGCATTTTCATCAAGTGGAGCTTCTAGATCATTCTCAGCAGTTGCTTCCAGTTCCCTATGTCCTTTTCCAAAGGATGTTAAATTTTTCATTTTAGCATCAAGAGCTTCACATTCTTCCATAGTATGAGATTCAGGTGCAAAAACAATTTCCATTCCTAATGCACGATTCTCGTCACTAACATATGTAGCTCTTTGAATAGGTTCCTCACAAGTTTGATCCTTGTGTGTCGCATCCATTTTGGTTTCGCCTGTTTCAATTGACAAAAGAAGAAAACAATGCCATTTCAGTCAGGTGTGAGAAAAATGAAAATATGATGCTACATCTTCTGATGAAGAACAAAATTGCAAAGAAAACATAATCCAAATTTGTTTTTCACTTTTTCTCGTCCTGGGCATTTCAGTATTTGAAGATTGACTGAATCACATATACCTTCCCCTTTGTTATCTCTCGGGTCCTCCTTATGAAGAAAAAAAGTGTCCACTGCATTTTTCATTTCCTCCATGCAATCATCAGTTGCTGCCAAATAAAAGTTGCTAGTAAAGGAGACAAATTTGGAATGTAAAACATAAAATTTATACATTAACATTAATCATTACATTGTTTATGGTATGTCAAAACAATTCCTCATTACCTGCCTTGAGTTCATGACTTGTTCCACTAAATGGCATGATGCCTACATCGCTAGTAGGAAACCTAGCAGAATCATCCTCTCTAGTAACTTTACTTCTCAGATCACATGCTGTCAGAGATGCCATAAACTTGGTTTTGTTGATTGGTTTATCAAAACTTCTGATAGGTTTATTGGAACTTGATCCACTTGCCATATTGACAGGTCCTACACCCAATAGAAGAGATGCCTTTTTGTTGGAGAAGCTGCCGTCAGCACATTTAATACTTAAACCTTTCTTCGGAGACCAAACCAGTTCGGAAAGAGGGTCTGTGGCCACAAATGTCATGTCTAAACTTGAAGCTGCATTTGCACCTGCACCTGGATTATCATCATTCAATATACTCTCAATGCACTGATTGGAAAAACCTAGAGCAAGGCTTAAATCAGTCAATGGTTCTATGTTTTTATCATCCACGTTCATCTTCATACAGTAGGCAATCCTGAAATGCCAATCAGGTCCAGGTCAAAGTCAGACTTCTCCATGGTGCTAAACACGAAAATTCTGTCTACACAAAACATTAGATCAATATGTACTAATCTGGAGGCAAAGTTTCCAAATACCAAGCATAAATAAAAATTTCCAGAAAAAATAGCAGTGATGTACTCAGAGTTTAATCCAGATTCATTAAATTCTGACACTAATCCCTGTCTGACGCAGTGATGAACGTATAAGAATATGGAGATTAAGCAGTTCTACATACTACTTTAGAGACAACTTGGAATTTCCATTGCATTTTGGAAAAGATCTCATATCATCCCACACTTTCGTTTTAGATAACAGGTTAAATAGTGGCTCTCTAATAGCAAATAATGATCAACAGCTTCATAAACTACAGTACTAGTCCTATGCAATCTCTCAGAATATGTAACTGATAACTGCAAGTTCATAACTTTTATGTGAATGGCCATACGCTGCCAGCAACATAGCACCCGATGTGATATTACCTAACGTTACAAGATCAGGCCTTATTACAGTTTGTATAGATATGAATGCAATTCAACTGTCACATAAAGTGAAATAATATTAACTAAGGAGTTGCAATCAAGATTAAAATATATCTACATATTAAATTAAGAGAGCGAATAAAGTTCATCAGTGCCATACATGTACACAAGATTACAACGTTAGTTGTTTATTGTTTAGAACTAGAGTTAGGTTCCCTAATACTTCAGATAGCAAGAGAAATATGATAAAGCAATATGGATAAAGGCCGCTGTAAAGAGAACCCTGATAGGATTGAATCCATTATTGCATGGTTTGCAAAGACCTATATATGTGTGTGTGTGTTTGGATTCAGGTCAATCAGAAAAATAAAAGAATTTATACAATAAACAGAAAAGGGACTTAATAATATTTTGATATTTTCCACAAATGCATTCCAAAAAGTTAATGAAAATTCAAGATCACAAATCTTCTGGATAAGAAAAAGATAAACAAAGCTACGAAAGAAAAATTGGGGAAGAATTACATAAAAATACTATCACCATTCAAACAAAAGCAAATTACATTAAAAAAATGAAATTTGAGAGATACCCATTAGAGTAAATAACCATTTATGAAGATCCATATACCTATTTATTCTTAAATCCCTGAAAGTTGCTCCTTGGTGTTGCTCCTATGTCACGCACAAGGACCAGAACTCCTAAAAGAGAGTGTACATAAAAACAAGAAACTGGACCAGATAAGAACTTATGGGAGAGACTGCGAGAAAGCGAATTAGAGTTCCAGAACAAGATAGATACAATACTGCCATGCGTCTTGCCACAGCAGTTACATGAAGCATTCTCTAGCTTTGGCTCAGATTGTCAGGAATGACTTATGAGGTCTAGGAGATGCCACGTGGACACCTTACATGCCAATAGTATCCATTTTTTATATGCTACGAAATTTCCAAGTTAAAAAAAAAAAAAAAAACTATAATGATAAGATCCTGTCAAACATAACAGGAAAAGAAACTATTTATAATTGCCGCTTTGGTACTTTGTATTATGAAAATATATAAATTAAAGATCACTTTTTTCTATTTTTAGCCCACAAAGTACAAATGGTACTTAGTATTATTAAACCTTCTTAACTAGGAGATGTTAGTCGCAAGTTGCAACTTCCTATGTGTAAACTTAAATTTGAATATAGTATTTTACCATATGATTAAAAGGAGGTCTGTAGGAACCCCAGGTTCATGATTCTTTGGGCCCCGGCAGGCCCAGCAACGTTTTCTTCATCGTCTTTAAACCTAACTCTCTTTCAATTGATCAGAGAATAATTCAAAGTTTAAAATATTTTAATGAAAATTAATAGCCAAATTCAAATTTTATCATTGAATTTTGACAAGAAGCAATAAATACATCCATAGAAGATTAGTAAGGATGAGAAGAATTACAAGGAAAAGTCAAATAAAGTTGAAAGTGAAATGATCTTTGATCTTCTAACCTTGTTCAAAAATGGGTCCCTGATTTCACACAATCCATTTCGTTGTTAATAGTAGGGTTAGTGTCTTGGTCCTATATCAACCACCTTCTTTGGATTTGGAGTACTTTGCACCACTTATCCATGGAAAAATGGCAGTCTCTTTCAAGCTTTCCTGTCCACCCAGACATCCCATGAGAAACTAACCTTCTATTTTTCTAGAATGCTTCATTTTTCCTTTTAAAGATGGCATCTTTTACAATTGATCTGACGAGATTGGTGGGTTTTTTCTTTTTGGTTTTTTTTTTTTTTTTTTAACGCAAAACATTAGATTTTTAAACTAGCCGGATTCAGATTTCAAATATAGGAATTGAGACCATTCCATCTCTTCCTGGTTTTGATCCGGTTAAAAATCAAACGGATTTCGGTCTAAAGTAAAGGGGCCTGTGGCCAAACCTAATAAAAGCTGATTGGTTGTGGCACTTGGGTCATATTGGCCAATGAAAATGTCACAGCTGTTTCCCGCGGACAATATGTCCACCTGTGTGTTCTAACTAGAAGACAACTACTAGAGGCACAGGGAGGCACCGTGTGGTCGTTTAGCTGTTAGTTGGTCTCAATCATCACATTGAATAAATTTTGAAGAACACCGAAATAGACAAAAAAATCTTGTAAAATAATATTCAATGATAATACAACTGGCTTTTCAGGTGTCAGACTAAGACAATAGACAGGCCTTATCAGTGACCAGGGAAATATAGTCGTGGAGTCAAAAATCAGAGACCATTTTTATTTTTGTTTGTTTTACACGGAAAAAATAGAAAGAGCGTTACTCAAATTCTAGGGCAATCCAATATGCAAATTATGTCACATCATATCAGTTCTATACAGTCACTGTATTGAAGGCAATGCAATTCAGACCAATAACACATATGGGTAACAAAAACTGAAGATTCCTGAAATGTCCTGCAGATTCTATAAACTGGAGTGAAAATCTGAGGGCAAATACAAATGAGAAATGCCTTACGATCATTTGCCAACATAGGAATTTCAATAACACATCATTAATCTTAAAAATATGATATATCTGATACCTCAACAAGTTCATAAAATTTTATATATCCTTCAAAATTAGATAGGGCTAAAATGCCTTAACAAGAAAACTCTCATCTTCGCGCAATTCTTTGCCCGGCTCCAAGCAATAAGGACTTCCCAATTGCACCAGAATGAAGTCCACACACTAGTGCTACTGTTCCTCCTATAACTATCCATTTCCAATCAAGGCCACAATCCTTCTGTCTTTGGATGCCTACTACTTGACCTTTATCCTCTTCACCAGTAACTGGCTCTGAAGAATCCATGCTTTCATTAAAAGAAATTTTTGTTGTGATTCTTGCCATGAGTGCACTTCTAGACAATGGTGCATCTGATTTCCTAGCATTCTGATAAGCTCTCATGCCAGAATGCAATTTCTTGACGGTTCCCCACATGCCGTGACGTAATCCCAATTTGGCCACATCTTTTGGGATCCCCATGTCCTCATAATGTAAAAGGGTTACTTCACAGGCAGACATTTGCCCATCTCCTTTGCACGATTCCACTGCATTCATTTATTAAGTACACCAACAAAAATGAAGATGTTCCATCATCAGCAAAATATCCCTAGAAAATATGTAACTACTAACAAGCATATTTTGGCTAACTTGATGCTTAACACTGCTTACCAGTCCTGATAACCCAACTTGAGAAGTAGTGCTCCACACGTCTTGGCTTGTCACGCTTGGGCAGGGCTGGATATGGCACCCCCTGCAATATTGTATCCTTGAATATCAGCACTCAATATCCACTTCAATTCTCTATAAATATGTAATTATATGTATTTTCTTGTTCCAGAACATTCTGTATAATCATTTGATATTAGATACATAATGGAACAACAAGATTTGGGATCAGAAGTGAGAAAGGGAGACTAGTAGATTAAGAAAATCTAAATTTTATGCATCGTGAGGTAGAAAATTGACTGAATCGGTAGAAGCAAAAAATTAGAAGTATCTTGTTTTGACTTTTGAATTCCATAGTCCCCTCTACCTAAATGCTACCTTTATAATTAATCGATAAACAACTCTCAAACTAATCTTCTCTTTCAAAAACCATTCTGCATGGAAGGTCACTTCAAAGTAGGAAAAGAACAAACAGTGAAACATGAATCATGAAATGTCTGGACCAATACCTTTGTCACACAATAATATGTCTTGTCAGCCTCCCATATTCTTCTACCAATGATATATTCTCGGTCACTGCAGAAAAATGGGAACTGCAAATTGGAGAGGAACAAAATTTTATCATTCGGTATAATATCTTAGAAAAAAGAAAGTGGCATTGAAAACCCATGATATCAATGCATATAATTCATTCCACAAACCTTCTTTATCCAATGAACAATCATTGTTCCTGTATGAGGGAATTCCTCCAATATTTTGAAGTATGCAAGCATGGCATCCCATTTCAGTCGAAACTCATCATCCCAGAAGAAATCTCTTACCAATTCTGGAGTTGCATCCTCAAACACAGTTCTACTACGGTACATGGTGGGACCTGTCTGATGAATAAAATCACCAGCAAATACTAATACATGTTACTTTCAAAACCGTTAAACAGTATAATTATAGTATTTGAAGAAAGCAGACAAATAAGGCACGAGATCACACATAAAACAACAAGCTACATCAGCAAATTGAGAAAGGACATTGTAGGCAGTAGCCATCCAACATCAGGCATCCTTGAGGCAGATCCAGAAAATGCCAAGAGAGTCTGTGAAGAATTTACCTGAGGATCATGGCGCCAGGCTTGGTATGCCATATTTGAGGTAGATCTTTCCATCATAGATTGCCATTCCATTTGTCCATCCTTTCCTTCAAAAAGATGCAGTAGGTGTTCCAAATCCCTCTCTGTGACAATTTCCTCCCCCTCCTGAGGTTCCCTAGGGGAGCTGCATGCAAATGACGTATCATAAACCAATTCATCTACAACAATCCAATAGTAATAATGTAATACAAGTGTCAATTCCAGAAAAATAGATTAGTGATAAGAGAAAAGATCGAGTAAATTGAAAGTGAAAACAACCAAAAAAATCCATATTTTTGTATAGGAATCCAAAACAAATGAACACATCAACACCTTAAAAGATGACAAAAGGATATATCCTAGGCTCTTAAAATGGCGAACAGAAGACCCTAAAAATTTAAGATGACAAACAGGAAGATCCTAAAAGTTAAACACACAATCTTCCATGCTTAATCCGCAGCAATACAGTTTGTAATTTGACTTAGCAAGACAAACTTCTAATCCAGCTTAAATCTGTTTCTTCTCCTTAGTTCATTAGCACCTGAATGCTATTGGCCTTTGATGAAATGATATAATCAATTGTAATGCAGTAATCCATTGCAGATGAATGCTACAATTTAACTTTTCTGTTTTTCCTAATGAGGATTCAGAAAAGTGACAAAGCCATAAAGAAAAAGTCTCCAAGTCCAACATAACAACTTGTCATTAAATTAGAACTTATAAAACTTGGTGCTATCCTGACCAAAACCCGCTTCCCATTTAAGTATGCTACTACTGGTAACGTTAGTAAAATGCCACGTAAACTCAGATGACCCATAATTATGGAATAACCCCCAGCTTGAACTTCAATGCTTCTACCCAAGTGCATTCGATCAAAATCCCCTGACAATCCAAAGAACTCCTGTAAGTACAGTCACTTTTAATCTGGTCACCATAGAGCCTCAATGATAAGATCCCTACAAAGCTCACCCACCCCAAAAGCCCAAAGGCTTATCTGCATTATCTTTCTAATATTATGTCATCAATTAACTCAAAAATATACGGACATACAACAACATGCTATTTAGAATCAAAGATACGACTGCAGAGATATGTAGCGCCAGTCATTGCTACCACGACTCTAATTGCAGTTCTCTAATAGTTAGAATTGGGGTAAAAAAATAATTAATATCACTACTGAAACTACAAATTAGTCATGACAAATATTCAAAAAGAGCAAACTGAAATTCAACATTTAAACTACTAAAACAAATTGCCTTTAATAATAAGAGAGAATATCAAAAAAGCAATTGAAACCAATCACCTAATAGAATCACTGCTTTCCGCCTCAGAGTTTATAGCCGAGGCTGCCGACGTTGAAGCCAGAGACGTTGCCATAGCCGCTGATTTTCCATTCTTACCCTTGAAATTCGACCAAATGGTGCGGCAAACCGAGAAAGCTGAGAGAGCTGTGAAAGCCAGCCAGAGACGACGAGCTCCAAACCCCGGTGGCGCCGTCCACAAAAACCTGAACTTGCTCCGGAGCCCTAAAAAAATCAAACCCGTCCACCTAGGCCGCCAAGACCAACCGATCACGAGCCCGATCATGACGGCAAGCCATATAGGCACTGCACAAAGCAAAATGTCGACAAATGTTTCGATAACCGATGGTTTCTTCCAGAACTCCATCAGATCGAAGATCGTGTCGTCCATTTCCAAAAGCACTTCCCTAACTTTCCTGGAAAATTAAGACTTCCCGGGAAAATTAGCCTTATTATCTACTTCTTGTTCAGATATTACAGCTCTTACATGGATAAAATTATGGATTGAGAGTTTTCTGTCTGACAGATCGAAAGGGCAGAACAAAAACAGAATTTAGAGAGAGTAATAAGCGATGGCGGTTGATTTCAATATTACGATAACATGACGTGGCAGTGGTGGTGCAACTGTAGATAACGGGGGTTGAGTTTCGGGTGGGAAATGAATAAATAAAAGAACGAAATGCCCAGTGGATACCTTAACTGAATTTAAGGAGCGTGGCTAACAATTTCCTTTTTTTTTTAATACTGTAATGCTGTATTTGGTAAACTTTTTTATATTATTATCTTACTTTTCTTTCTAAAAGAAATAATTTTCACCTTTTTCTTATTTTCCGATTAATATGTATTTATACTTATTAAATGTGCATCTTCCTCAAAAAATATAGAACTATTCTTACTGCTTTTGATAAAATTTTCAAATTGAGGAAAAACGAGTCTTTTATATTATTAATTTAGGAAAAAATTGTGATTATAAAAAATTAAGCAACATTCTTATGAGATGAACAGAAATAAATTAGTAAAAAGGTAAATAAATTATTAAAAATCTTCTAAAATTTGACTTCAAAATCCATTCTTATGGTGTTGTGCACGCGTTTGAAAAGGGAGGTAGTGGTAGTGGTTAACATGTGAAATTTGAGGGTCAAATAATAAAACGGCGTTTGTTTGGAAGATGCTTTACCGTAGGAGATATTCCAATGCCGTCCAAGGGCCGTTACCGTTATATATCATCAGGTTTACAACTGGCCTGTCGATATAAATAACAGACCTCAGCTACATGTTGGCGGTAAGATTTTTCGGATTTATTGATGATGTTTCCTTTCTTTTTGGTTTTATCCGATCCATTTAATATGTAAACTCACAAATTAAAAACAGTTAACATAAGTTTACGAGTATACTGTATTTTAAGACAAATAAAAAAGAAAAAATTATATTTTTAAAACGAAAAGAATATTATTTATCGGATGAAAATTATACAAATAATTATTATAAAATATGTGAGTTGGGTATGATAGGTTGGGGTATACACTTTGACTTGTATATTTATATTTGCATATTAAATGTCGAAGCACCAAACATCTCAACCTTCAAATATTATTTGTGTATTATTAATTCACCTAATTAATGTACTTTCTAATGTTGGGTTGGCCCTGGGGGTTTCCTATTTATTTATTTTTAAATCAAATTCAAAATTTACGTTCCAATAGCGTTGTAAACATTTTTTGGGCTTATTTTTAGAGAAATTGATTGTGAGTTGGGCTTTAATCCAGCCCACGGAGCCATAAAAATCCATTCAATTTGATCTGGTACTATACTAATTTCGAAGTCAGAAGTCAACAATTAAATATTTGGGAAATGTTGTTTTAGAATAGTCTTGGGCTTCTGGTTTCATTTTCCCGAATGTCTAAACTTGGGCTTTTATTTTATTTTATTTTATTTTTTTTTTTTTTTTTTTTTTGTTATCTAGGTACTTATATCTAATTTCGAAGGTCAGGAAGTCAAAAATTAAATTATTTGAAATGTAATGTTTTAGTAATATCTTGGGCTTCTGGTTTCATTTTCCCCGTTGTCTTAAACTTGGCTTTTATTTATTTATTTTATTTTTTTTTTTTTTTTTGCGTTTTTATTTAACTTCGCTTTTTAATAGGAGTTTTTTTTTATTTTTTTTTTTTTTTTTTGCGTTTGTTATTTAACTTGTGCTTTTTTAATAGAGTGAAATGCATGTTTATAGGTGAAAAAAAAAGAAATAATTGTCAAAAAAATGATTAGAGGTCTACTTCTCTACTGTATATGTTAGAATCGTGGTTTTCAACCGTTCATTTTACAGATAAGTTCGTCTAGGGATGCAGTTGAATCCAATTTCTGTTGATATATTAATTATATTATTACTATACAAAAATGGTATTTTGCGCCACAAAAACTTTGTGATAAGCAAAGATTTAGTGATTTTGATACCCAACAAAATCTCCCTTTATGTCTTTCACTCTGTAAATAGACTTTTTTTTTTGCAAGCATTTTTTATAGTCTTCTGTTGAATACTTTGTTTATGTTTTTGCTCCCACGCAATTTCATATCGTCAAGTCACAAAAAGAAAGTACTCAAAAGTATTTAAAGAATCAAAATCCATTGTAAAGAAAATGTTGAAGATGGCTTTATCTAGCATAGGGATCACCTTTTGTTGCCATGCACACTCAAGTTGTCTCTCTTCTCTTTTGACTCCTCTTAGCCACATTGTAAGAAAGTAGAAGTGCAATTTGCCAATACAGAATCTATTTAACTTGGTGCAAACTGATGTCATTTCTCATCATTGCTATATGAACAAAATGATGTCATTTCCCTGTTCTATTGTACGGATTAAATTATGGTTGCAAAAATCCATGAAAAGGCTAAAGCTAGATTTGTCTACTTAACTTACTGCGTTATTATTGAAAATTGAAATCCACCTATACCCCCTTCTTGTTAAAGTCCTACAACCCTTAATTGAGATTTGGGAGGTTTTGCTCAAGATTGGTAGTTGATGAGAAAGTACAATTCAATCTCTATGATAATTGATGTAAAAGTAGTAATTAGTCTAATTATGTCTTCAATTGCAATAGAAAGAGGATAGCTTACCGTTTTATTTATTATGAGCAATATGTAATTGGGTTTACGAATTGAACTTTGCTAAATGGCATGAGTTGTGCCTGGCACAATCTGTGCATATTTATAATTACATCATTAGTGTGACATTAGTGATGTCTAAATTGTTAAAGAATTTTTTAAAAATAATAAAGTCTTTTCGTTTATATTGAGTCTGGCACAAATTATGCCAAAATATTTTCGGTTCTGAGGTAAGATTTGACCCGCATGACATTTGAAAGTGGGAATTGGCTAAGATAAGGGCCTTGGGGTAAAAAAGGAGTAAATTCAAAGCTCACTTTGGTAGTATTAATATTAGTATTCATAGAGACATGCAAGAAAAGTGAAAGCTACAAGAAGCAAGCAACCAAGCTATAACTTCAATATATTCTTTGTAACTCTCTACAAGCAAAGCCAATTTGGCAAAAATTCAACCACAAAAAGATGAGAAACAACTTTATTTTTCTTTCTTCTTCCTCTTTTTTTGGGTTTTTTTTTCCTTTTTTCAGTCAGATTTTCACACTAACTCCCACATTCATTTCTGTTTTTTCAACCAAATTGGTAAAGACAAAGAAATGACAGTATTGCAGACTAAATGGGTGGCATTTGAACCAAACTCCAAGAAAATTTGAATTTTCCATATCCTTATATATATACCATTTGGAACCAAACCCAAGAAAATTTGAATTTTCCATATCCTTATATATTATATAGTATATATATATAAAATATATATATATTCAAAGGACAAACTAATTCCAATACTTAATATCCATATTAGTCTCAATTATATTAGAATATATTCAAAGACAAACTAATCAATACTTAATATCCATATTAGTCTCAATATATAGAACTTCCTCGATTCTGTTAAAAGCTGGCTAAATTAAGATTGAAGTTTCTTCTGGTTGCAATTTCCAAGGAAGATGCATATTGATAAATGAGGACATTTCAGTTCTAGTTACCACTAGGAAAAGTAATCTGTGTCTTATATGTGCTTCAAAAATAGCATTTTAGCATAATACATATATATAACAATGGATTCTATAATTAGCATCCTAGCATTTCTTGATCTTGATTATCAGCGCTTACTTTTAGCTGCAAATAGCAAGAAATTTAAAAAAAAAAAAAAGGAGAAGAAAAGAGAGACAAACATACTAAAGCTTAAAGAAAGATTACATAAGAGCTGAACAAATATACATATATATTGATGAATGTCGTGTTGAATCATTGAGTTGGGGGGAATGAAGCCTGGTCCGAGATCATTCAAGAAAGCTGCTCTTTTGGATGCAAATGCTTCAACTGAATGGTCTCGAACCAGACAGCATTCCCCTCAACAGTAAGCATAAACAAGAAAGACAGAGAGAGAGCAAGAGAAAGAAAGACTGTTTTTTATATTTGATTTGGCCATGCATTGTGTTTCTTGGGCCCTTATATACGTGAGGATAAAAAGAAAACCAAGAGTAAGAGTATCTTTATGTGGGTCATAATTGACATGGGAGTCCCACTTTTTATACCTCATTTTCTCTCCCTATCATGCTTTTCAGTTTTCACACAGTCTAGATTCTTGAAGAAGAAATCTTTGGCTTTGTTTGCTTGCTTGTGTTTTGCGTCCAAAATTTTCACTTTGCTTGTTGCCTTCAAATTTCTTATACCCGGATCTAGATAAGTCAATTTCTAATATGTTTTGATTTTGTGATATTGAAATTATCTAATAAAGTTTAAAATTACGCGGAGGTCAAATTTATAAAAAAAAAAAAGAAAAAGAAAAATTATATATATACCACGACTTTGAAGACTGTGGGTGTTATTTTCTTTGAATCATACATAACCAAACACACCCTTTAGTGTAAAGATTATAATGAGGTGCAGTAAGGATTGAAAATGATGTGGACTTGAAGTTTGGTGGAGGAAATTAAGGCCACTTGCCATTGATAATAAATGGGTCCAAAGACTCCAATTGGTGCAAAATTTAGGTCAAAGCAATACCCTTGTCGAGTAAAACAAACACTGCCTAAAGCACTCAATACCTTCCCAATCGATGGATTAATCAGAATTTAGATAATTATCAAGTGCCTTGAGAAGCATTTTTCTAAATGTGATGTAAACGATATATCTTTAGCTTCCTGCTTGGAGAAAAAAAGGGAAGCTAGGAGATGAGAGAAGCTTCATCATCAATGAGAGGCATTAACATAAACAGTGCGATTCCAATCTTAAATGGAAAGAAATACAGGTTGGCCTGTCAAGGCTGTGATCAGAGCCAGAATACATAAAGACGAATGGGAAGTGGGCATATTGGAAGATAAAAAGCAGGGCCAAAAAAAAGGGGGAAAAAAAAAAGTTAATCAAGTGATGTATACTGTATAAGATGGATTTTACTGTGTTTTCAAGCGCCTTTTGTACTACTGTAATAAAAAGTTAAATCTCTATCGTTTCAAAATTTCAATTACAATTTTAATTGTGATTCAATGATATTACGCGTGCATTTCCACCGATAGCATTAATCCATCTTCTATTTGGATTAGCAAAATTAAGCATAAAAAATACATTCTTGTAGTCTAATTCCATAATTCGAACATGTTTACAAGATTAATAATAATGTGAGTTGAATCACTTCCCAATATCCTTAAACCTCAATTGTTTTAATTAAACATTGAATTAATTCAGAAATATGTTTCATATCCAGGGCTTGAAATAACAGAAGAAGAAGAAGAAGAAGAAGAAGAAGCAATTGAAGTATGTTAAACACAGAAAACATTTTGCTTTAGAAGTGGATATGGAATATTTATAAAAGTGTTGGGTTAATTAGTTGCTTACAAATCTCGTTGGTCCTGTTTTGCGAATGCTAAAACCAAATGGCGCAAAAAGTTCAAAAAAAAAAAAAAAACTTACATAATCAAATCGCTTGGTTCCTGTTGCTGGAAGCGGTAAAACTCAAATGGCGCAAAAAAGTTCAAAAAAAAAAAAAAAAAAAATATAATTTATATATTATATTCACTGAGCATTTTCAAGAGACTTAAAGTAGAGCCATATTTTAATGCAAGTCCTTTAGACTACATAAATATTGATAGCACCAAATGGGGATGTAGTTGTTAAAAGTCATTTTATTGCTGTATTGATTACTTAAAATCACTCAAAACAAGCGGTTGCTTTACGCTCCTATGGGCATCTTTTTTCTTTTTGCTTTTAAGAGCTTTCATGATACACTTACCATAATTATGCAGAAACAAACATTTCAACAGTTGAGTCACATATTTCCACTGCCTAATAAAGATCAAACATAACTGGACCCTCTGAACCACTAAATCTTATATCCCTTTCTTTTTTAGTTATCCAGATTGCACTTGTAATATCTCAAACAGAAATTACATTCTGAAATTTCTTCATCGAATTCAAAAATTTTTTGTCATCAACTTGCAGGCGTATAGTTTTCTATATTCCCTCAGCACACTTTGCCGGATTGAAATTCAATATAAGGTTGCATAAATTTGTCCACAAAAAAAAAAAAAAAAGAAATATATATATATATATATTCACTGAGATTTCAAGAGCTTAAAGTAGAGCCAATTTTAATGCAAGTCCTTTAGACTACATAAATATGATAGCACAAATGGGGGATGTAGTTGTTAAAAAGTCATTTTTTGCTGTTTGATTACTAAAATCACTTCAACAGCGGTTGCTTTACGCTCCTATGGGCATCTTTTTCTTTTGCTTTAAGAGCTTTTCATGATTACACTTACCATAATTATGCAGAACAAACATTTAACAGGAGCACATATTTCCACCCTAATAAAGATCAACATAACTGGACCCTCTAACACAAACTTATATCCTTTCTTTTAGTTACAGATCACTTGTAATATCAAACAGAAAATTACATCTGTAAATCTTCATCGAATTCAAAAATTTGTCACTAACGTTGCAGGTATAGTTTTCTATATTCCCTCACAACATTTCTTTGCCGGATTTGAACCAAATGCAAAATGTCCACTCTTTTTATCATGTCCAATTGAAAAGGGAGCAAAAAAAAAAAAAAATGAAAGTGCTGATCTTAAGTAAATTAGGGATGGAAGAGTAAAAAGAATAGCTTGTTCAAGTCTTAATGACCTAACAGATCAAGGCTTACAGAAAAATGGGGATTCTTTATATAGATATTATAACTTACAGAAAATTTACAGTTCATACATTACTCAAACACAGCAACATGTCCTTGCATGTTAAAGGGAACAAGACGCACATTCTTCACATAAGTCACAAAAAGCAAAGGGAATCCAGACCCTTTTGACTCTTATAAATTAAGAACTCAACACAATAAGTTAATAATGAACGACAATGCCTGCATTACTCTGTTCATTTACCTCTGGTAGAAAGGAGTTGAGTACCTCCTCCACTTGGTCATGCTCATCTTCAACTTTGCAAATAGCATGACCATTGACGATGCTGTGATGATCCTTTTTGTTGGTAGAAATAGTGGTGTTGGTTTCTTCTTTGCAAACACCCAGGCTCTGACGAATTCCCTGACCACAAGCTCCTTTGACCCTCTCCGCCAGAGATGGATCTACTGTATCACTGCAGCTCTTCCTTCTGCCCAGCTTTGGAGATCTTGCACGAGTTGGTGGAAGCTGGCATTCATGCAAGTCTTAGTGGCAAGATATCGATCAATAACACATACTATTGTGCCATTAATCTTTAGTAACGTGCATTAAAAACCATTCATTACTTTCAATGTCTGCCAACATTATATCATCCCATAAACATGTCAAACAGCGAAAGGAGGGATTAACCGATCAGCATTACCTTTTTCAGTTCAATCTTAGGTGGTGGTCCCTCATGGTAGAAACTTGGCATTGGATTAGCCTTAAACAACAAGCTTTTCCTCAGTTGCTTGATAGCCGCCTCCTTCTCTTCCTAAAATTTCAGGATCAATTAAAAAAGATGGAGGGAAAAACATGTCAGAATTATCTATCTTGGCAAACAAACAGTCATGAGTGGGAGAGAGAAAGACAGAGAGAGATTGAGAGTTTGAGACTTGGGTACTTAAGTTCTAACTACCATTTATTTTGAGGTAATTTGAGTATTTTACCTTGGTCCTTGCTTCACTTTGGGTTTTCTCAGCCTCCAGTGCTTGATGTTTCTCCTCTAACTTTGAGTAAAACTAAAAGATGACAGCATGATATAGACATTGAATCTTGCCTTTCAGGTCTAGTTTTAAACAAAAAAAAAAAAAGAAAGAAAAAAAAAATCCATTGTTTTAAGCTAACTCTAAATTGAACAGAATTATAGAGGTAGTACCTCCTTCCGTTTCTCAGCACGTTCACTGCATCTAAATACTGGAGCTGATGCAACAGTTGCCCTGGACTTACGAGCAGACGCTGTAGTTCTATAAACAGTGAAGGAATGGTATCAATTGCAAAGCATAAAGTGAGCTACAAATATCAAAACAGCAAAGAAGAAAACTAAGTCGAACTTAATCTGCTAGTAGCAAGGGGATACATGGAAGTGACAGAACAAGCATCCTCCTCATCAGGATGCTTCTTGTTAGTGGGTTGCAAAGGCCTTCTTGATACTCCAAGTGGCTGCAGCTGAACATGTGAATTTAGTTTATATAATGAGAGCTTTTCTAAGCAACAGATTATTTTAGCATTATGACTACCAACCATTTCATAGTACTATTCAATATTCCACTAGACATCTACTATCAAAGTCAGTGCTAAAAGCTTTCAGCTAGAACAAACTTCTTTAATTATTTCGGACAATTGTAACCGTGATTAGATGCCAATACTAGGATGCAGCAGTTACCTGATTCTGCTTTGTGGTGTTTGGATGGAGCACATTGTTTGCACTAGATGATTTATTCACACCAGCAGTGGCATCAAGACCCGGTCCAGTAGGACGATTTCCTGATGAAGCACGCTTTTCAGTTGCTAGAGCAAATGGTTGAGGAACAGTGTGTTTTGTTCTAACAACTCCAGAAGGAGCAGCTTTTGACACTAGCTGCACACTTGTTCGAGACTTGTCAACATCCTTTTTCTCTTTTTCTGATTTGACCTTCTCCTCTTGCAAGCCAGCCTCAAATTTTGAGCTTACTAAATTTGGGTCCTCCTTACTTTTGTCAGCACGGGGAACTTCAGTGGTCTCAACAGGGATTTCAGTTGTGCATTCCTTCACTTCATATTCTTTTGCTTCAGGACTTTCATCTGAGCTCTGAAGCTCAGTAACCCCATTGATAGGCTCATATGACTCTAGAATATCATGACGATTAGGATGAGTTTCATGATCTGAATCATGGGAGACACCATTTGAATAAACTATGACACAATCTCGTTCCTTGTCCATGCATATATCAGTAACTTCAATTCCCATCACACTACAACAAGAAAGAGAAACACCTCAATCACATGAAATTGGATATCCTAAACAAGTCTCTACATGAATAATCCACTAATTTCTTTGTCCTCCTGTTGTTTTTTCTTAAGAATGGCAGTCTTCTTCCTATCGACTGGGCTAGGGCCCTAGGCCCCTTAATATCATGTGAAAAGCAGTACTCTGCCATAGCCAAATTTAAAATAAACAAAAAGCTACTTCAGATCACTCATTTCACAAGCAGCTTACCATAGAGTTATGTTAGACAAAAACTAGATCTTTTTGTAGGGTACAGATTATAAAAGGTCATTAATAGTAAAGAATTAAAACTAATAATGGTTTAAGGGAGAAACAAACTTTTAACCCGAGAGGGAAAAAGCCATATATAGAGATGCTAGGACTTCAAAAACAATAGCAAAGCAAAAAGCAGAAAGAAAGTAATTGAATATTGTTACCAAGGATTTAAATAATGAGTTGCTTATTTACAAGATTGCCAATTAAATTTGGATCTACGAACCATCAAACATACTTACTGATTTACAAAAGATAAAAATGGAGATGACTAGCATTCTTAGAATTTTTTTTTTTTTTTTTTTTTTAAATTAAATTTGGATCTACGAACCATCAAACGATACTTACTGATTACAAAAGATAAAAATGGAAGATGACTACATTTCTTAGAATTTTTTTTTTTTTTTTTATTTGGTTGAATAAAGGGAGATTAGAGGGAGAAAGGACAAAAATAATGACAAAAGATTAGGCACCATTAACCATAAGAAATTTATTGGTTGACCAAAATAGGAATTTTTTTTTTTTTTTTTTTTGAATAAAAGGAATTAGAGGGAGAAGGACAAAATAATGACAAAAGATAGACCATTAACCATAAGAAATTTATTGTTGACCAAAATAGGATTACTGGAGAGCAGTAAAAATGATGAAAAAAGGGTGAAGATTAACCGCATTATCTTTGATAAGAATGAAATCTTAAACACCATAATGCCTTTGGCTGATTATTTTGAAAAGAAAACTAGCAAACAGAATCATTTCCCTTAACCAGCAGGGAAGACAAGGCACATAAATGAACAAATTTTAAGAACATCCAAAGAAAGTCAAGAGATGGCCAAAGCCCAGCTTTTAGTAATTATGAACAGCTGAAAGCAGCAAGTTGCAACCCAATTAATCCTAAAGTTTATAAGACCCAAAAACAAAGTTCCAGAAAAGCATGAACACATAAAATTTCAATTTAAAAAAAAAATCTCCATAAATATAAAAGGCAATGAAATTTCACCATTAATTGATTCTGAAAAGACAAATTTGCTCTTGAACTCTAGCAAACTATTTCTGAACAGTCACATAGATTTGCAAATTGATAACTGAGGCAGTAACTTTTCTATAAATCAATAAGCATCGGCTAAAGAAGCTTCATTCAGTTTTTCTTGGAAAACTGAAGAAAATTAAAAGAAAACAACTAAATAGTAAGCGTTCAACTCTCTCAAGGACTTCACTGATTGTAAAAGCTACAAATTTTCGTTCTGTTTTCTATCCTGCATTTTCTCGACAACCAAACAAGCCAAAACACTGAAAAATCATAAAGAAACAGAATTGTTTAACAGGAAAAATAAAATAAGCCACATTTTGAAATCGAAACTCAGGATTTTCTTTACAAAAAAATAAAGTAAAGAAAAATGGATATTCCAATAAACAGATCAAATATCAACTAAAAACCAAAAATCGGATCAAGATATCAGGGAGTATAGAAGATGCTGAACCTACATTACATGCAAGAGAACATCTAGAGACAGAAAGAGAGATAGAATGAAGAAGAAGGTGGCAAATTTGGTAATAACTCACGAAATTTTGGTCCGATCTGAGAAGAAATGAAGAGATACTGTGCTGTGAGCGCTGGTATTTTCTTGGTTTTATTATTTGCCTTATCGAGCTGTGTGTTTGTGTGCGTGTTTTCTGCGTTTGTTTCTGTTTCTTTCTTGTTTTATAATATGCGCAAGTTACCTCGTCGGTGTCGACGGCGTTATTTCACGGCGTCATCCGTAAAATTTGAAAATTTGAAGATAAGAACGCCTTTTCCTTCCTTGTAGTTTGATTTTAAAATTTTACTAGTATTTATTATTTAACTTGACCTTTTACTTGGATTTTCTTCAGCTGTAAAAAAAGTTTTAACCGCCAGTTTTTTTGCACATCATGTTTTATAATTTCTATTTTCTAACATCAACTTATGTTGAAATTGAAAGACTTATAAAGACTAAACATAATTTTCAATTTTAGAAATCAAATACCATTTCGTCGTGCTTGATGGGACAGTCCAATAATTATAATGTGGACGCTAATTTTAGAATATGTTGGATTAAAAATTATTTCCCTCGTCCAATAAATATATGTTTAGTTTAACTTTAATTGTTTTCAGTTTTTCTTAATATACTTCTATATGTTTTAATAAAACTCAATGTTTTAATTAGTTATCAATTTCAAGATTTGATTAATAGTAACCATATTCCCTTCTTTCCATAAAATTAATTTGTTTTTATTTCAAATTATATTCATATTTTCATCATAAAACGAGAATGATACCATTAACAGTTTTTTTTATTTTATTGTTATCCAATGTACATTTTTTACCAAAAATATATTGATTTTAATAATCATCAAATTTTAAAATAAATAACTAATCAAAATATTAACTCTTTAATAACTAAAGACAAAGCAAAAGTTATGGTTTAACCATATTAATTAGTTATACTCCCTAGGTCTCATGATTCACTTTCATTTTTCATTTGTCCTAAAATATAGTTTTATATCCTTTTTTTGAAAAATAATTTATTATTTAATTGTTTAATAAACCCTTATTTAATGTATATAATTGTATATACAACGGTTTAACTATATTAACAAGTTTTTATATTTATATTTCCTCCCAACAATAGTAATTCCAAATTTAAAATCATTGACCTTATATACCATAACACGAATAGACTAAAATTTAATAATATAATATAATACCAAAAATATAGTTACTAAGACTTGAATTTTTAATTTTTTAGAGTTCTATATTTAATTGCTACCAAACTAATTTAAACTCATCCTAAAATCTGTAGCCAGCCATCTCAATTTATCTAATGTTCCCAAATTCTATCTAACTACATTCACATGTTGGGTATTTTGCATACATTTTATCAATTTTATTTTATAATGTGAAAAATAAGTTGGCAAGATAATGCTACCCAAATCATGTAAATGCTAACAATATTTGGTTGCAATGGTTAAATGAGGACAAAAATTTGCCAACCCAACAAGCAAATGGTTTTGTCATTTCACTCTCTTTAGGGTAGCCCTAAGTTTTCCTTAATTCAGATTCTTTATCTTTTATTCTAATAAATAAAATGCAATTAATTACTTAATGCTCACTTATTTATAGGCATCACTTCCACTAAATGCCATACCAATTTGTTCTTCAGACTGTCTCCCAACTTATTTTGTTCCCTTCTTTCTTTGAATTTTTTTTTTTTTAATTTTTAAATCAAGAAAAACCCTTGTCTTTATTCTTTAGTGCTTGATAATTTTTCAAGTACAACAACCCAAACGCTGTGCAGAGATTCCTCCTAAAAAAGTTGTTAATTGTGTAAAAAAAAAAAAATTAAAACCTTTTAATATTATATTGTTTTGGTCAGAATTAAGTAATTTTAATTATAAGGCCATTCCCTAACAACCCTTTAATTGAAATTGCATGCAGCTCATATTTAAATATTAGTCTGCAAATACCGTACTTTTGGTGAGTATGTATGTATTAATTATAAGTTATTAATTTTGTGAATAATTAACCAATTAAAAAAGACACTAATTTATAATAATAATAAAAATAAAATAAATAATAAGAGTGTCACAATTTGATGTCATTTATCAACTCTATTTCCGAAAATAGATGTATTTCAGATAAAATGAAGCATTATCATAATTCATATTTTAAACGTAATTAAGCAAATAAATTAGTTGGGATGTTTAAGCAATATAACATTGCAGGATGTGAAATCATCAAGAATATGTTGATTTTATATCATATATATATATATATCTATAGCTTAACCAGAAAGCAATATATAAAAGAGAAGACGTTCCATCCAAATTATTGCTTATGGACCCATCTTGATTATTCCTGCTCAACCCTTTTGAAAAAGCCTTAACACCCTCTAATTAATTTAATTACATCCCATTTTGTCCATTTATTTTTATTTTTATCTTTCCTTAAATCAACATATGTGTCCTGACCAACAAAACTAGGTAGGCGATTGCATGCCTGATATAGGTTCCTAATTTTTAGCAGGTAGACATGTCCAAATCACTCTCCATGAAACTACTAGTTTAGAACCATAAACCAACCGACTCAACGTGGAACATAATAAGCTCAATTGGATTTGAGCTTCAACAGTAATTTCATATATATTTTATAATAAAAAAAATTCAATAAGGAAATTTGAAACTGACTTGTTAAATTTATCGAACGAGCTTTTTTAAACTGAATCTCAAGCAATTGAATCTATTTACAGCTTGATATCTAAGTGTTAATCATCATAAGTTCATATCGTATCTATTTATTTAGTATTTTAGCTGTGTATATGTATATGATTGGAAAGGTTAATAATTTAAATCTAATAATTTTTATCTGTTTAAAAAGTTTTTGATTTGCCAATTTTTTTTAAATCTAACTCCATAATTGGTTATGAAAGTGCTATATTTCCATATGCTTTTGATTAATTTCAGAAAATAAATGTAATATAATAAATGTATATAGTTCATCATATCATTTTATTGTAAGAAAAAGAAAAGGAAAAAGAAAAGTTGAATAGCCAACTTTTTGTTGGCCAGTGCTTTATTAGTTGAAGGTATTACAATTTGGTAACTAATGCTTACAATTTATGATTCGCTTACAGTTTCACATAAATATATTTAGAATCATAAATAAATATGAAAAAATTTAATTTTCTTAATGTTGATCTAGATATTGTAATTATAAGAATTGGCTTAATTATTAAGTAAGTTTATTTCTTATCTTATTGATTAGAAATTAACTATTAAGATTAGTTAATAAAACTGCTAGATGAAAAGGAAAATCCCAGTACACGTTGGCAAATTACATAGCCAAAAATGGGCCCTAATTAATCAAATTGTGGTAATTAATTATCAATCAATGGCCAATTTAGGTTACGGGGTGGATATAGGAGTGGGAGGCGGACAGCTGAGCCCATAGGGTGGCATTTGTGAGCTGTGAGGGTGTGACTTTTTTTAGTGGGTTGAGACTTCAGAGACCCTGAGTAGAGTAAAAGGAAGGATCAGATTTAATAGACTGAGGCATATGTATATAGAGAATGGTCCCACATAGCTCAATCCCATCACTGCCTTTAATCTTCAATATGAAGTGAATGATTGTCGATTGATCATCAAGATGGGTCCCATGTACCAAGATAGTACCTGTCAACGGCTATGATTGGTGACCTTCTTCATCATCATGCATTATCTGTGGTTTTCCTCAGTATGTATTTTCCAGTTTTGAGCTTCAGAAAATGAAATTTTAATTATTAGTGAATGTCAATTTTCACACCTTTGCAGAATCCGACTCGTGCCAATAATACGAGGACAGGTTCGTTGCTAGGTAATGTCAGGAGTGAAGTGACTTGCGTATTTGCTGGACCCCATTGTTCGATTGGTAAAGTGGCTCCGTTGCATTCAATTCTCAGCTCTAGTTGGCCATTTTCTATGGTCCAATCTTATATACTAAAGATGTTCTTAACCATTCGATCTTTAGATGTTCTTAACCATTCGATTTTAGGAAATGCACTTATTGAGAACGGCGAAATCTTTTTATACTATAGGGCTCGAAAGGGATTTATCTACACCAAGAAAGTGTAAGAATGCATCCTAATTTAATGGTATTTAAAACCTTAGCTTGAAAAATAAGAACTTTATTATCAGATTAAAAAGCTGAACATTCAGATAAGAAACCACATCCTTTATGTCATTACTTCCAAAAGATCCACTCTACATTACTGCTGTCTGCTAAAAAGAAATATTAACACAGGCAATAGGTACAGAGACCTTCAGAGTTTCACTCCAAGGAGAATAAGACAGACTGCATGCTTGAGAAGGTAAAGTTTGGTGCTTGCGATTGTTGCTGGGTTTGGTCCATTTCTCAACATCAGTTTTTGTTATGCACTTTCACCAGAAATGCAGAATGATATGTGTGGAAAATAACACATCAGGACAAGGACAGCTTTGAAAGGGTCAGAGCCAATACTTTCACCCCATTTGCTATATCTTCAATGGAAGCATATTCTTCAGGTTTATGGCTATATCCTGAAAGAGCAAAGGTAAATGAACATGAGCTCACTTATAATTATATTCACTTCATCTGTTTGCTTTTGCACATTATGCGTTTAATTTACTCATGTATATTACTGGATAGAGTTAAGCACAGTTTTTCCTAAAACAGGGACTTCCTCCTTGCCTCTCACATCAAGTGCTGCACTAGCATACAATTAATCGGTAGTCATTGAAACTCAAATGGGAAAGCAAACAGATTTAGTGATATGTAGCATTCAAAAAATTTCAGTTTACTGAAAGATGATAAAGTTAATTTTATTTCCAATTAACTAAGAGAGAGAACTGTTGGAACTTGAGAAGTGAAAGAAATTCAGACCTCTGTAACATGGAATGAATAACATACCCATCGGAGATATCCTGCAAGGATGTGATGCTGCATGTTAGTGAATTTTTGGGAGAAAAAAAAAAAAATAGCAGCGTCGCCATGTAGAAGTTTGTGGCGAAAGTTATCCAGAGCAGATAACAACTGGAAATCGAATAAACATTTTACGCTAACATTTGTGCAGAATTTCATAAAAAAAAAGAAATGCCAACAAACTTTTTTTTCTTGATATCGACTCTATTTTTGAAAATCCGGCATTTAACCTTTTAGCAATATCACTTACCTAGCCATAAAGAGTGAATCATGGTAAGCTCTGCTTATCATCAACTTATGTGTCAGGTTTAATTCTTTTGATGCAGCTTCCATTGCCTCAATTACTGATTTATCAGAAAGGGCTGGTGGGTCCTGATTTATAATATTGAATTCTGATAGCTTGACCCCACGGTTTTTTGCTATTGTTATTGCGGATTGCTTAATCTTCTCAATTACGCCATTTCGTCGTTCTTCATCAATATCCCGTGTGTCTTCCAAAATAGTAGACAAATAAGCTATCAGTAACCTCATATAGCTTCAATAATCTAATCTCAGATACACTTGAGAAAGTCAATGCCATAGTTTTTGGTATAACCATCTTTCCTTCAGAAAACCTGGTCATGAAAAGAAGCATACCAATTTCTAGATGTGATTTGCTTGGAATGCTATTGATTGCTCCAGGATGCAAGTCCAGAATACCTTGAAAACATTTTAAGTATTAGTATCCACCACAGGTATAGTGGAAGTGAAGGTAGTTCAAAAGGAGCCAGCAATTCAACATTGTAAATGGAAATTAAATACAAAAGAAAACCATAATTCCATTCTCAAGAATGAAGAAAAAGTGACACACCTACTGTACCAACAGTATCAATTGAACCAGATTCTAGTACATGTTTCTCAACAGCTAGCGCCAACTCTGCAGCTGCCAATCCAGCATCATTTCTGATCCAAATAATGAATGTAAATGCTTAAGAATCTTTTCTTGAGTATACTAGAAAACAAGTTGAAAATATTCTATCTACAAAAATATTTGAAATTGGAACATATAATGATCATCAAAGGAACCTAGCAACTAAAAGAAAATGTGCATAAGTTGATAAAGGCGCAATTACGTTTTCAATACATAAGCATTTGAACAAGACCATGAGTCACCTGTTAGGCATCAAGACAGCACCTGCATGGCCCCCATTGCCTTCAAAATCTACTTTTATGCTTGCTGGGGCCGCAATTGCAGTTACAATACCAATTGATAGACCTACATCAAAGTTTAAAGTTAATTAACAAAGGCAGGCAATCTTTGTCTACGGAGGGATAACATTACCAGTAAAAAATAGCCTACCTTCAGCCTCCAGAATGGGACCCTGTTCTATATGCAGCTCCAGAAAAGCAGAGTAACTTCCATTCTTTAAGAAAACACTCGACAAATCATCTTGATCTTTTGCATAACCTGCGGATCTAGCAGCCTCTACAAAGGATACATTTTGACTATCAAATGTATTCTTGAGAGCTTCTGCAAGCGCCTTGCTCCCCGTCAGTAAGCGGCTGTACATTGAACATTAAAACAGAAAGAACATTGTATTAGTTCTGGCATAAGCATCTTAAATTAAAAGTCTTTAGATTGGCAAAGATGAATAAAATAGCTAACAGAGACAGATATGCAAGACTTGACCTTCCCAAGCAACTGATCCCAAAGCGAGTCGGCTCTTCTGAGGTGAACGAGATGACCTCCAGTGACCTTTTAGGTTTGAACCCAGACCTGTGATATAACAAATGAGAATAACATTGAAAAAAGAACAGTGGCTGCTGATATAGATTAATTCGAAAACATCATTAATATCAGTAGAAAGGATTTACATTTTCTGAATCCAATGAACTTTCACTTATAAGAAAATTTCACACAGGCAAGATAAGCAAATTATTTTTAGATTGAAATTAGTAGCTGTGCTGTGGTCAACTCCTAACCTGGGGTACTGATTGGTTTCAATTTTGGTTTGAAAGTAGGTTCTCTATAGATATCTCTATGTTCACCTATTGCCATCTGGCTATACCAAAAGAATTGATGAAAGAAGTCACCATCTTAAATATCTCTGAGAATAAAGCCAACCATCAACATCTAACATTTACAGCTAGCTAGAATCTTTCAAGCAATATGATAGGTAGGACATCTTTCAGACCCACATTCATATGAAGCAGATCATGCAAACCTTTTTAATACATTGATGGCCTCAATTGCACCTAAAACACCAACAACTCCATCGTATTTCCCAGAAAATGGAATAGCATCAATGTGAGAACCTGTTGCAACTGCAGCAAGCTCTGGTTCGGAGCCATCCCTGCAAATAACAGAGTCGGAGTACTCGTGTTATGGCCTCAGGTAAACAGGATTAAAACGTTGCTGAATTTAGTGAAGTTTACAAAAGGTGCATCTCAAGAGACTTTTGAAATATTGCTTAAGGAATACTTAGAACCAAATTTATTGGTAATAAAACTTACCACCGACCAAATATGTTACCAACAGCATCCTCTCTAACAGATAACCCAGAAAGTCCCATCAAATTTTTGATGTACCTACAATCAAATATTTGCAATCACAAGCAATATAGAGATGGCAAAGGAGGATGACAAAGCAAGCGAGGTAAGTGTTTATATTTTTGACTAATCTCAGAATATGGCAGAACAAATTTTCTAATGTTGCTTAAACTGATGATCCCAAAACACATACCCAATGTTGGTTCAACAAAATCACAATAACAATGGGATTCTTCTCAATATAAGCAACCGTATCAAAACCATATTATTCAATATAAGAAAGCTTCAGTGGCTGTAGCCTTTCCGTCCCAAATTGGCAGTTCACTTCTAAAATACAAAGTGGAAAATTCTTTTGAGATCAATGTTCTCAAAAGAATTTGGCAAGAAAATTACAAAACATTACACCTAAAATCTACAAATTCCCATATTCTATTCATTTTATCAAGCTAGATGTTCTACAACTTTTACATAACTGGTGAAGTGCTGAATCAGTATCATCGCATAGAAAAACACAAATGAAGCAATAAATATGAGATAACTAATACATTTCAGGCGCAGATTAATTACTAGGAATCTCTATTAACAGAAATCTTTAATATCTTACCTGCGAGCTAACACGTCCTTCTCAGTGTACAAAACCCTAGTAACTGATGGAGCAGGAGTATCAGAGAAAGAGGACAACTCATCAATCTGAAAAAAAAAAAAAAAATTTACATAGAAATTTTACCCACAACCCAATCAGAAAGAAATACTACAGAATACTGGCTTGCTAAAAACTGTGCATCATTCCTGTATTCGGATTCTTGGATCATCTCCCTTCCAAAGGAGTTCGACTCCCTTTCGTTATCTGATACCCTTCAGGGCCTTTTGCAACGAAGTATTGCTTAAAAAAAGGAAAGAAAGAAAGAAAAAGATACAAGAAAACAATTGAAGAGGATAATATTGAATCCAAAAAAGAGTAAAGATTTAGTATTCTACCTGTTTTTGCAGACCATGATCGTCCACTGAAAGTGAAGAAGATAAAGATGCTGAGCTAAATGAGTGAAACGGTTCATGAATTGGGTAACCGGAGAAATCCTCCATGGTTTTGGTTGTTGGGTCTCCATTAGTTTCAGCTAAGGTAGTAGAAATTGAATAGAGGGAGAGGAGAAGAAGAGAGTAGAAGTGAAATAGTCTAAGCAGAGACATGATTTTTTCTGGGTTTCTTTCAGGTTCACGAACCGTTAACCAAATTATCGTTAAACAAATGGACGCCACTAGGGTGAATACATAAAATACAAAAATCCCAGATAATAAATGTTAGTTAAATTATTTTTGTAGAATTATAAATTTGAAAAACATACAAAGAATTCCATCTATAAATACGATAATAATAAATATATAATCATTATAAATAAATGGATAAAAAAATTAAACAATTCAATCTAAAACCAAAAAAATTAAAATATTCAAATATAAATATAATTAATTATTTTAAATAAATAATATTTTTTCAAATTAAAAAGTATTTTTTAAATGATCTAATAAAAAAAAATCAAACTTGAAATATAGATATAGATAATTATTGTTAATGAATATTAATTTTGAAAATATGATTCTTTAGATATAATTTTTTATATAATTTTTTAATATTTAGATAATAAAATTAAAATTTAAATGACAAGAATATTATTTTAACTATAAATGGTAAGATATCTCAATCATATCAAATACTTGAATGTATGTAATATATCAATAAAAATATATACTATTATAATAATAATTAAAATATTATAAATAATTAAAATTTACATATATATTATACATGAATATGAAGCAATAAATAAAAAGTTTTACAATTTTCTACAATTTGCTAAAAGTATAATACATTAAAAAAAAAAAAAACATAAACGGATTTATATTTAGCTTTTCCTTCCATTTATCTTCATCAACATGATATTTCCTATACTTGTAACTATACACATATGACATATAACAAAGAAAATATTATTAAATAAATAAAGATAAAAGATAAGAGAAATCATGTGATGCAAAAAAAAAAAAAAAGACCATAAAAAAAAAAAAGAGAGACCAAAGAGTTAAAATTACCTCAATTGAAGAAGAAAGAACAATGATATAGGATAGTTCAACGTGCTCATTAATGCCTAACCTTGAGATGTGGATCATCCAAAGCACATTAGCATGGCGTACTTTTCCTATTCAATCAGCGCAGAGCGATTAAGCGGCTCAACGCACTCCCATGGACTAAGAACATAATGAGTGCTACAAATAAAAATAATAATAAAAAAAAACTCCGTGAAAGAAAGTAACTTAAATTGATTATTATGAATGGACATGTAGATAGATATAGGTATATATATAAGAAAAAAAAATCAAGGTATCAAAAGTTTCAATTTCAAAATTCAAAAATTTTAAAGAATTAAATATTTAAAATTTTAGATATAGGTATATATTAGATTAGATATAGGTAAAAAAATGTTTAAAAATGAATTAAAATTTTAGAAAATTTGTAAAAAAAGAAAAAGGGAAATACTCAAAGGAGAGAGTACAAGTAAGGTTTTTGAATTTTTTTTTTTATTCAGGATTATATATATATGTATAGATTCAACAGCTAATTTTTCCATTAAATGATTGCAAAAATATCAAAAAAAAAAAAAAAAAAAAACAAACGAAAAAAATAAATCTTAAGCGTACTATATTCGTTTAAAGGGATACGATTAGTGTTAAGGATATAGAAATTAAGGTACTTAATAGCCATATAGTTCCACCTGGTAATATAGTACACTATCTAAGTCAATTATTTTTAGAAGTATTTAAAAAAAAAAAAAAAAAATCTTAAGGATATTTCTTATAAAGGGAATAGATAGTGTAAGGATATGAAAATTAAGGTACTTAATAGCATATTTCACCGGAATATAGACACTATATAGTAATTATTTTTAGAAGTATTTATGACATTTTACAGTCATTTAAAAAAAAAAATTAGACTTATAGTGTAATAAAATTATAATACGTGGACTAAATAATACAATTTTAAATTCTAAATCTTATTTGGGCAAAACCTAAAAGCAATATAGTAATTAGTTAATTACACATTTTATTGACCCAATTATGGTGGGCTTGCTTTTTTTTTTTTTTTGGTATTTTTGTGGTTCCTAAATGGACTATGATGTACTATATTGTCTAAGGTATAATTGTTTATGCTAAATTTTAAATGGTTAGTCTGAATTTAAATTTATTATTTTATTAAAGTAAATGATTAATTAGCGATATCAGTAAATGATAGATAATTTATTTTTTATTTAATAATTATATTTATTCTTTATTATTATCTGAGTTAAAAAGTTGAAAGTATATTTTTTCGTATACATTTCCTTTTATTCAAAAAAATAATAATAAATTGTCCTTAAATGGAAATAAACAGTCTTTTAAGTGATAAAGACTTGGCCCAAATTAGGCCCAACTGGTAAAATTTGGACCGTAACAGTACCTAGGCCAGGCGTTTTTCCAGTCTGATGTCAGTTCGGAAATGTTTCCCTGTTGGTTGGAAGACCAGAAAACTTCCTCTGTGACGTGGTCGTCCTTGAAGAAACTCTGGAAGACCAACCCACTTACAATTGAATTGAAGATTATCAGACTAATGAATTCTCAGAATCACACTGTATATTTTCTGGGCAACCATATAAATTTTAATTGATTAATATTCCTAATAAGCTCTAACTCATTTCTTTTATTCTCGTTTTTTTTATATATATTTTTTTAAAACTTAATAATTCATTAATATTAAATACAAATATAGAAAATTGATATCTTCTTATATTCATTTAATTTATTTTTTATATTTAATTTTTATGATATGTATTCACCAGTAGGGCATTACTTGCAGGTGAGAAATGGAAATTAAGAAATTGAAATGCTTCCTCTACATTTTCCAATTGAAAGATCATACCGTATGTTTATAGGCAATTTTATTACTACTTCGGCCAACCACTTTCCTACCGAATCCCTAATGGCAATCAAAGCCCACAATATTTTTAATAATTTCTTATTAGTAAATAGTTTTTTAGATAACAGATTTTTGTCAATGCTTAGTCATTCTCCATGTACGTATCAAAATTTTACAAGTACAAGCAACCTTAAAAGCAACACATCCACTATATATAAACCTAGTATATAATAATAAAATTGAATTTTAACCCACTTTACTTAATTGTAATTAGCAAAGTACCAACTTAATTATAATTAAATTTAAAATTTTTCATATCATAATAAATTTATTACAATATGAGAAAGTAATAATTGTCAAATTAAATGATTCTATGAAGCACTGAAACTCACAGAATTATTCATTTTAGCTTAATTAATAGTAAAAAAAGAATAGAGGAAGAGTAGTTTATTAGTTTAGTTGTTAAAAAAAATCATTAGCTTAATTAATAGTATAATGATAATTAAGCTTTGACTTAGCTTCAGTCAAAGAAAAGCTAATTAAAAAATAAGAATAATAATAAATGGCATGCTGGATTTGAAGCTAGCTACGACTTCAATTTCAATACGCAAATTTTGGTTATTCTAATAAAGAACAAGTTTTGTCTCCTCTGTACATATCCACAACAACAGGTTCAGCACAGAACCTGCAAATCAAGAAATGGTCCACTATTGTTTCAGGCAAGAATCCACAAACCAAGAATTGAATTAGAATGAAAATTTCAATCATTCTTCTATTTTGTTTCATTAACAAACAACTCAAGTAACTCTGTCTTCTATTATGATTAAAAAAAAAATTGTTTACAATTGATTTTTTTTTTTTTTTTTCTATTGATTGTTTCATTAACAAACAATCAAGTAACTCTGTCTTCTATTTATGACTTAAAAAAAAATTGTTTACAATGATTTTTTTTTTTTTTTATTATGTCTATAGAATATCAGGAGTAATTTTATTGTATGTATGATTTGTTCCAAAAAGGAAAAAAATGCATGACGTTTTTTTTTTTTTTTTTTATGTTATAAATCAGAGTAATTTTATTTATGTTGATTTGTTCCAAACAAAGAAACAAAATGCATGCGTAAGACATTCGGAAATTTTCTCCTGAAATGATGGCCGGCTTTATAAATAAATAAGAATACACATTACCCATATAGATGAGGAAAAAAGAAAAAGGAAGTTTCAAATTACCAGAATATATTTATTCATTGATAAATTTACAAAAATGTTCTTGTTTAATAGTATAAATGGAAATCTGTGTATATCTTACACAAAAAAAAAAGAAAAAAAATGTACAAATTGATTCCAATAAAATTTCAAACAAAACAAAAAATGAAAGAACAGAAAAAGGCTAGAATTGTATGAATTAATGTTCCTGCATGGACCTGTAATTTGGTCCTCTATACAGAAATCTCTGCAGATAAATGAGGTTCCTTATTTATGATTAGCAGCGACTCCAAACTCAACCATGGGACGGGGATAAGCAGTAGAGCGAGGAAGAGCAGCACCAGCAAAATTCATTTGACTAACAGTATTAGGACAGCTTGGTCCGCCGCTGTTAGGACCGTTGGTGCAGCCTGAGGGACCTGACGGAGGGACAGGTCCCCTTTGAAGGGACTCAAGAACAAGCCCTTTGTTCAGGTCTTCATGTAGTAATCTGCTTGCCTGGAATAGTTGCACATGTAAAGAAAGAAGCAAGAATGCAGCCAAAGTAATGTTGAGTGCCCTCATTATTTTCTTGAAAACAATGCCCAATGCAAAGATAGGTGTTCTCTCAAGATTTTTTTTTTTTTTTTTTTTAAGAATTTTTGAAGGTGTTTCAAAAAGAAAAGGCTGAAGGATATTTATACTGGGTAAGGTTTGAACATTGAACATTTAGGTCAGTATTTTATATGCAGAAAGATTTTTGACTGTTGACTACTAGGGTTTTTTTTATTTGTTTTTTCTTTTTTGGTGTTTATAAAATTTCAAGAAATTGAATGAGTCATAGCTATTAACATGAAGCAAGAAATTAAGGAGGGGTTTTAGTTGAATATGAAAGTTGAATCCCAAGGTTTACACAAATAAAAACGTGTAATATGCGCTGATTAGATGTGAGAAATAGGTATTGATACGGTCTTTTGCAGAATATATAAGTGTTTGATTGATTCTTGCTTTCTGGTTTAGCATGTGAGGACGGAAATTTCTTGGGAATGCATTTGCTTGGACCTTGAAATTTTGAATGCTTTTGGTTTTAAATTAGTATAGTATTTGGTTTTGTCAAAGCTGACATACACGTATGGTTTGAGACTTGGAGATTGTTAAATACTAGTAAGAATGAAGTTATCATAAGAGGTTGTCGAGTTACTTTACCATGGTGAACAAAAGAGTTTTCTTGCATAGGTGTCCATTGTTGAGTGACAGCCTGACAGGCCGTTCGTTCAGTAAGTATAATTGTATGTGGTCTTTGCGGCTTGAGGAGTGAGGGCTGGTACGGGAACGGCAGCTCGTTTCCTTTAAAGTTGTTTCTAGAGGTCGTTTGAGTAGATTTCTCGCTGTCGTTAAGATTTCACAAGCACGCGAGAGAGAAGCACAAATTCAGACAACGACAGCAGGTTTCTTTTGAGGCAATTGAAAATTCCTCTACTCTTTGGCACAGCATAGTCACAAGCTAAGCAAATAACATAATTTTGTCTAATGAAACATATTCGTACTCAAGAATAAACTGCTTTCAATAATGCGGAAAATGAAAGTTTCAAGTTTTCAATAATGCTTATTGTGAAACCCACAATGTAAAGATATTAAATTAATCAAATTCCTAAAATGCAATTATCATATCAAAATGTCTAACTTAGTAGAAGTGGAATGGAGAAAAAAAAGTAATAGCCTTTTGATACACGCATAAAAGAAGGCAAGCTTTGGACAACCAAATTATTTCATCTTTACAGGAGCCTTAATCCAGTATTTAGCCGTCTAAAATGGAGGGTTTGAGGAGCCCGAGTTGGGTTGAATTTTCGGCATTTGGCCATTTTCAATAATTAACCAATCCAAGCCCCAGAAAATTACAGGAAAGCCTCGTCATAACAAACTAAAATGCTGTAGGCAAAGAAAGGCAGAAATACTCTACAAAATGTTAGCTTATGAAAAGATTACAACCTCACTCCAATTCCAAGACCCAACAATTTCCCCAAATTATATTATTACAATGGACAATGACCCACAAACTTGCAAGGTAGTTCCAGTTTCAATGCCCATTTGAAGGTCTAAATACTGTATAGCCACTGCCACTGCAAGCCAAATTCGAATACTCCGGACTGAAATATGGAGAACCATCACCCTCTGCGTTCCTCATGCCTACTAAAGGATCAGATCCAGCCATCTGCCACTGATTAGGAATCAATCCATCAACATGCCCATTTGCATATGGTAGTGGGCTAGCCTGGGGATTATATTCCCTTAGCATGTCAAAGTCGAACTGGCTGCTGCCAAAAGAGCTATAGCTCCGCTGCAACCCACTATCATGGTAACTCCTAGCACGTTCGAATCTGCAAGAGCTGCTGGTTGAGGAACCTAATTCAGTTGATACACTCACATCACCTGGAAAAGAGCATTGCCGATTTAGGAAGTGTGGCCCACTGTTAAGAGAATGGAAGGCTCTGCTAGCCTCAGCTGCCTTCCCATGTTCATCATCAAGCAGGTCATTGATGATATCAAGATGTGGGAACTCATCTGTTACCACACCTTGAGAGCTCTCCATCCGCTGGGGTCCATTCTGCAACAGATCCCGAGTTACCATCCCAAAAGGAAAGCCAGATTGGACACAGTTTGGGTCTACCCTATCAGAGCTCTGGGGCAAAAACATTGATCCAGATACCAAAGCAGGCGAATGTGTGTGCGCTGATGATAGGTTAACCCCCAAATTAGGACAGTTGGCATGAGCAAAACCACCTGAACTTGAGCCAACAGGATTACCTACAATAGCATTTCGGTAGGACAAAGGAGCATAACTATGACTTGCGGGTGAAGGGTCAGGACCGAGTCGACCAGTTGCACTCACTGAACGAGCAAGTAATGGAGATGTTTGAACCAGGGAAACAACAGGAGCAGTTGCTCTGGGACCAGGCATTAGAGGAGCACTGGAGGGCCTTGACATCATAGGAACCTGCTGTAGTGTCGGCTTATCAGTCAATTTCGAAGTTGAGGAATTCTGATTCTCAGGTTTGGAAAGGCCTGTAATTTGCAGGGATATTATTGAAGGGACTGCTATATCAGCCTGCTGTCCACTATTTGAAGATGCTTTCTTACTTTGAACAGGATCTACAGTGGCTGTACTCTTGTCTTCTAACTTTGATTGAACAGTGGATTGGCAATTTTTGGGAGGACTTCTAGGAGGGCTTCTAGAAGATGATGTGATAGTCGGCCTTTCTTTAAAGGATCTTTCCACATCAACCAAATCTTTGCTGCACTGTTTCTTTTGTGGCATAATCTCTTCCACAACCTATTTCATAGCAAAGCATGCTCATCAATATAGACACAGTATATTAAAATAAGATTCACAAACCTCGAGGACATAAAAGAGCACCCAACAACAGAAAAACAAAAGCTTCAAAGTGAAAGAGATTTATTGAAAACAAGATCGACTATATCAGACCTTTCAAAAACTCACTCAGAAACTACTTCCACAAGAATAAGTTTTATGCTCCTAACTTCCCCGTAGGGAGCAGAAGATGGAGAAAGGATGAAAAATAGCAATGATCTAAGAAAAACAATAATCCAAATAGAAATAAGAAAAAGAAAGGGAAGGGTGAGGAAGAGGACATTCCTCTGCAGGAAAATGTCGCATGCAGTTTGTAAGCAAACCATATTGGCAGGTCTCTAATAGGAGAAAGATGAATAGAAAACATAAGCCTGTACTAGGAGAAAGATAAATAAAAAAAACATATTCAGATGTGTTTTTGCACTGAACATCCTAAATATCATCAAAACAGTAAAAATATGGATTCGAGCCTCAAATATATGGCAACTTCACCTTCTTAACTGCATGCTTCTCAGACCAAGTAATGCTATCTCGTGATGGATGAACATTAGCCTCAAACTCACATTCAACAGTCTTGCTGCTTCCAGTAACATGATTGAGATCTCCAGTGTCTGCTGTAGGCGCAGAAAGCTGATTATCGATCTCAACTATCCAACTCCCATCACTTGTTGCCTTACCCCGTGGGTGCTTCCCTCTACAGATAATAAGCATATGATAAATTATATATATACCAGTAATGGAGAAGGATAAGCAGTCAATACATTTACTGCCTTACCTACTGGGTGATTTTACATATTGGCAGCTTGAATACGAGTTCCCCTTGTAGGAGCCATTAGTTACAACTGATGGAACTGAATCTGTAGAGCACGTTGACGAACTGTCATCCATTGCTGATGTGCTCCTTTTCTCAGCTGTTCCATTTGGTAGGGACGACAACCCACTAACTCCACTGCTGCAAGCTTCTGTGGGAGGATGGACTTCTGAAGTATCAGTATCCCAATTGACAGGACTTGCATCTCTGTCTTCTGAATCAGGCTGCAATACTTCTGCAACACCATCTACCAGATCAGAGACATCAGACACATCTTCCAGAATATCTGGCTTTTCCACCACAGGCTGCACCTCTCCAATAACAGAATCCTTCTTCTCACGGTCTGGATTTTCCTCTTCGTGCTTATCTAATACTGCGATACTGATCCTTTCATCCCTCCCTTTATCCTTCCCTTTACGATTATTCCGCTTTTGTTTTGCCTGCAGCTTATAAGAAGCATCAGTATTCAAGCAAATAAACATTTAATTTAATCATTTGAACTTGAATAAAATTTTTTATCAATATCATAAAGGAGTTTTGAACTTATCCAATAACAAATGATTACCTAATATGATGAATCATAGATATGTTTACATGCTAGCCAGCCAAAAACCAAGAAATAATTATAAGGAATGAAATTATTCAATTTAACCAATTTTCATTTCAAAGGCATATTTAAGTGAAATCTCCTTTACTTTTTTAATCGACTTCTATATTTAAAAAGCGCTACGAAGTTCAATCTGTATGAAGAACAAAGGGAAATGCCACACCTGTTTTTTCTTGGATTTCTTTTCCTTTTCAGTTGTTCCCCGTTTAGCCTTCTGCTCACTTTCAGCCAACCATGCTGCCTCTTCTTCACGGATAAGCTCTTCTTGCCTCCTTAAAGCAACAGCTTCCTGATAGGCAACTTCAATTTTGTGGCTACATGTAAAGGACACAACTTTAGGACATATGAGATCAAAGTTAAGCAAGTAATCTAACTGAAATTACACTGTACTAAATTCCAAAACAATCCTTTTGAGCCAAAGCATTTGATAGAGAGCAAATAAAATGCTACATTTTGGAAACATCCAAAAATAACTGACAAAAATTTCATTCAAATTCTCAATGCCAATCAAAATCTGTGTTCCAAAACACATATTTCCTCATTAGTGAAAATACAAATGGCAAGTTAAAATTAACAATTAATTGATATCATAATACTAGAAAATAATCCGTGGGACTTTATAAGTCAGATTCCCAAAGGTTACTTTCAAAATAAAAAATTAAAGGAATTCAAAGACAAAAGGCTAAAAACTCCCAAATGGACTAATTAACTTAAAAAGTCTAATATTCTGAAGCTCAGGCCATCAATGGTTTTAAATAAAATAAGCAATTTGCTGCATTAGCATCACTGCAGTTTTACGAAACATGTTGGATACATTACTTGAAAATATGAGCAAGAACAAATATTTCCACTGTCCTGCGACCCAATTCTGTTAGACGCCTTTCGTCACGCTCAATGGAATCTTTGTTAAAGTCCTCACCAGAATTTCCATCCTGCACACAGGTATAGAAGTTTTTGAGCCAGCAGATGCAACATTCCAAAAAAGAAAACATTAGGAATCCAAGAGATAATATGCAGCAAGATAAGAACACACATTTTCATTTTCTTTTAGATATACCTCCCATGTAACTACTACAATTTATAGAACTAAATGGTAGGCCTCAGATTGTTCAAACTGCCCACTAAAAGATGCTCAAAGATTTAGCAGGAGTGGAAAGTGTTCACTCCAAGACATTAAAATCTCATCCCCCCCCCCCCCCAAAAAAAAAAAAAAATCAAGTATAATAATGGCAAAGCAAAGTAAGGAACAACATTTTTCATTTTCTTTAGATATACCTCCGATGTAACTACTACAATTTATAGAGACTACATGGTAAGCCGTCGATTGTTCAAACTTATAAAGGATGCTCAAGATTGTGAAGGAGAGTAAGTGTTCACTCAAAAGACATTAAATCTCATCCCCCCCCCCCCACCAAAAAAAAAAAAAAAAAAAAAAAAAAACAACAACAACAATAATTCTATGATTATTGTTACAGTTTTGACCCACTAAATTAAGAGAGGAATACGATTTGCTGCCGCAAATAAAGTTGAAAAATTGCATCCAAGACAGATGAGGAATATGATTTTACTTCAATTAAGGACGCAATTAGAAGACATGAAAATAACCAAAAAAAAAAAAAAAAAAAAAAAAAAACAAACAAACAAACAAAATCATCTATGTTATTGTTACATTTTGACCACTAAATCAAGAGGGGAATACGATTGCTGCGCAATACAGTGAATTGCCATCCAAACAGATGAGGGAATATGATTTACTTCAATTAAGACGCAATTAGAAGACTGAAAATACCACACCCCGCTATCCAAAACACCATCACCACACTGGTACAGCCTTTGCTTTCACCACCTCAGTAGCAATTCCACAGCAAAACCATCAATAGGCCACACGAGTGGAAACCCCTCATGCAATCAGTGGAATAAACCACATTCAATGCTGATACTATATTTTGTTCAATTGAATCTCTGGTGTAAAAATTAATAGGAGTCCCCATAAGACACTTTTAAGCTATGGTATTCAAGCTTAAGCCTGATAATGTAAGCCAAAGTTATTAATATAGATCTTCCACAAAATCAGCATCCAATTTGTGCAATAAATAAGAAATCATTGCACAGTTAAAATGATACACAAAATATATAACCAGCCATCATTATAAGCAACTATAATATGGATTGCATCAGACAACCGCAACACAATAAACAATCATCAAATTACTAATGATCTGTGCACATTAAGAACCTATCACAACAAGTTCAGCATGGAAATCTGGTCTTAGGAAACAAGCCCACCTTTGTTCGATTCTGCGGGCCCTTTTCATCTTTTGGAGGCAAAGGTTCCATAGCAGCCCTTTCAAGTAGCAGTAGAACATCATCCACCAATACAAACATATCTTTCTCCACACGAACAATCGGAGCTGGCATTTCTTCAGCATCTAACAATTTTGCTCTCCCCTTCTTGCTCTTAGTTTGGCCTTCAAGAGCCTTTAATCCACTATACAGGGAATCCATTACCAAAGTAGATGTGACTTCCTTTTCTATAAAGAAATGCTTTACAACTACTTTCAGAATTACATCTGTTTTTTCCCTAGACATGCGCCTCCGGGCAGTTTGATCCATTCCCAACCAGAAAGCACAAAAGCTGCAAAAAATTGCAGGTGATCTTTCGTCATCTAAGGAATAATATATACGCAACAGAACAAAATGCAGAAAGGGCTGTAATAGCATCAAGAAAAAAAATGGAAAGCAAGACATCATTTATAACACTACAGGTTTAATAAGCAGGCTGCAAATGTATTTGACACTATAAATAAATATTCAAAGCCAATATGTTACTGAGCACAACTAAAAATTTTACAACATGGTCATAGAAGGAGACAATATCATAGGATAACTACTGAAACAACAGTTTTTGGCATACTTGGCATATGGCATATTGACCTTGATATCATCACTGTTACAAGTTTTAGATGAGATGAACAGTTAGAAAACTCAAAGATACCATACCTTGACCATCTATTTTTGTCCTCGATTAACCTCCCAAGTTTGCCTCGTCTCTCTTCCACGAAACGCCGACAAATCTGCTCTACATTTGTCAAATACACCCTAACGAGTTCTCTTCTATACTGACAATCAAGGCAACGGAAAGGCCGATCTGCTTTCTCCCTGAAGGCAATAAAATTCTAAAAAGAATTAGGAATTTCTTATTACAAAGAGACAAACTTCTGGCCTTTTCTTTTAGAAAATGAAGTACACCAAACCGACTCAATCATCTAACAAACATGTGTATCACATATATTAAGTGAAAGAATTTCAAACAGGTGAATATAAAAAACTTTTCTTTTAGAGTATGTCAGTCCTGCGTACTGTGAACTCATACCTACAGATCCACATAGTTCTGACCAGACACGATGATTATTATAGTAATTGTTAAAATTTAAAGCTGAGCAGTTTCTCAACTGTTGCCATGCAACAAATTCCACACAGGATTATATGATTCACATGCCAGGCAACTTCAGACTCCACCGACCTTAGTAGCCATGATATGTGAAAATCAAAACATTGAAACTGAAGTTTGAACGTCTCATAGAAGCAATGATAGATCACAGAGAAAAGGCAGATCATAAACTGATCTCCAGTTAACACAATTAAGGCATATTTAATAGAAGAAGAAGAGAAGTATTTTGGGGCAGGCTTACAATTGTCAGTATAGTAAAAAATCAGACAAACCCTTCAAGGAGGAACCACAAATGGCAATGGTCCAATTTATTCATGAAAGTGAAAATATGAAATAGGGGTTGGGAAAGGGAGAAAAGGAAGAAGAATAAGTTAATGGACACCAAGTACAGAAACAGAAGTTGTCATAGTTGTAATCACTATCACGCATCACTCAGCAGCCTCACTTTAAATTTCATAGTGCTAAATACAATGGGACAAGAAAGAAAATATCAGAAAACAGTCAACAAATGATATTGTTGTCACAAAAACTCTAAAACAATTTTTAGTTATTTTTAAGGTCAGGCAGCAAAGAACTTGATATATCAATTATCACATACCTGATGACTTGCACTTGAGCTTTTATAATTAGTGTGTCAGCAGCATCTAAAAACCCGTCTGACACTTTCGATAATTCCATGAATTTTTTCCATCCCCAGTCATGCTCTTTCTTCCAGAACCGGTGTAATGTATCTGTAAAACTTACATTTAGTCAATAATACATCAATAAACCCAGTATGTAACGGAGTCATTATTTAACTAGCCAACCTGAATATTTTGATTTTTTAGGATCTTTATTCACCACAGCAATTGTGAACTGAGCAAAATGACTCCAACCTGGTTCACAGCAAAAAGGAAAATTATATAATTAATAAAACAAAAGGAAAGGAACAGAGATAATCAAAGAAATTTGTCATTATCAATATTGAACCTGGAAGAAGTTTGTCATGGTTGGCAACACAGAGAAACAAAGAAAGATGATTGCACACATCACAACCTTGGGGATAAATCAATATGTACCTATCATCCAAAACAAAAGGCTTAAATTTTCATGTGATTGTGTCCTTCAGTGAGCTAAGTGAATTACATGGACAATCCATTAGCATATGAAGATGTTGTAAAAATTTAGAAAGGCATCAAATTTTTTTTCAATTCTTTGATTATTATTAAAATAAAGCTTCAATCTGCAAGATGGAAAATATTACCCAGGGTGACATCAATCACAAGGTAACTATGAATGTGAATCTAAAAAAGGCATAACAATGGAAAAACAGTCGCTCATACCATTTGTAGCCGCCAACCTCAAATGCATTACTACGAAGTTCTCTTTTGTTAATCTGTGAAAATTTCTCTATCTTCCATGTATATTTTCCATATAACTCAGAAGGTTTTGGCCCTATAATGAATAAAAAATTAGTTTGTGAAAAATTAACTGCATAACATTATGTATAGCTGGGAAAAGAAACAGGAAGCAATCATAAATCGAGGAGAAATCAACGTACATTCTGCAACACAGAGGGGTGAACAAGGTTCGACTATTTACATTGAAAATGTTACACTTTGTATAATTTCAAAAATAGAACTATACTTAGTGCACCAGGTTCAAGCATAAGGAAAAGTAGCTACAACTATTAAAAGTATTTTAGGATAAGAAGTTGCAATTATCAAAGTTTAGAAGCCCTGGAGTAACAAACATATTTGAAGTCTGGAAATGCGTGCTGATCATAAGATAGGAAAAGCAAGCAGAAATTACAATAATTCAACATGTGTTCTAACTCTTTTCAATGTAAAATGAACAAACAACAGAGAAAAGACAATATATTTTTCAACATCATATAGTCCCCATTTGATTGTCAACAGAATAGAGAAAGGACTAGTAACAAACTTTAGAGTCATTGTTCAAATATTAATTACAATCCTCCTTCAGCAAATAAACACTTGCCTTTTTGAAATTATAATTCTGCAAAAAGAAATTGTAATCGACTAGAAGTATTAATATGATTCTTGAGTACAATGCAATGCCTGCTTCAGCTGCAGTAAATTAGCCCACATCCAAATACTGCCATTTATTAAGTATTAAGAAATGAAATCCCCACAATTCCTCACTAACATTCCCTCAAGAGTATAGAGAGTTGTTCTCTTGCATTAGAAGCTTGAGAAAAAGTGTAAGGGCAGAAATTTTCAACGAATGCAGTTCCCTCTTTATGAGAATGATTCACCCTCAAGTTTGAAGTTAAAGAAAAAGAGTTTCATCAGCAGGGTTTTGATGAGACGCTTCTTCCCTTTTTTTTTTTTTTTTCTTTTCTAATATCCAGTAAGTAATTGGAATAAGGGGCTTCAATTTTATCAACCTGGCATCTTCGCGTTAGCTGGGTTTTACCACCGAGGTTAGGATCACTCTTTATTCTCTTTTCGGGGCATTGAACCATTTTTCACAAACTTCTATTTATCAAACTTGAAGATGACATGGATTTCCAAGAGCCTCAAGATGTCCATTTCTTGCCAAAAGAATATATTCACTCAGACACAAAACCCAAGAAAGAAAAAGCCCAAATAAGAGGCAATACCTCCATCATCATCATCGTCAGTGTCCCAATAAGGGGGTGAAGTTGAAGGGGTTCCATTTTCCACCTGCTCAGAAGACCGCCATTCTGCCAGTGCTTCACCTGATTGGCAACGCTGCCCACTCGAGAGCCCCTCTACAGACCTTCCAGCTCCAGCTTCCTCACTCGCAATCCCAGCCATTTCCTACTCCAAAACTCCTTTCCCCCAGGATCCTTCAACTCCACTCACTGCATAACAAGAAGCCCTTGTAAGAGAATTAAACAAGATTAGCCCACATATCTCAAATTGTGCGGTAAGGAAAGGATGGCACATTTTACAAACACGTCCAACTAGTCAAAATTAGCTCTTCAAATAGACTTTGAATTACGACAACAAACATCGAGCATTGTGAAGGACTACGTTTTACCTATCATTTGCCCAAAAAGAAAAAAGATACTAATACCCAATATTAAAAAATATTTATCAGAGAGCGTCAATACACAAACAAACTACAAACCATATCTTGAAATCATCTGTTTGGCTGCTGAGAATGCAGGAAACCAAAACAAAAATAAAATTAAAATATTTCAATCTTCCATCAATTGGTAACTCGCAAATAAGAAAACTCCACTCGAGCAATTTCTAAACCATTTGCTTAAGAGTTATGAATTACCAGACACCAAAATAACAACAGATACATTGATGTAAACTCTTTAATTTCTCAATCCAATCCAACAAACTCAATCCCCAAATTCAAAAACCGACATCCAAAACCATTCAGCAATAAACCCTAATCTTTCAACGGAACTTTACAAAAACCCCAGCTCAAAATTAATCGGATTGATTGCATGAAAAAGAATAAATAAAATAAAACGCGTATAAAAGAGAACTATCTAATATACCCAATAGCATTAGACGCACGCTAATTAAAAGCCCTTACAGTCAGAGACCAGAAACTAAAGATCGTAACAAAAAAAAATCCCCAAAAACCCCGATCAAAGCCAAACCCTAAAATACCGAGATAAAATTTTTAAAAAAAAAACGTCCAAAAAATCGAAGAAGATATAGAAACAGAAAAAATAAAATTGGAAAGGACAACAAATAGATCGAATGGAGATACAAACCTGAGCTCTGCTAAATGGGTTATGGGCAAGCTGTGAGATTCTAGAGAGAGAAAGAGGTCCAAGGAGCAGCAAAAGAAAGAAGAGAAGAAGAGACCAAAGGAGAGCCCAAAAAAAGAAAAAAATTTTTGTATTTTTGATGTTATTTTGGGAGTTTAATTAATTAATTAATCAATTCTATTATTAATTTTTTTATTTTATTAGAAAATACAGCTTGAGAAGGAGATATGGAGCGACGAAGAGAAGAGAGGTGGCTTGTTTGCTTGCTTGCTTTGCTCCTCTGTTCCTCTCGTCTCTCTTGAAAGAAGTAATATATATAAAAATAAGAATTTTGATAAGAAGAGAAAAATATGAAAATAAAAAAATAATAATGGGCAAAATAAGGAAATGAAATAAATGGGAGAGCAGCAATACAGTGTAGCGTGTCACAGGGTCGGTGCACTGCACAGATTCGAAAGAGCAAAATAAGCGAGGTGGCCTAGCCTTCTGCTTGGGTCATTTTGGCGTTGAGAATTTCTTTGATTGGCTAGATTGATAGTGGGGTCCACTGTTCTATTAGTATTTGTTTCGGAGGGGGTATTGTTTATTTGTTAATGTTTAGGGTTTGTGACTTTGTGTCGTGGTGATTGAAAGGAGGGCTTCTTTTTTCCTTGGGCTGGGCTAATTTGAGTTTGGGCATGGGGATTGGTTGAGCCTTGGTTGTTGTTGGATTTCACGTTTGGATTGGCCCACCTATTAGTTGCGGTTTGATCCAACTGGGTTTTTCCATTGCAGTTATAGCTTTTGTTTGTTACTAATTAGCAATCCCAATTGAAATAGGGTAAGGGCAATGTTTTCGCATTTAGATCCTGTAACTATTATAGTAGTAATTTAAATTATAAGTATTAGATAAAAATAATTATTTGATTAACCATTAAATATAAAATAATTATGAAAAATTTAAAGCAATGTTTCATAAAATATTCTTTCATCCTCTCAACATTATTATAAATATTACGTTTTATTATTTTGAATCTAGTCAAACACGAAATGCTATTTTAATAGTAGTTATGAAACAAAGATTTTAATATATGAATTCACTCATACACTAAACCAATCCAATATAAATATTTAACACAAATCAATATATAGATATTGACAAAATAATAAATTTTTAAGGTGGCAATTAGTTATTTACCTTTCCATATAGAGAAAAATAAAATCATTAGAGGGATATTTTTTTCTGATATTTAGTAACTGAATATCAATTTCACTTTGTTACTCATATCTCATTCAGTAACTGAATATGTTTTATAACACCTATCACTTTATTTTATTTTAATGCTTGTCTCTTTTTTCTATTTTTATATTGCTTTCTACCTTTTTAAATAAATTCATAATAATTAAGTTCTATGGTTCTTATGGAATTAAAGACAAAAAAGGAAAAGAAATAGATAAAAAAATATAAATAATAAAGAGAAAATATGAATGACAGAAAAAATTATTTTAGAGGAAAAATATGAATTTTTTTAAGCCACTTAATTTTATTCAAACATTCAAATCCAACTAAATAGATTTATGTGGTGGGTTTAGAGTCCTTCGGGCCGTCGTTCGCTTGGGAGAAGCCCATGAAGCATTCAAAAAATACAAGGAGATAACTATCACCCTGCTATCCAATTAGAATTGAGCCCATCAAATAAATAAATAAAATAATATTGATTTGGGTTAAATTAAATGTTAAATGTATTCGAATTTATTTTCTTAAAATTTGAAAAGCCAAAATCTCCCGCTTCTCTCAACAATGGAACCTCCTCTTCTGAAGCTAGTAATGGTACAGGGCCCTAGAGAAGGCGAGAAGTTGGAGTTTCGAACCGGATCCACCATTCGAATAGGTCGGCTAGCCCGCGGCAACAACATCAGTATCAAAGATGCAGGCATCTCCTCCAAACATCTCTTTATCGGATCCGAATCGGGTAAGTGGATTGTCCAAGACCTCGATTCGTCCAATGGCACTACTCTCAACTCCACCAAGCTCCCTCCCTTCACGCCGTTCGATCTTCAAGACGGCGACAGTATCAAGCTCGGTGAAGTCACCTCCATCCTCGTTCGGTTTGTCGGCGGGGATGAGCCGTCTCAGTTAAGACGCAATCCGAGGAGAAAAGTCAATGAATTGGATAAAAAAGGATCGGTTGCAGAGGCCCCGAGCCAGAGGGCAGAGGCTGTGATAATAACTGAAGAAAATAGCGGATTAGAGAGTGAGAATGTCGAGAATCGTAGAAGAGGAAGGCAGAGGAAAGCTAGGGTTTTGGATAAAGTTACAGAGATTGATAAGGAATCAGAAAAATTGGACTTTGTGGCCGAGAAACCGGAGACGCGGAGGGTGAATGTTAGAGTTACTAGAAATAGAAAGAATGAGGATTGCCTGATTTTGGAGAATCTGGGTGGAGAATGTGGTAAAAGGACCCGAGGAGGCAGGGGGAGGAGAAAGAATTTACCGGAATTACCATTGGAAAGTTCTCAAGTTCGTAGTCTGGAAAACAAGGAAAATATTGATTCAGGATTGAATTTAAGAGAAGAGGCGCAAGCACAGACCATTGAAGTTAGCGTAAGTGGAGATAAGGAAATAAAACTGGAGATTATGGAAGATGAGAAGGAAGAGGGATTGGGCGCAGAGACGACTTATAAAGATTCTGAGAATGGAGTTGATCTTAAAGAGAATGATGGTAAGCAACAAAATAATACTAGTAAGAATTTGGTGAAAGAGAATGATGGTAAGGAACAAACTAATGCTAGTAAGAATTTGGGGAAAGAGAATGAGGTATTGGGTGGAGAAACGACTTATAGAAATGCCGAGAATGGAGTTGATCTTAAAGAGAATGATGGCAAGGCACAAACTAATGCAAGCAAGGATTTGGGGAAAGAAGATGAGGTATTGGGTGCAGAAACGACTTATAAAGGTGATGAGAATGGAGATGATCTTAAAGAGAATGACGGTAAGCCACAAACTAATGTAAGTAAGAATTTGGGGGGAGAGAAGGTAGCTTTGGATTTGGAGAAGATGACACTAGGGCAGTGGTTTGATTATATGGAGGCGCATCTTCCGAAGCAGATAATTGAAGCTACTGAGGAGTTGATAGAGGGAATGACGAGGAAAGCAGAGCGAGTCAAAGAGTATATGGTAGAGCAAAAGAAAGCTAGAGCTGCAAAAGGTAATTAGTACTTAATGGCTATGTAATAGTTCATTATTTACAATATAATCGAGAGAGTTTGATAAGTATGTCTCTATGCTGCTTATGTTTATATTTCCAACTGCCTGCTATGTTATTCTCCGAATAGGAGCTTAGCCTCCTTGTTGTTTAAGGGGGTAAGGCTTGCAACCTGGACAGCCCAAGTGACTGGACTTTGTTTGCCATTTTTTGGAGCTTAACATTCCACCAGCTTGAACATAGCAGATGCTTATTTACATTTTAAGGTAGCTCTTAGTAAAGTTGCTGCAGGTTTGTTGAATGGTTTTTGTTTTACCAGACTTTACATAAGTGGCAAATGTGATTATCTAGTAGTCTGCCAAAGAACTCATGGGCAGCAAACATGGTTATGTTTATATTTTTAATACTGGTTTATGGAAATGCAATACACTTTTTCCTGTTGTAAGCATTTTTATCCTTTTACTTTATTCTTGAAGGTTTACATTTTGACTTTTGGAGGAAGAGATGGTGTTCTCTGGTTATTCCAACTATTAGCTGCTTGAACTTTATTGATCCAGTAAAGCAGAAAGTTTACAATTATCTCTTTTGCATACGGGATCAGATTTTTTTGTACTCATATTGTGTCTTTGGATGTAATGCATTGTTGGACCTGTCCTAAAATTTACAGTTTATACAGCTTAGGGAGATCCATGATATTTAACAAAGACTTCTAGAATTCAATATTTTGCTTTACATTGTTTTTAACCTGATGAATGGGTATTTGGAACAAAGTATTCATATAGTCGACCCCAACTAGTTTGGGACTAAGGCTTTGTTGTTGTTGTTGTTGTGATGCGTGTTCTCACTATTTCTCAATGCCTGGCAGTGATGGGGTTAAATAATTCTTGCAGAAGCAGCAAGATGAGGGGGTCTTCATGAATGCGGAAGCTTCAATGTAAGTACTTAGGTTGACATCAGGTGGAAACAGCTTTTGAAATGTAGAAGATGTTGCTAAACAAGAAAGTTATATAAACATGGGATATCCAACTAAAGCTCACTTTGTTAATTATATAGTTCAAAAGTAGTTCCGAGGTTTTGTTTCATTGGATTGGATTATTTCATTTAAGTTGTAGTTGGTTAGATCTAGAAGTACGGGACAGAAACAGAGTCTATACTTGTTGGTTGTATTTTCTATTCTGCATTTTTAATGCCAAGCATTGTATATGGGGCGAGTCTGAAAATGTATGTGTAAATTAGGTATGTTAAAATTATGGTTGCTTGGCCAGTTGAGAGTCTCTTGTATCAGCATGTTGTACCTGTTAACAAGTCGTTCATCTCTTTCATATTTTTTAAAAATTTCCCTTGTTAGTGATCGTCTTTGTTCAGATCTCACTTTATTTGATGGCTGTTTTGTTCATAGAAGATGTATATTATCTATTTCCATCCGATATTATTTCAACTTTGTTCAGTCCATTGCGGTGTCAGCAATTGATGATAATTGAGCAGTCCCACCAATCTACTACAGAGAGGCATTATATAGAATTGCAACTCGGATATGGTCGCTGCTTTTTCCACTGGTTCACATGGTCATATTATTTGCATTCACCAGCAGTTGTTATCTTCAGCAAGTTATGGGCATCTCTTATGTGAAATTGCTGCATGATAAGTTGTCCCTCAAGCGTTCCTCATTTAGTCTCTTCAGTCCATATGATTATCACCATTTTCATGTCGAATTTATTATGTCAAGCATCTCAGAGATGAATTGCGAGGTGAATTTTGATTCCAGAGGCAGGCAGCTTAGATTTGCTGTTTCATCTGTTCAACAGAAACTTTTGACGTGTGATTGTGTTTGAAACAACAGTTATTTTATTTTATTTTAATTTATGATGGGATATGAAGACTATTTGTATCTATACTATGTTGCTGATTATGTTAGAGTAGCTGAACATTCTTCAAATTGTTGTAGCATATGGTGAACTTTGATTGTTTTTTCCATCATGTTTTACAAGTTTTGACAGCTTCAGGTTTTCAATTAAGTTATTTTAACTTAAGCACACGCGGGGATGAACTTCTGAAGTTGGGTTTTGTCTGCCTTTGAAATAGGCTGATCAGATGTGATCTATTTTGGCACAGCTAGAATGGATCCATCTGCAAAAAAATTCATCTCTTTTGGCACATTGCTGTTTTTACTCCAAAAAAAAAAAAAAAAAAAAAAAAAAAAAAAAAAAAAAAAAAAAAAAAAACATTGCTGTTTTTACTCCAAAAAAAAAAAAAAAAAAAAAAAAAAAAAAAAAAAAAAAAAAAAAAGAAAAAACGTCGAGGGCAACTGTTGCTAGATGGCGTTAAAAGTTCAATGTTTTACAGTAAAGTGCATTTGAAATTACTGTTAAAAAAAAAAAAAAAAAAAAAAAAAAAAAAAAAAAAAAAAAAAAAAAGAAAAAACGTCGAGGGCAACTGTTGCTAGATGGCGTTAAAAGTTCATGTTACAGTAAAGTGCATTTGAAATTACTTAAAATTTTAATTTAGTGTGAAATTCAAATTTAAATTTATATAAAGCTGATGCCTTTTCTTGCTATTGTTGCCTTGCAGAGTTTTCTAATTTTAGACAGTAACAACTAGGGTTGTGCATGGTTCCCGTGGATCCGAACCGAACCGAGGAAACTTAACGAACTGAATTGGAACTGAAAAAGAACCAATGGTTGTCGGATTGGTTTTTTCTGATAAAATTCTGCCCTGATGCAGATATAGAGCAGCTAAAACAATATTTTGGTCGCTCAAATGAGTTTATAATGTCAGTTCAACAAAGCAGCCAACATAACATCCTTCACAATAGAGACTTGTCAAGCAAAACCCTTCGAGAGGCTCAATTTCTAGCCACTTATACATATGAGAAATATACTCTCTGGGGTAAACAGGCCAGCAATGTTTATTGAATTACAGGTTCTCATTTTATTAGTATATGAATAATATACAAATTCTATTTTCCTAAACTTAATACACATTAGTCTTGGCTTGAAATCAGATAGGATGTTTGTATGATTCTATGGTAGAAGATTACTTCACTGGATTCATTTTGCACTTGAAAGGATGGACTTCTATTCTATGTAATCCTTCAAGGCCAGCATTCTTAGGCAGTGCTACTACAAATTTGAGTGACACATTAATTCAAGGTACAAGATGGAACTCTGGGATTATGGAGGTCACAATTTCAAGATTTTGCCCTTTCATTTATGGACTATAAAAAATGTCTCTGCTTCAAACCATGTGCTATAGCCACATTGCTCTCCAGCCACTCTATTCCTTTCCCTTGTGGTGTTTAGCTACTCTGTCCCAACTCCCTTCGATGGCATTCCAACATATCCCAAGGTAAAAACTGTTTCTAAGGTTGTTTAAATAACAATACTTCCAAGTTATATTTTTCCTGCTGCATTTAAAATTTTGTTTTCAGAAAAAAAGAACAGTTTTAACACAAACCTCAAACAGATCTGTTGACCTTAACTGGTCTGAGTCCCCACGCTGCCATCAATGAGATCCTAATATTCTTGTTCTCAAACTAGGTTTATGATCCTTTTCTTCTTCATATTCATAGCGTCTTTCTTCAAACATTTACAAGAGGTACTCTCCTCAGGAGGCTCAATCCAGACTTGGTGGAATGAGCAGCAAATTTGGACGACAAAGTCAGTTACAGGGTATACCTATGGCTGTTTAGATGCAATCTTGAAACAGGTTGGGTTATTGAGAAAAGCCAGTTTTGTACCAACAAATAAAGTTACTGATGACGGACAAGTCGCACTATACCAAAACGGCTACTTCAATTTTCAAGCATCATGTATGTTATTTGCTCCAATAGTTACACTAGTCATTTTGAATATACTTTCTCTCATCGCAGGAGTTACAAAAATGTTGGTCGCCGGAAACTGTAAAGACATGTTTGGGCAAGTTCTCATTGCACTTTACATAGTAATAGTGAATTTCCCAGTCGTTGAAGGAATGCTATTGAGGAAGGACAAAGGATCCGTTCCACTATATGTAAGTCTATCTCTGGTATTGCCCCTGACATTTTTGTATCTAGTATCCATATACCTATATTATTAGTCATAGAAGACATATATCGATGAATATAACCATTCTATTTCAAGATTGTTTAGTATGTTCAATTAAGTTCGATTCTTGATTCTAGATTACCTGAGTATTAAAATTAATTGGTGTTTAGGTATGTTGTATATGGACTTTGATTTCAATTGGCTCTTCCATACATCTGTCACTCCCTCTATTCATAAATATAAAAAGCAGTTGAAATTTCACATGCATTATCATCTCCCTCTCAAAATGTCACCGCTAAGACAGCTTTCTTTCCTTTTCAGATTTTCACAAGAAAACTACCAAAAGAATACCTACTTCTTCCTTTTCTTTATTTTCTCAAACAGAACCCAGACTATTATAATCAAAATGATCCAAAATTCAACACTAAATTAAAGAAAACTTCATTCCCCTAAATATAGATCTAGTTATGTCTCAAGAACAAGAAGACCAAGAACCCAAAAGGGTTAAATTCCCACTAGATTCAAACTCGTACAAAATCCTAAACGAGATTGGTGTTGGTGTTAGTGCTGTAGTTTACAAAGCAGTATGTATTCCCATGAATTCTACTGTTGTCGCTATCAAATCCATTGATCTTGATCAATCTAGAGCCGATTTCGATAACCTTAGATGGGAAACAAAAACGATGTCGCTTCTTTCACATCCAAATATCCTAAAAGCCCATTGCTCCTTTATTGTTGGTAGTCGACTTTGGGTCGTTATGCCTTTTATGTCTGCTGGTTCCCTCCAATCTATAATCTCCTCTTCTTTCCCTGACGGTTTGCCAGAGCCATGCATTGCCGTAGTTCTTAAAGAAACTCTAAACGCACTGTCGTATCTTCACAACCAAGGCCACTTGCATAGAGATATTAAAGCAGGCAATATTCTTATAGACTCAAATGGTCGTGTTAAGCTAGCAGATTTTGGCGTATCAGCTTCCATTTACGAATCCATTACAGGAAGAGGATGGGGCCAATCGTCTTGTTCATCAAGATTGATGCTTACAGATGTTGCAGGAACTCCTTATTGGATGGCACCAGAAGTTATACACTCGCATACAGGGTATAGTTTTAAAGCTGATATATGGTCCTTGGGTATTACTGCATTAGAATTAGCACATGGTAGACCTCCTTTATCGCATTTACCTCTTTCGAAATCTTTGATTGTGAAAATAACGAAAAGGTTCCGTTTTTCTGATTATGAGAAACACAAAAAAGATAAAAGCAAAAAATTCTCTAAAGCTTTTAAAGATATCGTTGCTTCTTGTCTTGATCAAGACCCATCGAAAAGACCTTCTGCTGAGAAGCTTTTAAAGCATCCATTTTTCAAGAACTGTAAAGGGTTAGATCTTTTAGTAAAGAATGTTTTGAATGGATTACCAAGCGTTGAAGAAAGATTTAAAGAAAATAAGGCTTTATATGGATTAGATATTAAAGGTAGTGATAACGCAGAAGAAGAAGATGAAGAAGAAAAGTGTGACAATGAAATTGTTAAGATTAGAAGAATTAGCGGGTGGAATTTTAATGAAGAAGGTTTCGAGCTTCACCCAGTATTTCCTACTGACGATTCGCTTGTGAAACAAGTTCGTTTTGGCGGTGAAAGTATCATTCAAGACAAGAAAGTTGAACTGAGTGAGTCAGGCGAGTCGGGCGGGGATTCATCCGGTGGAATTGGAGATATTGAGGGTAGTAAGGGAAAAGGTGACAGAGAAATTGGTGGGTTTGTTGATAAGGAGACAATGGTAGGAGGGTTAATGGTGCTGAAGAAAAGTTTAGATGAACAAAGACAGAAAGTAGCAAACCTAATCGTTATGTTAGGAGGGGAAGTTTCAAGAGACGAACAATTAGTGCAAGCAGTTGAGAGACTAAGTATGGAACTGGAGAATGAGAAGCATAAGAACTTTGAGTTGGAGATGGAATTGGAATTTCTGAAGCACCTAATTTCTGGTGCGTATAATGGTTGTGGCACTTAATTAAGAACAGTAATTTTGTTGGTTTTAATTAATTAGTGATAAGGCAGAATGAACTTTGTTCTTCTGAAATAAAACAAAATGAATTATAAATTTTACTTTTTTAGTTTTTGTTTTTTACTAGTATTTCTCTACCTTTTTAAGAAATCTTTTATTGAATTAAAGTGTTTGTTATTAGATTAATAAGGTATATTTTACACCTTGCACATAGCAAACATTAAATCTTAAAAATATAATTTGGGTTAAAGAGGACAGAAATGGGCCCGACTCAAAGCCCAATGAACATTTACCGTGGGTAGGCCGAGGCCTATCTTTAAAGCCTGGAAAAGGGGAGCCCTAGCAAGTAACTGTTTCAGTTGGAGCTAGTTAGTGGTAACTACAGAGTACTAAACTAATAATGTCCGCGAATGAAAAGCTTTACCGTAACCAAGAGAACAACAAAGACAACACAAACGCACATCTGTCACCTTCACAGTCCACTAAAATGGTGACAAACAGAAACAGGAAAAACTAGTTATCAACTTGATGAGACAGCTATTAATTTAATCCATCTAATTTTCATTTCCAACAATTTTAGCTTACTTACTCCGTCTCTACTCTATGACTTCCCTTTTTCTCTTTCCTTTAAGAGTGATTAGACAGCAATCAACCCAATTTATTTAGACTAATACACCTCTTTCTTTTGTGTCTGCTTTGTCATATATAAACATGGTAAATTAATTAATTACAGGCCAGATATTTTTAGGGTTTCATTTCAATCTGCAATTATGAGTGGAAGAGACGGCACCGTGTTACACTTAGGGTAAACACTGCAATTTCGGCTATAGAACCTTATAAAATCAAAACTATATAGAGCATGGCATGAACTCAGCTTATTGGCCATTAGTCTTTCAAGAAATCTAAGCTATATGTGGCAGGATCTTTTGTCTATATGGGTTTCTCTGATTAAACTTTCACTGCAAAATGGCAAGTACCTGTCTTTTGACTAATTAAATCAAAGATTTTTCTTTTGGAAAATTTGATTTTTAGCCGAGCATTATAATTTTAATAATTTATGTGAAGAAAATAAAATCTTGTGATATTAATTGAAAATTGAGGGACCACAAAAATATATTGATGATCTGGATTGTACCTTGAGGGTCTTGAAAGGTTTCCAGTTATGAAATTGTTTCGACTTAATTAGGAAAAAACATCTGGAACGTTAATGAGGTGGAGTAAACAAGTATTATATAGTTCAATTTTGTGGCCTCCCTCTTTTGCTGTTTCGTTGTGTTTTGCAATGCATGAGTGTGTACTTCAACATTTACACTGCAAGGGCCCAAATTGCATAATATTGGTTGGCTTCCCTTGCACCTGAATTTAATGCCAATGCTTCACTTCTAATTATAAAATTAGGCTAATTAATTTGGTTTAATAGACGAATTAAGCACATTTTATTGAATGTCATTTGGAATTAATTAGTTTGAGTTTAGATTGAAAGTGAAATGCATGCATCTTATAATTATAAGAATCAATAAGAAGAGACACATTTGGGAAAATGCTAAAAACTATATTATTTTAAGTTGTATCAATTAGTGAAATAGATTGAATATGGGATTACACTATATGTAATCAATTGATAGTTGAGAGTACATATGTTTGAGATAGCAAAACTTTTATAAGAAAATTGCCAAAATTTGAGAAATTTTAATAAGTTGTACCATGGAGATTAATATTATGTCAAAGTTTATATATATCTGTTTCATAAGTATTTTTTTGTATCGATCCAACCTCTAATTTTATCTGTTGTTTTTACCCATTTGAATATGAGACTAATTTTATCCGTTGTTAAGTAGTAGTTCTTCAAACCATGCCCAAATTATTTAAAAATGAAGCAATTCAAGCACATGTGAGCTTGATTTAGTGGCAAGAAAAGATTAGTTGAAAATAAAGTCATAAAATGATAACCGATAGTAAGTAGACAAGTGAATAAGCTGAGTGTGGACATCTGCTCACTATCAGTGGAGTTTTGTTTACAAATAAAATTGTTGTAAGAGAAGCATGAGATAGTGCTTGGAAACAATTCAAAGGGGAAGTGAAAATATATGCACTAGAGTCTGCTAGTTTTGGCAAAAAAGCATGGCTGGCAGCGCCGAGGTTCTACTTTTAGTAAGTAGTGACTAAAACATATGGGGGCATTTGATGGGTTAGCCTCCAATGGCATTTTCACCTATTCTCTTTCAGATTTTGATGGCCTTTTTTTTTTTTTTTTTTTAATTTTTTTGTGTATCGATCCAACCTCTAATTTTATCTGTTGTTTTTTACCCATTTGGAACTATGAGAACTAATTTTATTCCGGTTAAGTAGTAGATTCTTCAAACCATGCCCAATATTATTTAAAAATGAAGCAATTCAAGCTACATGTGAGCTTGATTTAGTGGCAAGAAAAGATTAGGTTTGAAAAATAAGTCATTAAATGATAACCGATGTAAACGGAATAGACAAGTGAATAAGCTGAAGTGGATGGACAGTCTGCTCACTATCAGTTGGATGTTGTTGGTTTACAAATAAAATTGTTTGTAGAGAAGCATGAGATAGTGCTTGGAAACAATTCAAAGGGAAGTGAAAATATATGCACTAGAGTCTGGCTAAAAGTTTGACCGGCCAAACCAAACAAGACAATGGGCTGGCGAGCGCCCGAGGTTCTACTTTTAGTAAGTAGTGACTAAAACATATGGGGGCCATGTGAGGTTTAGCCTTCCATGGCGATTTGTCACCTAGTTCGTTCTCAGATTGGCCTTTTTTTTTTTTTTTTTCTAATTTTCCTGCAACTTCATAATAATTTGTAAGTACTCTGATCTCTTTAAAACCCCAAACTCTTTATCATCATCACCTCACACTTCTGCCTCTGGTCAGTTTTCTTTCTTTCAGTCTTTTCTCTCTCTCAACTTTTTAAAAATGTATTTTCCTTGTTTATTTATTTTTTAAATTATCTGCTTTCTTTATAAATTGATTTAACTTGTGCTTAGACTATATATTTTCTTGTCTTTTTTCTATATATTTATTTTATCTTGCTAGGTTTAATTTGCTGAACCAGAAAAAATTATTCAATGGAGAAGAACAGTTTGAGTAATAGCTTGAAAGACCATAGTATTGGCAGTAAAGGAAGCAGCAACAACAACAACAAGCTAAAATTCTCATGGAGCTATAATAGCCAGAACGGTGGAGACGATTATCTTGGTGGGTTTTCATGGCCGCCAAGATCTTACACATGTAGCTTCTGCAAAAGGGAATTCAGATCTGCTCAAGCCCTTGGAGGTCACATGAATGTTCATAGAAGAGACAGAGCTAGGTTAAGACAGTCACCTCCAAAGGAGACTACTCAATGTCCTAATGTTCTCAACCTTAACGTTAACCCTAACCCTAACCCTAGTTTATCTTCTTCTCCATTTACTTCTACGTTATCTTCCATGGCTACTCCTCCTCTTTCCGCATTATCCTCTCCAACTTTCGCTTCTTCTAGTGAAATTAAGAAATGGGGTATTAATGATTTTCCATTTCATGATCCATTAACTCCCAACAGTTCAGATTTAACAAAATCAGAAACTGGAAAATCTTTCTTAAACGGTGAAGAATTTGATGGATGCAAGCTGTTGAAGAAAGCTGAGATTCTGAGGTTAGATTTGGAAATCGGTCTCGTTAGCGAATCGAAAGAGGATTTGGATTTGGAACTTCGATTGGGTTACTCTTAGAAGAAGTTTAACACGTACGTATATGACATATGTATCTAAAGTTGCACCAGTTATATTTATCTTTACTAGTTGAGTTTAATGTTGAAGATGCATATACATATATTTCAAAACCAAAGTTGTTCGTCGTTTTATCCTTTGTTGGACAGGATATTTAATTTCGACTATATTTGGTAAGAAAATTTCTGTTTGTCTAGATTTATTGTCAGTCTCTTAGATTTGGACACAGAAAAGCTTCTGGTTTAACAACTTAATTATTATGCTGTTTTTTTTTTCTATAAAATATTATGGAGAAATTATTAAGCTCTTGTCTTCTATTTTTAAATATTGATATCTCTTTATATTTTTAATTTCTTGGGTTAATTTATATTGATTTAGAGGCAGGAGAGATTTCATCCAAGGAACGAAATTTTCTTTCTTTTCTTTTAATTGATGATTGTTATTTTAATTAATTTCTATATTCTTTTTTGCAATTTGTCCATTGCTCTAGTTAAGTTCCTGGTAGGTTAACTGTAACTTAACAACATAAAAACACTACAATTGGTTTAATAGAAAAAAAAAAAAAAGTAAAACCTTTCTTTATATGCATATATTGAACAAGATCATGTCTCAACCTACGTAAGAGGTAGTGAGGTAGATAAGCATAAGTAAAATAACAACCTAAAGGGTCTTGATTTCGACTTTCTAGGCCTTGCAAAAGCAGCCTAACTTTAACATATATAAGAGAGAGATATGACTAGCTCTAGCAACTTGCTGCTCAGTTACCAACATATTGATCTTTAATTGCAGATTGACAATATATATATACACACAAAAGTTTACTTTGGTCTGCATTTTCTTGATTTGGAGCTGTATTTTAATTCTTTGAATTAGTACTTGAAATATATACACCGGTAATTGATTAAAGAGGTGCATGTTGAATAGGATATGTTCAAGAAAGCACCAATGTTTTGTTTGGATCACTGAAACTCAAAGCATGCACATATAGAAGACTTATAACCTGACTTTTTGGGAAGTCTTTTACCACAAATTCAGCTAATAATTTTATGTACATATATAAACATATATGTATGCATTATTTCAATCATGATGGCCTATAATTATTGGAACCAAGTTCCAACACCTACACTTCATAAGTGAAAACTGTAGAAAGCCATGATGCCTTTTTTTTTAACCCTGAGAAATTATATAGTTAACAAAGTAATGGAATTTTTTTTGACACAAAAAACTCATTGCTCTGTATAAAGAGAGTCATCCATGATATGCATGCGGTCTTCTCTTATATTGATTTTTTAAAAAAATATTATGACATAAAAAACTTTGATCTTTTAATTATAGAGAAAAATAATAACTAATCAATGAGCAATATATTTCTTATCGCTCGCCAAATTCAGACATATTTTACCACTTGAGCTACTCTTTATGAATAATCATAAGTAATCTACTTTAACATTGTTGATATGAACGAATTGCTTGACATTGATTACAATGTTTATAGAAAAATAATAAAAATAAAAACCCATCAGTCAGAAGTGAATATGATGATTCTACATGTTCACAAAAATAAGGTGAGAGAGGGAGAGATTTGATAAATCAAAAGTTGCATAATTATAGAAGCTATTGAGAGTGAGTACAATAATGAAAAGGAAACGTTACATGATCAGAAATATATATGTAAGATAAGAAATCTTTTTTTTTTTTTTTAAAAAAAAAAAAATGAGAGTGAGTACCAAAATTAATGAAATTAAGGGGGAAACGTTTAACATGATCAGAAAATAATATATGTAAGATAGAAAATCTTTTTTTTTTTTTTTTTAAAAAAAAAAAAGAAAAATTTAATGACCATTTCATAAATATCAATGGGCGGTGCTGAATTAATTACAAGTTGATATATATTTAGTAGCAAAGCTAGCTAACTAATTACTATAGCCATTGATTATGATATTATAGTGATAGGTTTGAGTTTTGTTTTTTTTTTTTTTTTAAAAAAAAAAAAGAAAATTATGAATCATAAACTATCATGGGCGGGCTGAATTAATTACAAGTTGATATATATAGTAGCAGCTAGCTACTAATACTATAGCCATGATATGATATTATAGTGATAGGTGAGTTTTGTTTGTTATTTGGGAGAGAGTCTTTGGATGCTTTCCCCAAAATCTGATGGTTTGCATGTTCCCGACAATGTCTGGTTGTCAAATGGTATGATGGCTTTTCCTTAAAAGGAATGTGAGGTTTTGGTCTTTTCAAACCATTTCAGACAACTGAGAGACCAAAACTCTTTCCTTATATGGTACTTAGTCAAGCCTAACTCTTGCATACTTACACTACCCTCCCAACATATATGCATGTCCTTTGCATATACAGTACTTACCTCATGCGTTATGGGTATCCCTGTTCTTCATATTTAAGGCACTTCTCTCTTCTCAACCTACAATAATTCTAAATTCCATGCATCTCTCTCTCTCTATATATATATGTATTCCTCGAAACTCAATCTTAATTTGCAAAGTTTATAAATTTTCAACATATCTACCCTATACAAATTGTTATTATGTAATTAGCAAAAAAGGGTTCAAGAACGAAATGAAGAGTTTGGAGTGGGAGATGTGATTAAGTGGTGGCAGAAAATTGAAAAATGAAGAGAATCGAATCGAAGAAGAGCAGCAGATTGCTTAAAAGTGATGCAAACATGTACAATCAATGTACAAACTCTAGCTCAGTTAAGTCAGACACTGAAATGTGATTCAGTATAATCCTCAACATGGAATAAGGACCCCACTACCTACGTCATCTTCTTATCATTACTATCTCTACAATACAAACGTCTTTCAAGATTCTGACTTTACCTAAGCCAAAATCAAAATAACTTTAAAAAAGAAAAAAAAAAGAATTTTTGCTCACTCATAAATTCTTGGTATCGTATAGAATCTGCGCTACGTATTTGCCTCACTATTATATTTTTAAGTATATCAACTTCTTTAATTGATAGTATAGGAGGTAAATGAAAAGTAGTATAATTGGGAAGGGTCCCCACACGTGGATGGTGAAAACAGAGAGAAAAAGAGCAGAGACAAATTTGAATAGAGGCAACTATTAAGTGCTTATTTTAGTGAAAGTGAAGAGATCGAAAGGAATGGCATAAAGTATTAGCCCTGCTCGCCTCACATCACCATCCAAACCCAACTATTAACTGCTTATCTCACTCTTTTCCTCCTCCATTTCTCTCTCTATGATCACCCTGGTTAGACGTATACATGCATGCCGGTCTTGTCTATCATTAAGAACCCTAACTCAAAATACAGAGTTAGCTACGTGTGTATATATATAACTCAGAAATTGTTGAAAGACAATTAATTTTAATTAGTTTCACTTAACTAAAGCTTATTTGTATTAATTATTGGATTCTATAGGTGACAAGAGTTGCAAGTAATGATTAATAAACCATAAGTATGATGATTAGGTCCGTAAATGATTGCTGAATAAAAGGACCCAACGGTATCCTTAAAATGGAGGCAGTCGGAAAAATTTTCTACTCTGTAATTTCCATTATTTATTCCTAGCTTACTTGTATTCTTCCAAGAAATTTTTTCTTTTAAAATACATAATAAATAAGAGAATAAAGAATTCATTCATAATTTTATTCAAACGAAGAAATTTTTCGTTTTGGGCTTGGTTATGATCGGGGGAGTACACGTGGCCGACTAGTAATGGGAAACGTTCATTTCAACTTGAAGTGAAAAACATGAATGTAAAAGAAGCCCACATTAGTAGGCCCATTTAGGATAATCTAGAGTATAGTGGCGCACTACTTCTATATATATATTGATGGCAATGATAGCAAAGTTTTATTCATAATTATATCATTATTATTACTCTCTTTGTTATTAAACTTTTCATCCATATTTAAAAAAAAAAAAAAATCGTAATCTCATTTTTTGAATTATAAATAAATAATTTTTATTAAAAATCTAAGAAAAGTTCTATAATCTTACTATTGAATTTCTAACTCATTCTTAAATAAATAAATAAATTAATTAGATTTTCAGAAAATCATTGATGGATTAGAACGAAGATGTATGCAATCATGGGTTTATTATATATTTAAAAATTATAAAATGCAAGTACCAAATAAACTAGGAATTAACTGTAAAAAGAGTTTGTTTTAGCATTTGGCATTTATATAGGATAAGATTGGTAGGAGATACATTCAAGATTAAATTGGTCCAACTCAATATAATAATTAACAATTTTTCCAGATGGATTTTGTTGGACAAACTGAAAATACATAACGAGGATTCTTCCGTCAGGTCAAAGAGCTTTCAAGGTTATTAATATATTTTAACTGGTTCCCAATTAAGAAAAATGAACTGGCTGGCATTATACATTTTACAGCACTAACGTTGTTTTGTCGTTTGACGCCCTTCTTCTATTTGTCCAACATTTATATTGTTTGTCTCTGTAATTACAACTTACAACACTAATTATCAAACAAACATGAAAGGGTCAAAGCTTAATGGCTACTGTATCAACGCGTTATTTGTTTTTGCCGTCTAATTAATTTCATTCCAAAGGAAAACCATAAACCTGATCAAAATTTAGTCTCGATATTATATAAGTTGGTCCAATAATACCATTGACCAACAATAAAAATAAATAAATAAATAAATAAACCTAATAATTTCTCATCTTTTGTAATTATATAATATATAACCATTTCTAGTGACTGGCAATTACAGCCCACCATGCCTAAATCAAAATGAAATTTCCATACAATAAAGAATTATTGTTTTCAATACCTACAATTTGCTACTGTCCATTAACATCGTCACTATCTCCCTCTTCATTGCTTAAGATTTGCATCCCATGCTCACATTACAATATACTAAAAATGGACATATATGATGTAATGTAAAGAAAGGTTTCAGACCTGTAATTGTAAATATTACATTGTGATCAAAATTTAAATCAAGACTATATAAGAAATATATTATTTTCCTAGTTCATATACGCCATTAGTAGCTAATTGTAAATTATATAATTAAGAAATAGCATAGAGAAAGTTCCAAATATTGAGACAGAATTACAAAACAACAATACATAGACCTAGATAAATGCATGAAAGCTGTATAGGGTTTTTTTACTTAATATTTTCGGATTAGGTTTGTTAGTATAGAAAAGTCTGATGATTTGAGTTTAGTTGCCTAAAAATGTTAAGTTTTTTCTGGTTTATATTAATAAAATAAATTAATTTGCTGATAAAAAAAAATAAATGCATGAAAGCTACATGAGCTCAAATCCCTAATTAACTAAATCGGAGAGTGCTGTATAATTAAAATTTGTTAAGTAATATATAAATATGTAGATGAATTAATCACAGAGCCGACCAAGGGGAAGAGTCCTATAGCAAAAGCCAAAAAAAGTCTCTACAAGTACAAATACAATGAGAATGCCAATGTCTTCTACTTGTCTCTTTTTCACTAACATCCACAGTTTCTTCTCTATATAGACTTCTTTGTCTTTCTCTTTCCTTTCCCTCCCTCTGATCTTGACCTTAACTAACCTGAAATTGTGAAAAGTTGATCACAAGAACACATTTTTTCTTTTCTCAATATGGGATCAGGAAAACAAGGAAGCTCAGAAAGTTCAAGCGACGAAAATAATAAGGATCAACAAGAAGAACAAGTCAAAGAAACTACTATAAGTAGCTCTAAACGGTCTTATGAGTGTACTTTTTGCAGGAGAGGATTCACTAACGCACAAGCTCTGGGAGGGCATATGAACATACATAGAAAAGATCGAGCCAAGACGAAGCAAGTCTCAGGTTCTAATTCAATTTCAAGCAAAATAAATGAAGAAGACATAAACCCTAATCATGTCAGATCGATTTCAAGTGAACCCATCAACCATTGTCCTGTTATAGAGGCACAGAAAAATTATCATCCTATGTATTTTCAGGCTTCTAGAGGTTCGTCTTCTATCCCTATGGACGCACATGGTTATTATCATGCAAGTGATTTTCTTGTTTCTAAAAATCAGTCTTTAAGCCTGAATGATGAACAACTTTGGGGTGCAAATTTGAGCTTGCAAATTGGTTCTAATAATTTAGAAGAGAATAATGAAACTATCAGTAAAGAAGTTTCAAAAGAAGATGAAGTGGATTTGGAGCTTCGACTTGGTCATGATCACTGGTCTGATAGCTAGATCATTGTCACCTGTCTTTACCCATTTAACCTAAGTGCAAATATACCAAGAAAATATATATTGCGGACAAGAAGGGGTTTAATTTATTGGTACTATTTGATAGAGGCAAAATGATTTCAAGAACTTTGTTTGTGTATATTCTCTTTTATGTGGGCTTTTATATATGGAGGTCACAGATCTCTGTGAAGAAACATAAGGAATGGAGCTAAAAGAATGACTACTGCAAATCTTTGAAGATCAATCGGCAAGTGAAGTCTTACATATTCTATTTATTTTCATGAGTTATATTAAGTACATATATTCATAATATATTTTTATGGAGTGTTTTAATTAAGTACAAAGTGAATTGATTAATTACAGACTTCTACATTATATTGATCATTTTTGGTTTTCTATACATTACAGTATTGTCTTCAATTCAAACTTAATTAAGCTTTTTTTTTTTTTGGTTTTTATTTAAGGATGTTTCTTCTTCATTTTGAAAATTAAAACTTTCTTAAATTATCCTAGTTTCCCTTGGCTAATTAACATGATTAAATTTATGATTTCGGTCCCCCTTGCTTTTGTTAATGTTTACATGTATCTGAAATTGAATCTTATCTGGTTATCGTTTTGCTTCTAAGATTAACTTAGGAAGTATCATTCATAGCTTGAACAAGAAGGGTTGAGAAAATTATAATATTGAAAGTATATACATTTCAATCTTCACATTTTTCACAGTGACACAAAACGGCAGATTCTATATAGAATCAGGAATATGCATGCCCATGTCTTTGCTTTCCAATATTCATTAATTTCTCAAATTTTTATGTTTTTTTACATTTATTCTTGATTTTTAAATAATACATATATTCGGTTTGATTATGTAGTCATTAGTACTTCAGTTGTCAGTAGTTAAGAAGAACATAATATAACTTAGACATACAAGTTTCATGAGTTAATTTTACACAGATGTTTCATTATTATGAATAGTTTTCCTTTTATGTATGACCTAGATCTGTAGAACTAAGTTTTGTGAGAATTGATAGTAGTGCCTTAAAGCTATGATAAGGGAATAAGAGCATCTCCAATGCAACTATGGATTATGGCTGATGTGTTTAATAAATAGAAATTGTGGATGGTGATGTGGCTGAATATATATTTGTAAATGTTAAATTTTAAAAATGGTTCTCCAATGCATGGAGAAAAATCAGTTTCAGGGCAAGAAAAAGTTGAAGTACAAATAAAGAAGAAGGCATAGAGGAAAATAAAAAAATAAGAAAAAAAATAAATAAATAGGAAAAAAAGAACAAAAAAGCTGAGTCACGTTGTCTAACAGATCATCTGAAAATGGAAAGCGTGATAGACAATGTCTCTTCTTCTTTTTGACACATCAGACTCACGGACTAAACAGACAATAGCGTTGAAGAATATTTTTATTTTTAACTTTCAATTTTTCAGACATGGTAAATAAATTAACGCACTCAACAGTTGCATTAAAGATGCCCTAAATTTGGTAGTATAACATTAAATCTCTATGGCCAACCATTTTATCGATGTTGCTGATTAATAAGTACACACTAATTAAACACTAATGTCATGCAAAATGTTAGTAATGTAAATAAAGGAACTTCTATAGGCTGATTGGGAGACTAGCTGTAGTATTCATTTTAAAATGGAAAACAATGTATAAAACAAGTTGCAACTTTGAAACATTTTACTCCTCTTATTAACTTAATCAAACTACATCTAATTGATCGTGCTAATTTAAAAGATTATAAAATGACGGGTTCTTGAAATATTACAATGTTCCTTGAATTTAGAAACTTTTAAGGCGATTTTAGATATATCAAAGTAAATCATGTCTGCAATGCAATTTTACAGTTGATCACTTTGTTAGTTTGGCTGATTTTATTTCGATAGGAGCTCGAAGTTTTGGATGATCCACTTGTAAGGCTTGATCTATGACATTCAGGGACGGAGGGAGGGGAGACTGGGGGACCTCAAACTCAAAAAAATTTTGAAAATTTTATCTATAAATAGTCTAAATAAATAATTTTTTTTTATGTGCCCTTCTTAATTTTGAACTTTTTTTTTTTAACCCCCTAGTTTTGGAGTCTCGCTCCGCTCCTAATGATATTAGTGGGGTTTCATGCCCCCAGAAACTATGTATAGTTACTTTAGTGCTTAGCTCTTTCTCTTTTGTTGCAAAAAAATATATATACACTCTTTGAATTTGGGCGGACGAGACGTCATGTCGTTCGGAAAAATCTTGAATGATAACCCGTCTTCTTAATAATGGGCTTGGGCTGATCTTTTTGAGGTTGAATCCGCCCAACTTAGCAAAACGTGACTAGTGTTGAGGGGGCTGCCTCCCAAAAAGGAAAATCTTGCAAAAAAATTACATTTTTTGTCCCTAAAAAGTATATAAAATTATATTTCAACCCAACAATTTTAAATTTTAAGTTTTCACCCCCCGAACTTCATTTTCTAGGTCGTCCTAACTATGTTATGGTCATATTTTTCCATAAATTGATTTTGGTAATGGTAGCTATATCATATGATTCTCAAAATCTGCAAGTCCTCTTTTGGGTTGATGCTGTTAGCTTTCAAGAGAGAATCATCTACAGGCTACAGGGTAGAGCAGTGACCAAAATACATGTGACCACGTGATAAATTTTACTATAATGAAGCATTAATTAAAGAACATTTATCAAATAAAGGTCAACCACATTTCCCAGATTCAGGATGTAATAATCAACTTATTATGAAAAGGTTTCAGGATACAGATGCTCCTATAAACAGCAATAGGAGCAGTATTTTAACGATTAAATATAAAATTTTTATTTATAAAATCAACTAATTTTGAGTTTATTTCTGAATATTTTAATGTTGCAACTATCGTTAACAGAAAAAATAGCCCAAAATCAAGTAATTAAGATTAATAATAAAGAAGTGGGTGGCGTGTTGGTAGATTTATAGCAAAACAAATGAAAAGCCACCACAAACACATGCCCAATTGTTTGGGTTCCCATATAAAACCTCTCACTTTACTGTTACTATTTCTTTTGGAATCTGATTTATATTTCGCTTCATACACGAATGGAGACTATTCTTTTGTAAATAAAATAATCCTTTTCTCGAAAGTTTTTTTAACTGTGATTAAGCCTGAGCTGAATTATAAGACTGTCTCTGATAATAAATCCAAATAACAGTGATTTATAAAAAAATAAAAAAAAATCCTTCCCTCGCTGCGCTTTGGGATTTGTGTCTCAAGTTGGTGCTTTTACAAGCCAATTCAATTTTTATTAACCAAAGTGCAACCTCCCTCGTTAACTAAGTTGGTTTTTATATTTTATTGATTATGGTTCAATTTCTAAGAGTAATAATTAGAAAACAATTCATTAGTGTACAGATTAAATGGTAGAGAATTTAAATTTCATAATATACAAACAAATTGAAATTATTTTAAAAAGTTAAAAAAATATACTTATTTCAATTCATATTTACTTACTATTTAGAATGAAATAATTGTTGATGTGTGTGGGTAATCCCACATTGGATAAACACATATTAACTAAATGACGTATAATAAGAAGGATGAACCAATTAAAATAACTTAAATCATTTTATGTTAAAGGTCAATTCAGTTCATTATGAGCCAAAATATTAATATATTTTTAATTATTAATAATAAATGAATTTGATTAATTTGGTGGCCACTCAGAGAGAGAGAGAGAGATCGGATAAGTACACATTAACTAAATCCAATCCTTTATTTAGCTAAAAAAGGAGCAACAAACATTACTAAATAAAAAGAGTGGAGATGATGCAAAGTTTCCCTTGAAGGGAAGGGATATGACCTTGTATGCTTTTGACACATGGGGTGTATTCATATATAGATGTTATATACAGTTAGGGCATGTGCCCTTGTACAGAGGACCCCTCCACCACTTTTCTACAGAAGGGCACATGGATTGAATCTAGGATTGGCAATCTCTTGACTTTTGAAACCCCATTTATGCTTTGTGTCTCCCTTTGCTTAAACCACTTTTGCCATCTCCATACTTATTTCAGTGACTTGGATGCAGAAATTCCAAGCATCCCACTTCCCTCTTTAAATTAAATGCCAGATCAGTATTTCTACATTCAACTATCAATAAAGCCATCATAATTATGGATATATAAATATATATACTTGGAATATTAAAAGAACCATAACATATGGCTAATTCACTGCTTTTTTTTTCTTTTTTACCAATAAAACATAAAATCTCCGAGTAATAATAAACTTTTTTTGAAAGTAAATAATTTTATTAATAAAACAAAAACAAATTAACATAAAGATTCAAACCTAATAATTACTAATTGTTACCTACTAATAATAAATACACTTTTTCCAATCATTAAAAAAAAATTACTAACAACTCTTTGTGAGCTACTGTATTGTTTGGTTTTGGGTCGAGTCATTGTATGTGCCCGGCCCAATTTTACTATTCCCAAGGAGGATGGAAAAAAAAAAAATACAGACATAAGTGTCTCTTTTAGAAGACAAAAGGAAGTCTCCATTCTCAAATTTCCTTTCTGGCCTATTACAATTTTATTAATCATCTTAAAATAGACGCGAAAGGTGTTGGGCAAGACCCCTCCTATAGGATATGGAAAACTGTCATATCTGAAAATGCATAATAATAATAATAATAATAATAAAAAGAATGTTGAGCTTGAGAAAATAAATAAAAATCTTAATTACCTGTTAAAAATCTATGAATCTCTTATACGAGTTAATTACTTACTACTAATATAAAGAAATTTTTTCAATTATTAAAAAAATTGGACACTATTATATTGCAAGAAATAAAATCAACATCTAAAAACTAAATGCTTTCCAAAATGAAAACATGACAAAAAAAAAATTAACTAAAAAAAAAAAAAAATCAAACATTCACATAAGATGAAAATCATATTATGTACTCTACACAAGATGTAAAAAGATATTATTTGATATTTATTTGGGAAAA